ACTGTGTTTAGGGCCATCTCCTCCCCCTGCCCCTCAAAGCGCCTCTCATAATTGAGAGCAGATAAGGGTTAACAGTGAGGCCTGCAATAACCTGTACAGATATTTTGGATGGATAATGAGGAAATTACATTTCTTCATATCATCCTACTTAGGCAGTGGGAGCAGGCTTTGGATACTGTGGGAAACATAAGGATTTTTTATAAGCTCTTTAGTTTTACATAATCAAGATTGCACCAGTAATTTTCCTGTCTCCTATATAATACAATAAGTCCTACTAGTGATGGTGTTTGGAGTGTCACCTTTTAAATATTCAGATTTCGGGGCATGGGGAGGGGGAGGGGGGTGCTTGCTTATGAGCAAATCCAGTCAGGGTGCCTACCTAAAATACATTGAATTCCCAATCTGGGAAACCAAGAGGCAATTGTCAGATTAATTATGACCATGTGAATGAACTTCGTTAAACTCTTTTTGTAGATAGGCACCAAGATAAAGTGGAACATTATCAACATGTTGAAAAACATCTCAGCAGAAAAGGACTACAAAGTGGACCTCTGAGGGAGAGCGTTACTCTAACAATCAATATGAAATATGATTATAAAATATTTTGCCTGTAGATTATTTTACAATTCTATGAGAGAATCTAATTTCTACACATAAATGAACATAGCTTAAGGACAATCTACCGCCAGTTATAGGTTCATGCACTTGTAAAAGCATTACAGTGAAGCCGGTAGTATTATTCTATGATGTCAACATTTTAATCAGTAATTGTATAAAATTGGATCACGTCTTATCGACTGGAGAACCGACTGTGCCTCCTGATGGCTGTCCTACTTGGTAAAACCATCTAATATTTTTGAGCCTAAACCTCAGGTGGATCATATGTGAATCTAAACTTCTCTCCACTGTTGTGGCTTGATCTGATTAACTTTCTTGATATGAAATTCGTTGTAAAAGTTCCACAGTCCTTGAGTTTAGCTCCCAAATTTTGATATTTGCATTTCCTAGTAAATCATACAAACATGACCACTCTTCAACCATTCATCATGAGTGATGAACCAGACACAAAATAAACAAAAATCCCTTTAGCATAAATACCATGCTACAGCCTGCTCTTATAAAACTAATTTACATATGCTATAATTTCCCCAGCACTTATCCACACTTTATAGCCCCTCTATGGATGGATACAGAGAAACACTAAATTACCCAGAAATTTTAGTCTGCCACAAAGCAGCAGAGGTTAGCAACACTGCTGCCTTCCGTTTATATAGGCATATTCTGAAATTTAATTTTTTTTGCAAGAAACATATTTAGGTGATCAGAAATGTATTGTCAAAAAAAAAAAAAGTACAAATATGAAACATTGGTTAGTGGTGACATTGCATTTTTTAGGTAGGTACTTGGGTAGCTTGATATTCAGTATTTAAATATCACATTACCCAAGTACTAAATAAAATATCACTGTCACTATAACCAATGCTTCATAATTGTATTTTTTTTTAATGTATTTGCTTTACCAATAAATTACTGATCATCTAAATGTTTCTTGCAAATAAATCTAAATTTCAGCATGTGCCTATATAAATGTATCCTTAAAATGGATATTTTTCCTTAAACCTTCTGTAAAACTTATAAAGTAATCCTGATTACCTGTCTGATAGGTAAATAGGGTTTTTACGAGTTTCACATACATTTTAAGGGTAAATATGTTTTAAAAACCACAATAGTGCTAATGTTGTTGCCATTACAACTGTGATGTGACTTTTTTTATTTAATATTTACATGTAACTCTACCAATTTCGTTCAATTAAGGTCTTCAGTTATAGCCTTCAAGTTATTTTTGTTTTTACTGCCGACTATAACACGCCCTAATCGCCTCTGTGATGGACTGAGTAGAACACATGGCATCTGGTTCCACAACAGATTCTTCCACTTTAGAGTATCCGCCCCTAGAGTCACCTGGTTAGATAGAACAGGTACTAAGCGTTCAGCCACATTCGGCCGATATCTGATTGGATAACCCGGCTGCTGACTGACGTATGGAGGTTATAAAGCGAGCACCCACACAACAGGCGCGCTCGTTGTTTTATGCCACGGTTCGGCATGGTAAGGTGTCTTCAATACTCCAGCGTTTGTACAGTGTCATAATTGAGTGATCCTCCGCAATGAAAGCACCCATGATTAGCGCATGAGTTTGTCTAAAACTATATATATATATATATTTTTTTTTTTTTTTTAAATCCCCGGATCGTTTCTTCTGAAATCTTTGTGTAGTTTCGAACTTTTTTTTTCTTACACATTTTGTTCTGTTTATTGCTGAGAATGTATGTGTTTTGATTATTCTCAAAAGAATTAGGTCGATATTAATGACCTAGATGTATTATCTATAACCACTACAATTATGCTGTTCCATTGTTGTAGAGTTCAAGTGTTGCTTAGATTTGATGAGGAGGCTATGTGGATAACAAAGCCTTTTCAGTGCACAGTGTGTTTCTATATGACAACGGTACTTGTTTTTTATTGACATATGATGTAATTTGAAATAGTGTTTGCCAAATCCATCACTGGATGTGTATAGTGGCAGGTCTGCAGTATATAGCGGTATACAATAGGTAATTGATTAATCAGCAGGAATCCCAAAACATACTAAAACACTGCACTTACGGGCTCAAAGCACCATGACCGCTTCAAAAGACTGAACTGGTCATGGTGCTTGGAATAATCACTTAAAGGAACGCTAGAGGTTAGAAATACAAATGTGTTTTCCTAATGCTCTATAGCCCTGTTGGCTGTTAAGGTCACTGGTACCCACGGGTAGTGAGGGGAAAAAGCCATTATAATTGGTTTTTCTCCATCGCATTGCCAGTTTCCGCGCTCCCATCCATGTCTCCTTGGTTGAGTTTGATGAAACTCAGCCAATGAAATGTTTTACCATAGGAAAGCATTGAGAGGCTAGTGCGCATGCATGGCAAAATGCTGCACTGCACCAGACGGTCTCTATTAAAACTATCTGATGGCATTTAAATGCTACATACTGCACTGACTTACTTTAGGAGTCACTGCGCAATATTCTGCAATTTAGGAGTTAAATCACTTTTGTTTCTGTTTATGCAGCCTTAGTAGTCTCTACCTTGGCTGTGACACATACAGCCTCCAATAAAAGTTAAATTTTCAATCAGATCTTCATGTAAGTCGAGCTTAGCATAGTGTTTACTACTTTTACGTCATCTAATGCTCTGTTAATTAAGGACCACTAAATACTCTGACTACTACATCTCAGTGAAGTGGTCTAAGTGCAGTGGCCTTATCTTTTTAGCTCCTCGATCTAAAACATTGCCGTTTAGTAAAAAAAGGTTAAACACACATCTAGAGCAGCATTTCCCAATTAGTGTTCCGCAGAACAAAATTGGGGTTCCGTGGCAATTTGCCCGTTGGATGGCCCAAGCATTTAGGGCCACCTGATGGGTATCGCTAAACAGGGGTCCGGTCAGGCACCACGGTCCTCTAAAACCGCGACCAGACCCCTGTAGTATTGGATGCTGGGAGGAAGTGACATAACTTCCTCCCAGACAGAGCGTGCCGGCTGGAGGGAGAGGGAGCAGCAGTGAGTGAGCAGCTGCCGACCTCAGCCAGCAGCACTGTAGATCCTCCTGCAGGAAAAAAAGTGAACAGCAAATTTAAATGTGTGTGTGTACCTGTGTGAATCTGTCTGTGTATGTGCCAATTTGTGTATTGGTGTGTCAAGATGTGTGTATTTATCAGTATGTGTATCTGTGTGCCAGTGTGTGTATCGGTGTGTCTGATACACACTAACACACAGATTGACACACAAATACACACACTGGCACACACACCCCTTGACACAAACCGGCACATACAAACACAGATATACACACTTTGATACACAGATACATATACACACAGATGCATACTGTGTGTATCTGTGTGTGTATATATACGTGAGATACATACGCACACATGCACACACATTTACACCTTGATACAAAGACACACACCGGCACATACAAACACAGATGCACACACTTTGACACACAAATACATACACACACATACACTGTGTCAAGGTTTGTGTATCTGCCAGTGTTTCTGTGTATCAGATACACACACAGGCACATACAAAAAAATTTATATGCAATGGTGCAATTTTTTTTTTTCTTTGTCCCCTCCTGTCCGTTTGACATCCTTTCTTCATCTAGACAAGGGGTTCCCAATTAATATTTCCCGTGGAACCCTTTGATGTGGAACCCACTGGAAAAAACAACTTTTAATTACCGGGAATAGTTATGGATTATCTTCCATTATTTTAAACTAAATTTAATTTTTTCTGAATTATATCCCGAATTTCAGAATAATCGAAGTTTGAAAACTAGCAAAACATATTTTTTGCTCATGCACATCTCTAGATTTTTCCAATATTCCGTAATAAAGTCTGCCTTCACATTTCAAATCCCAGCAAGCCTTAAAAGTTACTGGTCACTGCAAGCCTGGTTGGTCTACGGCACGTTTGCCAATGCAAGCCGGGCCTGTCTATGGTACACCCACCAGGGGTAAATCTTCACACACCAGGGCTAAATTTACACTCGCCAATGGCTAGTGGTGAGTGCAAATTTTGAACTCTGCATACACATATACACAAAGTTTGGTAATTGCTGTCAAGTAAGCATCCCATGCATGCAAAGTACACACACAGATTAAGCTTCTGTAATGTATATATAATGTATTAGGTGGATATATAGTGGCAGTAAACTGACTGTTCCTTTTATTTTTCATTCTGCAGATGGAAAAGGTAAACTGCAACAACATCTGCAAAGAAAGTCCCAAGATAATCTACTTCAGTCTCAGGGCCGAAGCAACTGGAAATAAAACCTCGCTGTGACATAATTCAGTAAAGAATTGCCAACATTCCACCAAAATCTTGACGAATAACAGTAGTGACTTGTATAGATTCTTATAACCAATGCAGTGTTGAGTGTAACATGGAAATTTGTGAAACTGGGGCTTTTGAAGTGTGTAAATCTTCAGCTGTTCAATCAACTGCTTCTGCCTGTTTGCCTGCTGTCCAACAAAGCACCAATGTGGTGCAGCCTTTCATTTTTTCCGCTGCCCTAATCCATGGAGGGAAGACTGATTCTTCTGACTTCTGTGCTAGTGAAACGCATCTGAACACCAAAATGCAATCCTTTGGCACACCCAAGTCTTTCAGTCATCAGTGCAGCATTTCGGATGGAAAAATAAGTCAAACCTGGTTACCAGGCAGAAGCTGGATAAATAGGAATCCACCTGATGTGCGATGGCACAGCCCAATAGAATTCAAAAGCTTCTTCAGAGAAGAGTGTGAGGATATTGTCAACCAGCTACGTTGCAAAGCCACAGATGGGAAGAGTGCAAGCAAGAGGAAGCTGGATGTATCCCTCATTGATGAGGAGCCTCCTCCCTTCTTCAGTACCCCTTTGCATATGCACAATGAAATCTACAGCAGCAGCAAGAGGAGGAGAATAGATGCGATTGGTGAGAATAATTCATATCATCGTATTTTGATGTCCCCCATTTTCAGATAGTGCTTCTTTTGAGCTGATTATGAGGTCATTTGCGAACCACTGACCGTTCTAGCTCCATCTCTGAAAATTGTAGAATTTGTAATTTGGCATCCAACATTGACTTGTAGACAGAATTCAGTATATGCTTTCCTGCAGTTGTGGAAACAATCTGTGTAGGCTCTGATAATTTGGGGAAGAACATCAGCATCAAAGCTAATGCACAGTGATGTCATAGTGGTAGTTTACCAGTCTTGCTTGAATCTTGGCATCCTTGTAAGGGTACTGTGATGGGTTTCCACGAGACAGCTGTGTTGTAGCCACACACAGTAGATAAATAGATTTGTTGAAAAATAACACGAGTTAAGCTATCTGTAAACTAAAAGGCAAAAAATGGTGACGAGTCTTTCTAACTTACCCAGTAGTGTGTATGTCTGAATATAGCCCATGTTCACAGTCTTGGCAAGGATAAATGAGAAATGCAAAGTCACACACTTCAACTGGCCATAATACTAAACAGTACTTTATGCATAACCTTTATAAATAAAAAGCATAGTGACCGTTTTGTAACACATAGGTGGAGGGAAATGAGAAACAATAAGACACTGAAGGGGCAAAAAAAAGGAATTCCAAAATGTGTGTTGACAATAAAGGCAGAGTATTCAGATAATATGAATTGGGCTATGCTCATATGCTAGGCACCAGGGCCAGACACAACTAAAAGTAAAGAGTCTGTGACGAAGTGCCTTTCGCCACTTGTGCCTGGAGGGGACTACTGGCTAGCCTCCTGCCTTCCGACTATGGCCCATGTGCTGATAGCGGTATTTTCCCCTGCAGAAAGGTTTATTTGTGTATTTCTGCTGGGGCGTTCTGGACTTTCAGTATGGTAGTAGTGCTATCCCAGATAGCTATGCGATGGAGCCTATTTGTGTAACAAGACTATGGAAAAGATTTTGGCTCCATGGCGATTGAATTGTTTGTATGTGATCTGAGCACCATTCAATAATAATGTGCACTCAGATCTAAGCTATCTTGGGATATGTTGCATGTATATGTTTTATATAGTAATTGTAACATTGTGTAATTTTATGTCTTTTTGTAACCATGTGGTTAATGGAGTCTTGCCTCTGTCCTGGGAGATAATTTGATTACTTCCCAATTATCTCCAGGATAGAGAGGAGGGATTGTGATGTCACTGTGGGAGTGTTTTGTTTGTATTGTCTGTGATTGGTTATACTGGGTCCCATCCTGTGGGATGTCCCCTTGCATGGGGCTTGCATAAAAGCCAGTGTGTGGTCATTAAAACCAGATCATCTTGTACCTTTCTTGAAGCCTTGGCTCATGTTTGGGGGAAGGGATACCTACACTCTGGGGATTGCTATAATCACTTACTCCCCAGAGTAAGCTCTTGCAATAGCTTGACTTGTCCCTGCTACGCTCTCTGGATTTAGGAGAGGTTCACCCACTGGGAGCTGGATCCTGGTTGTGGATCCAGGGTGGGTGGAAACGGCGAGACCCCGGCGCAGCTGTATCGCTGGAAGTGGGGTCTGCAGTGCTGATGGTGTCGGTTAGAGTGCTTGGAGTCCTCGGCAAGCGCTAGGAGCATCGATTGGCGGAGGTACTCTGTCGGAGTGCCAGCGTTCCGTCACATCAGCCATTGTGTGATTCATCCTCCCTGGTATCGTGTCTGTAACTAGCACAACAAAAAGTGACCATGACAATGGTGATTGCGTTTTCTATACCCCTGCTCTTTTTTTAGTGGTTGTGAAGATAAGGATGAGTATTGTGATTTACCCCGATATCTCACCCTCTGCCCTCCCAGAGACTCTCTCTTTTTCATAGTGTGCTTGCTGTGTCACGTGTGTAGGGTGCTACCTATGTGTGCTTTTGATTTGGTAGATTAATGTACAATCTAAAAAAAGTTATGTCCCCTTGGTGCCCATAATGAAAGGCTAGTTGGCTTTCCCTTTGCAGAGTAATGGAAGATGATGTGACTTTGTGGGATGGGTACATAGTTTGTCTCAAGGTTTCCCATACCTTTATTTTGGTTATGAATAGCATGCTAGTAGTTATATAAAGGGGCAAGAAATTATGGCAGCAATGTAGTACTTTTAATGCTGTATGATGGGCCAACACAGTTTCTAAATTGGTGGTAGTTAAACATGATCAAGATCCTATCCAGTACAGTATATCTAGTCTGAGTTGCTAAATTATATTCCTGTGCATTTGGTAAGTTTAGGCCTCTAGAGAATTTTAGTTGGTTCATTTTGGTTAGACTTATGTGTGCAGAATAGCTTTTCCATATAAAATTACATATTTTTTCATATAGTAATTCACCTTTTTTGGAGATTAAAGTGCAAGAACTTGAAAAGGGGTTTAGTAAACTTGGTGACACTCTTTTTTTGTATAGATTTAAATGTCCAAGAAGAGAGGGGTAATGATCTCCACCTGTCTAGTTTGATTGTATGGATGTCATTAGTTGGTATACTATTGATCAGCCTTGGTGAATATTATATTAATATATTGGCAAATACTAATGCCAAGGTAAATCATTTTTGTACATCAAGGAAGAGGGAAACAAAGGGATGGAAAGCCAGTACTAAAGAGGGTGGTCGATTTATTTAAAATTTGTGCAAATCCTGCTGTATTATGGCAAGTGTCCAGCAGTTTGCTTAATGGGGATAATTGAGAGATGGGATTAGAAATCAATAAGTAATCTGCAAAAGTTTAGTCTTTTAGAATCATTCCTTTGAGAATGCTTTGGTAATTTGTGAGCAGGTCTATGGCTCACAGCAATGGACATAGGGCGTTATTAAATGTGGGGACATCCCTGCCTAACCTCCTCCCCAATGTGAAATATGGGAACTGTCGCCGCCTGCACGCTTCCCCGGGACGGCCGCCTGCACGCTTCCCCGGGACGGTCATACACACTCCTCAGGATGGCCGTCTGCATGCTTCCCTGGGTGGCCACCTCCACGATCCCTGAGCCGGTTTTCCACGCTCCTCAGGGTGACCGGCTGGCTCCATTGTTCCCCCATCCTGTCTTTAGCTAAAGGGCTTTAAATCCCAGGCACCAGGGCAAAATTTCTAGTCCCCATGGTGACCTGGGTCCTGGGATTTGTCGAGCCCCGGCTTAGCTGTAACATCCTAGCTTATTAATGAGGGTTGATTAGACAGAAATGTTTTAATATGGGTTTTAGTCACTGCAGTCAAAGCTTGTTTGATGCCAACTGTATGTCTACTAGTTAGAAAGTCCAGGTGATGGATGGTAAGGATCAGGGACGTATTAGCTGCGAGGCAAACAAGGCATTTGCCTTGGGCGTCACTTTCCAGGGAGCGGCAAAAAAAAGCTGCCCCCAAATGCACAGGGCAAATGTCTTGTTAGCCTTGCGGCTAACTAAAAATCCGGTCGGGCGGCGCTGGCGAGGGAGCACTTTCCCCTGACATCATATTCCGGCTCCCAGCATCACTCTGTTGCGCGCGATGGAGCGGAGTGGAGCAGAGCACTCAGGGGAAAGTGCTCCCTCGCCAGTGCCGCCCAGCAGCCCCACTAGACCCCAGGGAGAGGGAGAACCCTCCCCCAGCATTCCCAAAGGTAAGGAGGCTGGGGGGGGTTAAATTAAAAAAATAAGTGTTAATGTGTGTCTGTTTCACTTTCACGGACGATATCATCATTGTAATACATTTTACTGTTTTGAAACACTAATATTTGTGTTCAGCAAAGTCTTCAGAGTAAAACCGTTCCCCCCATGTGCAGGTTTTATGGAATCTTGGAAAGTTACAGGGTTAAATATTGTGCTAGCAAATTAAATTCCCTGGACTTTTGGCCTGGGTTGTCAGGCAGGTCCCGCAAATTCTAATTAATAAAATGACCTAATTATGTAAAATTATTACATAAATATATATGTAGAATTATGATATGTATACGTATATATGTGTATATAATTTTTCATGGCAGCATATACACATGGGTTAGCTCCTCCCCTTACAGCCAATAGGACAGGATTTAAACAAATTCTTATAAAAGGATGATCCATAGATGAGTCCCTCAGTCAGTAACAAGCTCTTACAGAAGAACTAGACCCAAAAGGGTGGGCCGTATATGCCGCCACGAATAATAGCCAGGAAAAGAAAATTACGGTAAGTATGAATAAATGTTCCATTTTCCTGGCTAATCATGGCAGCATATACACATGGGATTACCCAAGCTCATAGAGAGGGAAACATTAGACAAAATGGATGCAAAAAGATTTAATTAAGATAAATACAATCTACAAATTATGAGTGTCGAGAGGAGTGAACTGCATTAATGACCAAATTGAGAGTCCACTGTAGCTTTAACATCCAGCTTGTAATGGCAGATGAAAGTGTTCACTGAAGACCAAGTGCCTGCTTTACAAATATCATCTGGAGAAGCATTTGCCACAGAAGCCCAAGATGCTGCGATAGCATGAGTGGAGTGAGCCCTGATACCAGTAGGAACCGGCAGCGATAAGTACTTATAAGAACTTGATATGGCCGATACCACTCATTGTTTTGAGGTAGAGGCAGCTTCACCCTGCCTGTGGCCAATAGGCAATACAAATAGTCTGGACGATCTGCGGAAGGGGCTGGTTTTCTCCAGATAAACAACGCTCGAACCCCATCCAGAGTGTGCCAATTTTCTTCTTCAGGAGAAGAGGGATTTGGATAGAAGGATGGAAGAACAATCTACTGGTTCAAGTGGAACATGGATACCACTTTTAGTAGAAATTCCAGAACCGCTTTGAGGACCAACCGGTCCTGAAGTACCCTCGTATATGGAGCTTCGCAGGACAATGCTTGGAGTTCACATATCCTTTGTGCGGAAGTGACTACCACCAACAGGCGTACCTTTCGAGTTAGTACCATCAATAGAGCTTGGTCAAGTGGTTCAAAGGGTGACCTTGTCATGGCCTTTAAGACCAGAGGTAGGTCCCATGCCGGCAAAATACCTTAAGAGGAGGCTGGATCTTCATAGCTGCTTTAAGGAAATGTTTCTAGAGCCCACCGGGTACCTGACAAAGTGGATAGGGCTGATACATGGATCTTCAGAGTGTTGTAGCTAAAGCCCTTATCAAGGCCAGTCTGAAGGAAACAGAGCACTGAAGATAAGGCCAGGGGTTTAATCACCACCTGATGTTCCTGTACCCAGCAAACAAAGGCATGCCAAATCTTATTATATGTGGAGGAAGTGGATATCTTACATGATCTCAGGAGAGTTATGATGACTCTCAGGCATGCCAACATTCATCAGTCTCCCGCTCAATCTCCAAGCCCTCAACTTGAGGGTTAGAGGGTTTGGGTGTGGCAGCGGTCCTTGGGATAGTAGATCTGGCTGAACTGGGAGTTCCCTCGTGGGCTCCCGACTCATCCGTCTCGCCATAGGTAACCAGGGCTGACTGGGGCAGAATGGGAGGATAGCGATGACCTCTACCTTCTCCTTCTGAATCTTCAGAGTCTGGTATATGAGGGGTATAGGAGGGAACACATATGCCAGAGTGAACCTCCAAGGTTGGACAAGAGCATCCTGACCCCTGGCTCTGTGATCGACCAGTCTCGAGAAGAATGCTTCGACTTGGGTGTTTTGGGCCGTTGCCATGAGGTCTATCTGTGGAGTTCCCCAGATAAAAGCCAGCTCCTGAAATACTTCGGGCCTTAGATGCCACTCGCTCTTGTCTATAGTCACATGGCTCAGGTAGTCTGCCATGGTATTCTGAACCCCTGGGAGGTGTACCGCAGAGATACCCTGTATATTTTTCTGACACCAACACATGATGGGCCGACGTTCCCTCATCAAGAGCCTTGATGGGAGACATAGGTTACTGCCGCCTGGTTGTCGGACTGGACTCATATCCACCTGTTCTTCAGGATCCCCTTGAAGTGTAGACGATCTCTGTGAATGGCACGTAACTCCAAAACATTCCCTGGAAGAACCGACTCCTGTCTGTTCCATCAACCTTGAGTCATCTGGTCCCGAAAGTGGGCACCCCAACCATGAGCACTGGAATCTGTTGTCAATAGGATTCAATTGGGTTCTATCAAAGGGAATCCGCTTTCCAAATTATTTTCTTAACCACCATGACAGATGCACCTTTACCAACAGAGATATCTTCAAGGGCTGATTCCAATACATAACCTGCCGGTTGAAGTGGTTCAGGAATGATCTCTGAGGAACTCTTAGATGCCACTGGGCCCACCTGACTAGTCCTATAAAAGAAGTCAGATTGCCCAGAAGTTGCGAATATCTCTTTGCTGTTATCATACGAAGGTGTAAAATCCTGTAGATGAAGCTTAATCCTCCGTATCCTTTCTTGTGAAAAGGAGATAGAGTTCTGGAGAGTATCGAAGTTCGCCCCCAGAAACGTAATCCTCTGGGATGGAATGAGGCTGCTCTTCTGATGATTCACCAACCAGTAGAATCGATGAAGTTCTGGTAGCACGAAATTCCTGTGTAGTACCACCATCTGGACGTTTGGTGCTACCAATAGGTCGTCCAGGTAATGAAACAGATTCCCTGAATCCTCAATCTTTCTATAAGAACCAATACCTTTTGAAAAAGGTCCTGGGTGCTGTGCTCAGGCCAAATGGGAGTGCTCTGAATTGAAAGTGATCTTCTCCTATTGCAAATTGGAGAAACCTTTGTTCCTTGGCTATAGGGACGTGATAGTAGGCGTCCTTTAGATCTATAGATATGAGCCAATCTGCCTTTCGGATAGCTGGTGAGATGGATCTTATGGACTCCATCTTTAAGGATCTGACTAATAGTCTCCTGTTGATCCTCCGCAGGTTTAGAATAGGTCTCCACTTGTCCTTGTCTTTCTGGACTAAGAACAGAGGTGAATAATGACCCTGGAATCGTTCCTTTTCCCGAACTGAAATGACTCTTTGGGACCTGAGGTTCCGAACATGGTCTCCCATAGCCCTGCTTCTGCCCTCGTCCTTGGGCAGACCTGTGGTTATGAAGAAGTCGCCCCTGGGTCTTTTGCGGAATTCTAACCGATAACCTCTTTGAATTATTGCTTTGACCCAGGAATCTTGTGTGTCTTCTGCCCAAACTTTCTTGAAGAGGGAAGGATGAGCACCCACTTCCGACGGATAGACAGAAGTTTCTGCCTCCAGCACGAAAGGAAGGATTTCTACCTCGGGAAGAACGTGAAGCATATGATTGGCCCCCACGCCAATTACTCCGGTTGAATTCTCTACCTGGTTGGTAGCTATGAGAATCCCGAAAATATTGGTCTCTAGGAGGTCGCTTTTCTGACCAAGAGGAGCCTGGTCTCCTTCTTTTTTTCTTGGGGTAAAAAGACTTTATGCCTTTCAGCTGCTTTTTTTAATGGAATCCTCCAGGGTTTTCCCAAATAGAAGCTCGCCTTCAAATGGTATGGAACATAAATTGGCCTTGGAGGAGGAGTCCGCACCCCAATAATGCTACCGAGAGAGCCATGGTGCGGGAGAAAATCCTGGTGATATCCAGGGCTGCTTGTGTGATAAATTGAGTAGCTATCCTAAGGTCACAGCATATCTGAGGTTTGTTCTCTTTATTCCTCTCTCCACATCTGTATCCAGATCTTTCACCCAACTTTTCATGGCTCTGGAAACTGCTGTAAGACAAACAGCTGGATGGCATCCTGTTCCACCCGCCGAATATATCTTGGAAAGATCTGCATCCAACTTCTTATCCATTGGTTCCCGCAAGGAAGCTGAACTATCCAGTGGTAAACTAGTTCTCCTGGCTACCCTAGAGATGGGGTTGAGAAACAGTTTATCATCACACTTGAAAAAAACATAACAAAGATCACAATAATTTGAAATTTATGGGTATATATAAACTAACACCAAATTGGAGAGATCTGATAAAACGCGTAGGACAAATGGAAATGAGGTGGATTTTTAACTTGAATACACTAACACCTCTTAATAGCGATTTCGAACTGTCATTTTTTATAACCCTTTTTTATTATATTATATGTCTTTAATTATTAATACAAAGCATCAGTGATTTTGTTACTGTCATTGCTGTATAATGTAAGATCTCTATTTACTTTATTATATAACTGCTGGCACTTTTTGCACCTTATACTATTTGCATGAAACAAATCCGTTACATATAGGAAAAGGCTGCTAGCTCTCTCTAAAAAAGCAATGTTTTAGCGACAATTTCATTTAACTGTGACATTTTGTGTCTCAACTGCACTATCGACACCTAACTTTCCTTTTTCCATTTTGCCATTACTCATTTGCTCTGTAGCTCTGTACATATAGACTTTTTGCCATTAAGTAAAATGGCGTCAGTGGACTTGCACGGATGTAAGGACGTAGTGACAGTGCTACGTCACTTCCAGTTGACGAAACCGGAACTAAATAAGCGATGATCACAGCCGCGATCAATCAGGAGGGCGGGAACCAATCTACCAATGACATCCACCGACACCATTCAAAAGACCAGGAACTCAAATACAGATACGATTGAAAAAGCCACCAGGGTGAAACGCGTCTCGGGACCACCCACAGGATTGAATTTTTATTTGGACCATTATTGTTTTATATTTTGTATTTTTACCTAATAAATTTCATTTTTTACTACACCTTCTCCTGTGGCATCCAGCATCCAGAGTTCCTGTTACATTCAAAGAAGGGTATGTGTCCTCTTATTGGCACATGTGCTGTTTAACTTAGAGCCGCGTTCAAGGCTCTATGTAAGGTGAGCAGTTTTATTTATTCACCTACATATATTGGTACCTTAGACTTATTACACTAGATACTGGCATTTGTCACTTTTTCAGAGGGAGACTATAAGCAACATCACCTAAAGGATCCATGTCTCCTCAAATAGATGTCTGCTTGAGTGATCTGAGCCTGTCCTGTCTAGGCTCAGAACCACGTGAGTGAATTCCTATTGAGTTATTTCACTCGCATTATTCTTATACATTCCACACTATTATCTATCCCCCCCTTAGGTTACCAAGAGTTCCAAGGGGGGAAAGTTATTTCCAAACTTCTGAGCGCTCCACCTTCCACTGGGATAACTTGATAAAGCATCAGCAGCCGCATTTTGTACACCGGGAACGTGCATGCAAGTAATGAAAAACTCATGAGTAGCTGCTAGCCATGTCTGTCTCCTCACCAGTTTTATAATAACCAAAGATTGGGAGCGACTCTTGTTGAGAATGTGACAAGCTGCCTGGTTATTGAGAAAACACCTGACAGCTTGACCTATCCAGGATACCCCCCAAGTGAAGGCTGCAACTCCCACTGGGAAAATTTCAAACCGCGCCGAAGAGTCGGTGAAATTGCAATTGACTGGACTCACTCATTTGCGAAGATTGCAGCATAACCTGCAGTACTGGCAGCATTTGCCCAAATGACAGGGTATTTATCTGAGGGGCTGGATGAACATAGACTTGCCGTTCCATGATGACAAAAATTACCACATAAAAATGTCAGCTTTTGCTTGGGAGTCTGTCAATAACGCTATCATTGTCAGGTAAACCGTGCAGCATGCATAGGTCGCGAGATAAAGGATCTGTCTTGGGGAATGGTTTTTGCATGTGCCTGGAAACACAGGGAGCAAACATGCAGCAATCTGCAGGCGCTGTACCTGCAGCCGCTAGCGTTAAAGTTGCTGCAAATCTGAGATTTGCCCAAAAAGACTGGGTCTCCCCCAACTTGTCTTTTAGGTCCCGTTGTATGGGCCTGGCAGACTAGGGTACGGAGGCTTGGTTGGTGGATGGGAGCTCAGCGCGGTTGGGGCACATATTTGTTGTGTGAGTAGATGACGAGCAAGCTGCACAAGCTGGAACTTCTAGACCAGCAAAATGCCTATAAAATAGTTCCGTATCAAGAGAACTCCAATCAGTTTTAATGCTGAACTGGGCAAGTGCCGCGGCTGCTGTTTGCAGAAAATGACTTGTGATAGTCAAAAATCGCAAATCCGCCGTACTTATGCCCGAGGTCTACTAGCTTGTGCAAGTCGAACTCTTCATGTCTTTGGGGAAAAACTGAACATATTACATCCCTAATCAACCCAAAAGCTAAAACAAACTCTGTGATAGAAAGTGTTTTGTTAAGCCTAGGGTCTCCTGCTTTCATAACAACCGACAAGTCACCAAATGAGTAAGACTTGTGGTCGGTGACATACACTGACGCTATGAGCAAGGGCACCAGGTTGACATCTTTTCCCTTCAAGATGTCCTTTCTCCGCATCAGAGGAACTAGATGGGCTGGCGTGATTATGGTACTGGTGGAGGTTGAGGGCTGGTTAGCAACCATAAGAGTATTGCCCTGCACTCCAACACTCGCAATAAGGATAACAGGAGGAACGGCAGCTGAGGAGGAAGTACCCGTAATCGTAGCAGCTTCCAAGACCCCGAGCCTAGTAGCAATGGTGTTAATGGAGGAGGTCAAATTAGTAATTAAGGAGTGCAGGTCAGACAGACTGGGTTGAACTATCCCTTCATGACTGGGACCAGGGGTTTCAGAGTTGGCCTGAGACCTTAACAATCTGAACAGTTCAGCCTTCCTAGCCATGGCTGGATAGGCTATATTTTTCTTCTTTAATTCGGCTGTGATCTTCAGGATAGTCCATGATCTTAAAGAACTAGGACTTGCCTGGAGGGGGAATAGTTCCTAGCCGGGGTACTAGGTAAAGATAGGTAGTCACCTTGAATGGACTCATTTGACGTTCTAGGTAGGAAGAAAAGACCATGTGTAACATAGTGTTTATGATAGGTGAAGCAAAAATGGATTGGCAGTAGCTAATGCCAAGTGGCAAAATTGTATTACCATAAGGGTAAATTTGGTGAACCCAGCTAGGCGCCGATTGGCGAGAGGCTTTAACTAGGAATTGGCATGTGGGCGTAAATCCCTTCTAACGTAATGGGGAGAATGCCTCAGGTCTCCGATAACTGATAGTCAAAAAGGTTGGGCGTGACAGGTGAGGCCACGACTATACCAATGAGCGAGGCACTAACTATGCGTTGGACCGATGGACGAATGTACCTAGAGATTGGGGTGGGAGTAGGCATCGCTGGACCACTGATTATGGCATAGAAGCCCAGAAAGGCATACCTAGTTGGGCCTAGTCTATAGCTAGAGAAAATGCCAGTCCAAGTTACTAGGGGTATCTATTTCAGTAGATCATTCCGTACCTTGGTCAAGTAACTGGACTTGTATATACGAGGTTGGAGCTGATGGGGTAGCGGGTAAACTAATAACTGGGACAAGACCTATGAGCAAACCAGACCTAATTATAACCATAACCGGATAACATGTATTTAAACAGTTGAAATAGCCACTTACGAACACGTCTAGCTGAAAAGTGACCTATAGTGTTCACCCCCAAGAGCATCAACTCTTGCAGGCTTGGGTGGAAGAAGACAAATGAAGCAGTGAGTAAACAAATACATAAGACAGGACCCATGGACACACCAGATCTAATATATCCAAACAAATGACATGTATATCAACGTAAGTTTAAAATTGATAGCCACTTACTAAGTCAAGCGTCATGAAACGCCTATAGAGTCAGCCATAGAAATGGAAACTCTTGCATTCTTGTGGGTGAGCGTCAGAACCTGTGTGGGGACAGGACTAAATCAACTACCAAAATAAGAAAGCAGCACTTCTAATTTTTTATTTTTTTTAAAGTAAGCAGAGCTTACCAATAGTTAAGATGAAGAAACACTTGAAACTTCTGATTTTGCTAACCAATTCAGGAAATGTTGAGCCTAATGAGGCAGAAGTAACAGACAAAATACATGATAGCTTTGAATTTGACCATAAAAGATGTAGGTGATGAGACAAACCCTTTGACACCAAATATTCCTGACTGAAGAAACCATACCTAAATCAGGATTTGTTTTACTAATTCAAACATAAAGCACAATATTTTGACAAAATAATTACCTAGACAGGCCACAAGGTGGTGGTGATAACTTAAATAACTTGTAAATTCCTAATACAAAAAGCTTAAATTCAGCCGAATGAAGGGAAATGACAGCAAAAGCCCTTGCCCTTAAAGGGACACTCCAGGCACCCAGACCACTTCTGCCCACTACTCTTAACCCTGCAAGTGTAATTATTGCAGTTTTTTTTTATAAACTGCAATAATTACCTTGCAGGGTTAACTCCACCTCTAGTGGCTGTCTACTAGAGGGCACTTCCTGGTTCCTACCACAGGAAACCTGTGTAGAGCGTCGCTGGACGTCCTCGCGCTGTGAGGACCTCCAGCGTCACTCATTTCCCAATAGGAAAGCATTGAAATGCTTTCCTATGGGGAGTACTAATGCGCATGTGTGGCATTGCCGTGCATGCCATTAGGTCTTCCCAGCCAGTGGGCGCGATCAGTCTCGCCCGCCGGCCGAAGCAGTCAGGAGGAGCGGTGCGGTGGGAGAAGCAGCGATGTGGGACATCGTCGCTGCCTCAGGTAACCGGGGATTGGGGGGTGGGAGGGAGAGGGAACCTGCAGTGCCAGGAAAACGGATTGTTTTCCTGGCACTGGAGTTTCCCTTTAATGGCAAGACTGCTTTGAAAAAGCCGAACTGAACGTGCCGAACGCATTGCTGCAAGTATGTTTGAGGGGAGCTAAACCTGCTAAACAAAATCTTTTGCCGAAAGGAAAGCACACATGGCAAGTTTAAATGTGTAGACTAACTACACACAGAGAACCCAGCGTGTATGCGGGCATGAATGCAAGGGGGGGGTGGTCTGTGGCTCGATAACGTGGTGCTGGGGAAACCCAGTGAGTAGAAAGGAGACTGGGTTACTAGTCCCGATGGTATGCTGAGAGGCACCAGTCAGGATAACTCACTGTTGGTGATCAGATCTTGTGGAACAGACAGTCGCCAGGAGGCAGCAGCAGGGACCTCCATGCAGGCGATCAGGACCTTCCACTGGCTTAAACTCGGAAGTGAAAGATCTACGGCAACGCTGGAACTAGAGTGCAGGTAACGGGTGGAGGTCTGGGTTTAAATAGGCTGGACAACTCATCCCACAACTACAGGCTGACTCGTGTGTGTGTGTGTGTGTGTATATATGTGTGTGTGTATATATGTGTGTGTGTATATATGTGTGTGTGTGTGTGTATATATATATATATATATATAGACATATGAGTCAGCCTGTAGTTGTGGGATGAGTTGTCCAGCCTATTTAAACCCAGACCTCCACCCGTTACCTGCACTCTAGTTCCAGCGTTGCCGTAGATCTTTCACTTCCGAGTTAAGCCAGTGGGAGGTCCTGATCGCCTATATATATCTGATGCATTGCAGATAAGCTTATTTCAAGAGTGCCTGGAAGACCTTTGGAAACTGGTATAAACACATTTTTGGCAGTATCGTCTAACTAAAAATATAGCTAGAATGCTTGTTCATGTGCTAATCTCCAATCTCAAACACTGCAAACCACTCTTGATTTCCTACACTTCTGTTGTCAGTCCTTGCATTGGTTTACTATATCTGAGGCACTTTAAAGGATCACTAGAGTCAACATATAAAAACAAGAAAGACCGGCCCCCCAGCCTTATTTCTTGCTTTTATTTGAACTTGCCCCTATTCAATAAATCCAAGCACTTTATAGCATTAAAACTTACCCCCGTTCCAGCGCCGAGCTTCCCTGCCAGGCCACGCCCCCTTTTCCAACAAAATGACGAAATTGCAGGGCCCCATAGGACGTCATCGCTGTCTGGTGCGCATGCGCGGCTTCGCGCTGCACAAATCAGGTTCTTCATAGAGCGGCATTGAATGCTGCTCTATGAAAAAACTGAGCACTCTACCGCGCATGTGCGCGGTATGTGCGTTCGCAAGCTGACTCTCAGCTCGCTGTCTATGCCCAACCCCCTCCTACGGCAAACCTCCAGCCCAAAGTATGCATGCAAACACTATAAATAGAGATCTCTATATATAGTTTGCATACAAACACACTCTCCGTCTGTCTCCGTCTGTCTCTCTCGCTCTCACCCAGTCAGTCCCCCACCCACAAAATAAGTTTACTTACAGTTTGAATCCTCCCCTCCTGCTCAGTCTCCGGTCTTCAGCCTGTCAGCTCCCACAATCCCATATGCTGCTGACGGCCTGCAGACCGGATGCTCATGCACAGTGCTGCCCTGTCTGCTGACAGCACATCTGAGTGGATGGATGTGAATTACGCATCCATCAACTCTGAAATCCCTCTGGTGGCAGTCTGAGTGACTGCAACTAAAGGTGTTCCTAGCTTTCAATGTAAACACTGTATTTGTTGCTTACAGTGTCCCTTTACTAAGTTTGATGTTGCTTCCAGATGTGCTTTAGTAATTTCAAGTCTTCATTTAAAGAGATTTCTACTGCCATGGAGGGAGGAAGAACATTTCAAACTCAAGAAATGCAGGTATATTTTCACTTCCATCCAATGTTGAAAGACACCACGAGGAGAATGGAAGGTGCCTGAGAAACATCCTTTCATCACTTAACATTTCAAAAATGTTTTTGCTTTGAGATGCAGATAAGCCTTGCTGTTGGGAAAGTTTCATAGCTAAAGTATTCTAAGGATTTTAAAAAAAAATTAAAAAACTTGCGAAAATTGATCCAGACTGCAGCAGCTTTAGCGTAAGACCCTTGTTTTTGAGGACAAATAAAGATTGACTAGTTTTCCAACTTGAAACATCTCTTGCTGTATAATTCAATGAGGACACAGTAAAACCTTTACAGCATAACAAACTGAATGCAGAATTCCTTTGTGACTTATCTGCTGCAGCCCTCAGAGTATCAGCCTGAACTATGGGTCTTTTGGCTGCAGACAGAAGAGCCATATGGGAGCAATATGGCATTTATACTTCTAAATAATTACTTCATAGGTCCCTTACTCAAGCAGATGAAGGTAAATATTCTTTAAAGGACCACTACAGTGCCAGGAAAACAAACTTGTTTTCCTAGCTTTATAGGGTCTTTGGGTCCCCGCTGGGCTCTAGGGGGAGGAAGTGGTTAAATTCTTATCTTGCCACGCGCGCATTCAGTCAGTCCATAGGAAAGCATTCTTAATGCTTTCCTATGGACGCTGGCGTCTTCTCACTGTGAAAATCAGTGAGAATCGCGGAAGTGCCTCTAGCGGCTGTCAATGAGACAGCCACTAGAGGCTGGATTAACCCTATAGTAAACATAGCAGTTTCTTTGGAACTGCTATGTTTACAGCAGGCAGGGATAACCCTAGCTGGACCTGGCACCCAGACCACTTCATTGAGCTGAAGTGGTTTGGGTGCCTATAGTGGTCCTTTAACGTCAGTATGGCTAGAATGAGGTTTTTCTTTTTTTTTTTTTTTTTTTTTTTTTAGTAGTTTTTCTTTTGCTAGTCTTTAAGTTCAGGCTTTGAAGGATGAAGACTCAAAGGACAACTCCAAACGACAAAAGTTCTCTGGCAGAGATATAAATGGCAGGTTTTGAAGCCAGATACACTTGGCAGCAATTGGCAAAGAACTTCATGAAACATTCCTTTGGATTATAAAAGAAGCTTTACCTTGGACTGGAATATCTTCCCCAATCAACATCTCATGTCCTTCTGTTCAGGTAGAAGGCTTGGAAAACCTCCTTCACACAAATGTTATAAAAGTGCCACAAGCTCTTGGAATAACCTTTTCGGAAATTAGAAATGTTGCGCGTAACCAATGCGTTCGTTTTTGAAAAACATGGATAGATGTTTACAAGATTATCGTAGCATGTTATAGCACTGTAATGTAGTATACTTTTCATATATTTTTTTCCTGCAGTGGTGAAGTTCAAAATAAAAAAAGCCTCATATTTTACTACGTGGTTGAGTTGTGTTAACTAAGCATGCGGTGAAGCTTTCAGTATATTTAACCTTATATGTAATTAAGTAAGCTTTGCATTTCTATTGTAAGCTTAATATAGGTCAGAATATATATAACAAATTACAGAAGCGTACCAGATAGCCTCTGAATGCCGTAGGGCGCCAATATCTTATGTTCTCGCAGAAGCCACTTGTAACGTCCTAAGGACAATTTCAATATAGGTTGTCACGTATCTCATTTGCTTTTGGTTTGCCAGTTAGTTGATTACAATGGCAAACATGAAGCCCGTGTTAGCTGGTTTGTGCAAGTGCATTGTGTTAGCTGGTTTGTGCAAGTGCATTGTGTTAGCTGGTTTGGGCAAGTGCATTGTGTTAGCTGGGTTGGGCAAGTGCATTGTGTTAGCTGGTTTGGGCAAGTGCATTGTGTTAGCTGGTTTGGGCAAGTGCATTGTGTTAGCTGGTTTGGGCAAGTGCATTGTGTTAGCTGGGTTGGGCAAGTGCATTGTGTTAGCTGGTTTGGGCAAGTGCATTGTGTTAGCTGGTTTGGGCAAGTGCATTGTGTTAGCTGGTTTGGGCAAGTGCATTGTGTTAGCTGGTTTGGGCAAGTGCATTGTGTTAGCTGGTTTGGGCAAGTGCATTGTGTTAGCTGGTTTGGGCAAGTGCATTGTGTTAGCTGGTTTGGGCAAGTGCATTGTGTTAGCTGGTTTGGGCAAGTGCATTGTGTTAGCTGGTTTGGGCAAGTGCATTGTGTTAGCTGGTTTGGGCAAGTGCATTGTGTTAGCTGGTTTGGGCAAGTGCATTGTGTTAGCTGGTTTGGGCGAGTGCATTGTGTTAGCTGGTTTGTGCAAGTGCATTGTGTTAGCTGGTTTGGGCAAGTGCATTGTGTTAGCTGGTTTGGGCAAGTGCATTGTGTTAGCTGGTTTGGGCAAGTGCATTGTGTTAGCTGGTTTGGGCAAGTGCATTGTGTTAGCTGGGTTGGGCAAGTGCATTGTGTTAGCTGGGTTGGGCAAGTGCATTGTGTTAGCTGGGTTGGGCAAGTGCATTGTGTTAGCTGGGTTGGGCAAGTGCATTGTGTTAGCTGGTTTGGGCAAGTGCATTGTGTTAGCTGGTTTGGGCAAGTGCATTGTGTTAGCTGGTTTGGGCAAGTGCATTGTGTTAGCTGGTTTGGGCAAGTGCATTGTGTTAGCTGGTTTGGGCAAGTGCATTGTGTTAGCTGGTTTGGGCAAGTGCATTGTGTTAGCTGGTTTGGGCAAGTGCATTGTGTTAGCTGGTTTGGGCAAGTGCATTGTGTTAGCTGGTTTGGGCAAGTGCATTGTGTTAGCTGGGTTGGGCGAGTGTTTTGTGTTAGCTGGGTTGGGCAAGTGCATTGTGTTAGCTGGTTTGTGTCAGCTGTTTGGGTAGTTACCTTGTGTTGGTTTATGCAGTTATTTTGTGTTAGCTGGTCGGTGTGACTGCTCTGTGCCGGCTGGTTTGTGCAAGTGCTTTGTGTTGGTTGGTTTGTGTGGTTGCTTAGGCCTAGTAACATACAATGCAGTAATTAGGCAGGTAAATAGGCAGTATTGAAACCTGAACAGCTTATGGTAGCAATTAAAAACATATGTCCTTGCTGCTAGGTCAGTTGCTCATCAATCTGTACTACCCTGCACAGTTTGAACTAGAAGGAGTATGTATACAAACTCTTTATGTTAAGTGCATTAGTATTGCCTAGTCTATTAAAACTGACATGCGGGGTAACATAGGCTTATAAACTAAAAATTACTAATAAGGACTGAAACAATACAGGAGCAGGTCTGTTCTGAATGTCTAAGCTTTCGGCTAAATGAGTCCCAAACGTTGACGAGTTAGGTTGGGCCATCCATATCTGGGGCCCACGGGTACCTCCCTGACGGGGAGCCCTCTTTTGCCTTCACCCTGGGCAGACTCCGGTCCGCCAGTGGGTAGATCCGTGACGCTGTGGGCACTCTGTTGTGTGGGCAGTCTAGCAGATCCCTCCCCCCCACGTTGAATCCACCTGCCGCCTGTCCCCTGCACCTCCCCGGCTCCCCCGTATCCACCCCCGGGTACCAGCCAGTCCATGCCTCGCCTGGCTCCGGTCTCATACTTGGTACCAGTGCGTGCCCCCCGGCCACTGGTCCGCCGGAGGGTGCGCGCCCCTCGGCCACTGGTCCGCCGGAGGATCCACTTCCAATTTTGCAACAAACTGGGGGGAAAAAATCCTTCTTGACGCCAGAATGGCAGTCAGATTAGTCCTTGGAACAAGAAGCTATTACCCTACATTGAAAAATTATATCCTTGAATATTGTTTTTGCAAGTATGCATCTAGTTGCTGTTTGAACATCTCTATGGACGCCGATAAAACCACTTCATCAGGTAGAAAATTCCACATCCTTATTGTTTTTACAGTAAAAAAAAAACTACTTTTCTTTGCTTTAGATGAAATCTTCTTTCTTCCAGTCTAAACACATGACCTTGTGTCCTATGTAAAGTCCGGTTTGTGACTAGATTTCCACCCAGTGGTTTGTATTGGCCCCGGATATATTTGTATAATGTTATCATATCCCCTCTGAGGTGACATTTTTCTAAGCTAAAGAGGTTTAAATTTGTTAACCTTTCTTCATAGCTATGTTCCATTCCTTTTATTTCGTAGCCCGCCTCGGCACTGTCTAGTGCCACAATATCTTTCTTTAGAACAGGTGCCCAAAATATTCAAGCACAGCATATTCAAGATGTGGTCTAACCAGTGATTTATAAAGAGGCAAAATGATATTCTCATCCCGAGAATGAATGACCCCAGAATAAGTCAGATTTATCCTTGGATCAAGAAGCTATTACCCTACAGTTGAAAAATTACCGAATATTATTTTTTTTGCAAGTATGTATCTAGTTGTGCCCCTCATACCTCCCCAGCATATAAATGGGGGGACGGGAGGAGAAGGGGGCATTAGGCTCCCCATAGGAAAGCATTCACTCAATGCTGTCCTATGGGGATTTCACTGATGCCGGATATCCTCATGCATCCAGCGTCATTTAGGCGACAGTCTGCTAAACTCCCAGAAGCATCTCTATTGGCCATCTAGTAAAGAGATGTATTGCATTGCAGGACTAAGTGTAACAGGGACCTTACACCCAGACTAATTCAATGATGAATGATGAAGTGTTCTGGGTTCCTATTATGTCACAAACTGCTCTAATCACCTTAAATGGACCTCACTATCTCTTTTCCCCCCACGCTGCCCCCTTGGTTAGAGGTAACTAATACACTTGAGCTCAGACTGTGGTTATCACCAGGTTTGCTAATTATACCTCCTATGCTCCTGCACGTGGAGGACATAATGACAACTCACCTTGCATGATTTTACTTCTTGGAAGCTAAGGAGGTGTTTGTCTACCTATTTTGTAACATTTATTATCACAGCAGGCCCGCACCCCACCTTGGTGATTTGGATAATTTCTCGATAGGTAATGGTCCATTCTTAACACCTATAGCTGACGGACTGGCTTTCCTCTATGATTGACATAATGTGTTTACTCACAAATTCATTCCCTAGAGCACTTGCCCCTTATAAGGCAAATTATTCTCTGGGATGACCACTGACCTGACTTTTTCCCTTTTTCGCAGATTCCAATGTTAGGGACACTTAATCTACCTGAGCCCTTTCTCGGCAGAAGAAAAGGGCCATCAGGCCCATTGAGGGTAATCACATTTTTAAATGTAACATCCTATACTCCTGTATATGGAGGGTTCTTGCTAGTTTCACCTTGCTTGTTTATGATGAACTTTCACGTCTGGGGGAGACGGCCGATCCCTCAGTCGGCGTTGCAGCCGGACCCAAGGCGGGCAGCCCTGTTTCTCCCCCCCATGCCCCCTGCCGGTGAGGGTTATCCCGGCAAACTCAGCCACTTGCCTGCTTCTGGGACTGAACTGCGTGCACCCCGCCAAAATCCACGGGCATAGCTATAGCTCTCAAAATGGCCCTGTAACATACGCGAGGCCTGACCTAAGCTTTTTGGCAACATTCGACAATCTGTAAAGACTTCTGGAAGTGACTGAGGCAACAAGCAGCCCCTGTCCACAAGCTCAGACACTGATCCTGCCAAGAATAGCACCCACACTTATCACCCTCCAGAGATACAGAGGGGGCCCAAGAAGATGAACCACTCTGGATGGAGAAGGAGCCCTCCTGTGCCCTTGAGAAGCTGCAGAGAAGGGAGTGGGAACCCTCGACATGCCCGCCGCACATGCGCCCAGCAGAGGAGACAGCTCAAACATCATGCTGGCGAGAAGCATCGGAATTGACCCCCCCTTCTCGCACTGACCTCTCCCAGCAGTACAATGACCTCCACTGGAGCACGCTTGGTCCTACGCAACACAGAGCCTTGACAGGCTGTCTCTCCAGTGCTCCTGGAAGTGGCAACCATCTGCAGCACCTGGCGACCCTACCTCACGAAGGGGCATCGGCTGATTCCCTTATCTCACCCAGAGACTCGTACCCAAGCCCATCTCCCTTTATTAACCAGTAAACCTAGCAAGTGGTGGGGGAAAGTATTTTGTTTATCCAAGCTTTTACTACCTATATAAACACGTTTACCTAATGACATCATACAGTTCAACATGAGCAGTTAAGCATAATATAAGCATGTTTTACCATATTTCTTTCCTGACCATAACCAGTATTTCCAACGTGTTATCTTGGCTTTACAAAAAAGTGCTAATGTTTTATATCTGTTTTTGAATTGCTTGCTAGAACTGTCATGGTAGCACAAGCTTGTTTATCACGTGCACTACAAAACTAAAAACTTTTTATTTTTTTTATTCTAAATAAGTTATTGAAAAGTTAAAATACTTAAAGTATGTGATAAAAAATGTTTACGTGTTCAAAGAGAAGTTACCACAGCTTATTTAACAGTGTCTAGTTTAAACTGCTAGCATAGTGTCTAATTTCAGCTTGATCACCTTAACCTGACTTGAACAGATAACAAGATGTTTTAACACTTTCCAAATTGGAATAAAATGCAGCCTTTGGTTTTAACGGTTTTACAGGAACATATTTCAGGATGTTTCTGATGGGGGAGGAGGGGAGAAAGCAATGGTTCCTTTTGTCCAATTCTTGAACTAAAAACTTTCAATATGTTCTCGAACAAATTTTGAATGGAGAATATTTAAGCCGTAAATCTGCTTCTCTAGCCGGGGGATTTGTGGCATCTCTAGACCCTATACACTTATATTGAAGGTTCGCAATTGGCAGCACAGATAATCTTACATTTTTGGTTTATAGCGCTGCCTTTTAGTTTGGCACAAATTCCAAATTACAAAAGTTCTGGTTGCCATAGCTTTCCAGCTGAGGAAAATGGGGATCTATGTAGTATTGGTCTAGTTAATTGACTTATTGAAGCCAGTTCAGCAAATAAACGTCAGGAAGTAGTATACAGTGATACATTTTTTTTCAGAAACATTGGTGAGTAAACAGTTGGGAAAAGCTGCAGTCAAGTCCCAACCCTGTTATTGTCTTTTTATTTCAGAATGACATGCCTCCCTTGAGACAAAGATTTGGTCAGTCTTGCTCCACCCTGTCTGTGACTCATTTCAGTAACATGTGATGGCTGTCTTGGTCTGATCTACTTCTGCATTTCCAGGGTTACATTGGCAAAGGAAATTGGAGACGTCTTTAAAAAATAGATTCACACAAAATGGAACAGGTTTCTTAATTCCCAGTTCTGTCTTATCTCAATAAGTGGTGGGAATTTTATTTGCCTTCATATCTGTGGTGGAACATATCTCCAATTTTGTATGTTTTACCTTTTTCTGTTCGCGAGTCATGGTATATAAACATACTACATTCAATACCTGAATGAGGATCACCGTGGTACCCCATTAGAACGTTCCCACCTAGTAACTTAAGTGCGAAATTGCAAGGGAAGTAATTAATGAATGCTTCCCCATTTTGTCTCCTGAACTTGTGCAGCGGCACTTGGTCGTCGAGTGCCTGGAACTCTTTTCGGCTAGGCACTCGCATGAACCCTGGTAAAGGTTATACCGTTGCCCATTCTATTTCCCGACCCGACTGGGAGGACCATTCGTACACCGAAATCAAGATAATCCCTTGCATGGTTTTCGCACAGGGACCCCTGAACAGAGACTGGCTGGGACACCTATTTCCCTGGAACTATTTTGGGCTTTCCCCTCGTGTCTGGCCTGTCACAAGTTTACCCCGGTGGCAATCCAATTCTAACAAATGGATCTGAGTGATACTTGGCCAAGTTGTACACTCACACGAGTGCTATCTGGGGATATAACTTTTTGGGGGTTCCTAGTTATTATGGGGGTACTTTTGGGCTACTGTATTTTGTATAGGTTTTTTGTACCTGAGCAATGATTGAATTAGTTTCTCACGCAATTATCTCTCAGGCACAAAGGACCATGGGAGTGGAAAACCCTGTAAGATTGTGTTGGAGACCCCATGTTAGGGGTCTGTGCATAAAAGCAGAGTGTGGCCTGAATAAAATCAGTTGATTCCCAGAACTATATTTCGTCTGGCTACTGGGGGAATGGATGCTTGCATATTTAATGGTTCCAGTCTGGCTGAGAGAAGGAATTAGCGGAGGTAACCAGTCGGGATACCAGTGGTCCGCTACAATATCCAGACCTACATATGAAACTTATGCTGATTGCACTCTGACCTTCAACTCATACATTCAGGTTTAAACCATCCACCATGACTGAATATTACTAGGTAGTGCCCATCCTCATGTTAACACATACTTCTCATCTGTCCCAGATCTGGCAGTGTAGTCTTAATTTGAGACCCTCTCTTAGCAAAAACAGAGGAAATCCCCCAGGAGTGAAAGCTCATAAAATGTTTAAAGAGAAACTACAGTATAGTCATTATTTAAATTATTAAAAAAATTATTTTAGCTTAATGAAGCAGTTTTGGTGTATAGATTATGCCCCTCAAAGCCAGACTTGGAAAAATGTTGTCCTGGGTCCTCTTTCAAAGGGACTAAGGTTTTGTGGTCTGGAACTCTTAAAACGGGACCCAAGACGGGGTGACTACGATAGATTTCGAAGACAAAGAGAGTGTATGTGGATCTATAAACTTAAAGGACCACTCTAGGCACCCAGACCACTTCAGCTTAATGAAGTGGTCTGGGTGCCAGGTCCAGCTAGGGTTAACCCATTTTTTAATAAACATAGCAGTTTCAGAGAAACTGCTATGTTTATTAATAGGTTAAGCCTTCCCCCTAATCCTCTAGTGGCTGTCTCATTGACAGCCACTAGAGGCGCTTGCGTGCTTTTCACTGTGATTTTCACAGTGAGAGCACGCCAGCGTCCATAGGAAAGCATTGTAAATGCTTTCCTATGCGACCGGCTGAATGCGCGCAGCTCTTGCCACGCGTGCGCATTCAGCCGACGGGGCGGAACGGAGGAGGAGAGGAGGAGAGCTCTCCGACAAACAGTAAAAAGGCAAGTTTTCCCCCTTTTACCCTTTCCCCCTTTCCAGAGCGGGGTGGGAGGGGGTCCCTGAGGGTGGGGGCACCCTCAGGGCACTATAGTGCCAGGAAAACGAGTGTTTTCCTGGCACTATAGTGGTCCTTTAAGACCCTGCACCCAAAAGGTCTAAATGAGGTTTTTTTCTCCTCTTTAATAATGTTCCTGGTCAGTTTAACTTGATCCATATGGCAATGAATGACAAACACTTCATTCATTCAATCTTAATTTATGATCACTCTGTGGAATAAGCACTTTTAATCAAGCAGGCATATTTTTCGATCAGTAAATCTTTTTTTCCTATGAATACTGGGAAGTATACTACTTGGATACATATGGTTTGAACTATGAGTTCATTGTCCATGGAATGTTAGACCCCAATCTCTGCCTATTCATTCTTTTGGCCTCCACATAGAAAAACGTGCATCAAAACTTTATCCAAAACTAGGTGCCCTGTACAGAAACAAATCCTGCCCAACCCCTACAGTAAAGGAACAGATTGTACAGCAAATGCTGATGCCAATCATGTAGTATATGCACCTGCACTGCAAACGCTCCTAAATAAGCTTAATACATTGTAAAACTCGTGCTGCCGCTTTGTGCTACAATGTAATTACAGGACCCACCATTGTGCCCTGCTAAAAACTAAACTGGCTGTCGCTGGAATCCAGACGCACCCTTCATCTTTCCAGCCTTGTGTTCAACCCCTTAAGGACTGGACTGTTTTTGTGATGTTGTACATTTGCGACCAGGTCTCTTTTTACACTTTTGTGGTGTTTGTGTTTCGCTGTGATTTTCCGCTCTCTCATTTACTGTTCCTATACAAATTATATATTGTTTTTTTTTCAGGACAAAAAGGGCTTTCTTTACATACCATTATTTATATAATCTCATGTAATTTAAAAAAATAAAAAAATATGATGACAAATTGAAGAAAATACATGTTTGACTTTTACTTGAAAATTCTTTTACTCCTCTACAAAAGCGAATTACAAAAAACTGCTAAATAGATTCAAAATTGTGTACGGAGTTTAAAAATACCCAGTGTTTACATGCTTTTTTGTTTTGCAAGTTATAGGGCTATAGGTACAAGTAGGATATTGCAGTTTCAAAACACATTTTTAAAATTTATCAATAGTGACATTGTAACACTATTATCTGTCATAAATCTCTGAATAACACCCCACATGTACATATTTTTTTTTTTTTTTTTTTAAAGTAGACAACCCAGGATATTCAATATGGGGTATGTCCAGTCTTTTTTAGTAGCCACTTAGTCGCAAACACTGGCCAAAGTTACTGTTTGTACTGTTATACTCGGGAGACTTTGCTGAACACAAATATTAGTGTTTCAAAACAGGAAAACGTATCTCAACAATTATATCAGTAAAAGTGCTGTTTGTGTGTGGAAAAATACAAAAAAGTCACTTTCACTGACCATATCATCGCTGTGATATGGTTTACTGTTTTGAATCACTAATATTTGTGTTCGTCGAAGTCTCCCAAGTAAAACCGTACCCCCCCCATGTACAGGTTTTAGGATGTCATAGAAAGTTACAGGGTAAAATACAGTGCTAGCAAATTAAATTCTCTGGTTTTCGGCCTGGGTTAGCAGGCAGGTCCCTCAAATTGCAATCAATAAAATGACTTAATTATGTAAAAATATTACATAAATACACACGTAGAATTTAAATATATATGCATATTTATATATTTGAAGTCTACGTGTATATTTATATAATTATGTAATTTTGTATATGGACATATGTATATTTCGTATTTTTATTTATATATATATATATATATATACAATTTCATTCTAAGTGTATTTTGATGTAAATATATTACTATCAAAATAAAGTTAGAATAAAATTTCATATAGATATAGAATTTTTTAAAATTTTTATTTTTACATGTTTTGATTTAATTTAAATTACTTATTTGTATTTTATAATATATACAATATATAGTTATAATATATATACCTGTCTAATTTAATTAGAAGTGTATTTTTATATTATATACATATTAATAGAAAAATACACTTAGTATGACATTATATTTGAAATATAGACCTATTCGATATAAGTCTATATACACATAATTTATTTATTAACATTAACAGTTATTTATTTTTGTTATTTTACACTAGCAGGGAGACTGTCAGCATAGGCAGCCCCCTTGCAGGCAGACACATGGACACCTATTGTGACCATGTGATTGCGCTGTTGAGCGATCACATGGCCCCAGGGGTCCTAATCCACCATGGGGAGACTGTCTGGGCTGCATGCAGTCTTCCCACACCGGGAGCGCCGCCGGGGGAACAACTGCGTTCGGGTAAGTACATCTGACCATTAGGACAGTTCAGGACAGTCAGTGGTTGGCAACACAAAAATACCGATGACGGTCCTGAACCGTCCTTGGTCCTGAATGGGTTAAGAGCTTTCCTGGGATCTCCCACCCTACCTGAGCAGAATGCTCTCCTCGGCTGTTCCCACCTACAATCCAGTACCAGCACTTTATTTAGTCTAGCTCAAGACAAAAAGAAAGTGTCTCGATCCTCCTTTTTCTACAGAGCACCGCAATTATGGAACGACCTCCCGCACACTTTCAAATCTTCCCCAAGCCTAAAATCCTTCAAGAGATCTATTTCTACACCTGTCATGGTTTATTATGTTTCTTACTGATTCTATGTTAAATTTTGTATATATTGTGTATTAATATTGTTTATGTATTTTATTGTACTCTATTATATCAGTGCAACGTTTTGTGAACCCAGGACATACTTGAAAACCAGAGAAATCTCAATGTATCCTTCCTGGTAAAATATTTTATAAATAAAAAATAAATATATGGAGTGTCTTATTTCCTTATAGAGAATGGTGTTCTTATCACGAATAGCTTTCTGTCCTTATCACAATAAGAAGCTTAGTGAATAAGCCCCATTTGTAAATATATGAAATAAGGGAGATTGTTTTCCTTTTCATGTTTCATCCCTGTTTCAAATACTTTAATATTGTGAAGTATAATTACTAGGGGTTGACTTACATCAAATTATTGGATAATGTTCTCTGTTACGGAAGCCATGACTTATCACATCAAGCCCCTATGTAACGCTCCTTAAATTGTCGAACCCACTTGTTCCCTTGAGTTTGGTACCGTTAAACTACCGAACACAGACCACCCCCTGGCTCGTTAAATTCACAGAAAACCCTTAACTCAAGTGCTCTCTCTAGGTGGCCGCCATTTGCATAATTGAAACACATGCTCAGTGAATGGCGGCTCTCTTGTCTCCTGAACGCAGGCAGCGGTACTTGGCCATCGAGTGTGTGGAACTATACTTAGGACACTTTACCTCGCAAACCCTGGTAAAATTGTACTGCTGCCTACTCTGTCCCCAGAAAAGCCAGGAGAGCGATGTTCGCTCCTTACGAGCCTGGGGAAGCCTTTAATAACAAGCGAATAGGAACTCCTGAATATTGACCGACCACTACCCCTTTTCTTATGAAACCATTTTGGGCAGTTGCCACGTGCGGTCGGTCAAAACTTTACCCCGATGGCAGTTTGGCTATAGTGCATGGATCTGAGCGCTATTTGGACAACTTGGGTACCCGGATCCGGGCTTTCCAGGGATACCATGCTTGTAGGAATTTTGGGGTGTTTTGTTATAAAATATTGTACCTCTAGTGTCTGGGAGATAATTAAACCCTTGACATTCTCCATTTTATTTTAGCCTATTCCATTCATATGTGACACTAGATAGCAATCAGGTAATAGATTTGGTCCTGCATAATTTGATAAATCCACATGGTGTATGAATTGATTGTGACTGTATTTAAGTACTTAATTGATACAATATATATTGGTAAGATAAGTCTTCATAGCCTCAGCTCAGATGTCCTACTAAAGAAGCGGTTTAACTTGCTAACCCTGAAAGGGCTTCTCTTTTCTCCTCTTGCGCCGAAACGCACGTTGAGCTTATGCTAATTTTTTAAAATATTGTTAGGTGTAACCCTTTACATTTAAGACCAATGCAATCCTGATAGTGAGAATCTTTTGAGGCAAGATCTAGGGGGACTGCCTTGAAGCAGTTTGATCTACATATTAGGGGGGGGAGGTTAAGAGGATTAGCTTTAGCTATATTGTCTATCAAATACATGTTGCTGGTCAGGGCCGATCCTAGAATCACAGGTGCCATGGTGTAGAATTTTTTTGGGCGCCCCAGGTTGGCGTGGTCATCTTTCTAACCCCTCCCCTTTGCAACGATTCCACCTCTCCATCTAGACACACACACTCACTGACAGTCACACTCGGTGAGAGACACACCCACTTACTGATTTGTCACACATTGACAGATACATACTTAGACAGAAACATTGACACACTCTCAATGACAGATTGTCACGTCCTGTTCCTGTTATGGATCATTTCTGGCCATGGCTTCTGGTATCCAGTATTCCTTTTACAATTCTTATTTAGTTTTTCTGGTTTTCTTTATGCTGAGTTTTCTGGGTTCATTCCTTTATTACGTTCCTGGAATTCCCAGTCTTCTGGATTCTCTTAAACGTTTTTTTGTTGCCACACCTGTTCTCTTGCTATTTAATCCTTTCTGTTTCAGTCGGTTACTGCTAGCAGTGGTTTCATTTCATCTGCTCCTTTCATTGCAGGAATGTACTGTGTGTTTTATTATTATTGTATTTTTAGTCATGAATATCTAGGCAGTTAGGACCCACCATAATTGGAGTAGTTACCGCAGTGGTGGGCTGCATACATCTTGGCCATTTATGAATGTCTAAATCTCCAATGTTTATTACATATATAGTACTTGGTTATGTCTCCTCTTGTTTTACCTTGGATCTCTTGTCTTGTTTTATTTTGTCTTGTATTCCCAGTTCATGTACAGTCCTGTCCTGCCCTGTCACATCCTGTTCATGTTTCCCTCATGTATTGTGTAAATATTCTGGGTTCTGCTTTCTGTCCTGCTCCGGTTCTGGGTTCTTCTAGTCTTGTCTTATCTTTGGAGCCTGTTCTAGTCTTGCCTTGTTTCTAGTACTGGATACATTTATGCTGCAGAGCCTCCATATCCAGATCCTGGGAGGTCTGCATATTATCATCTTGCACCTGGGATCCACAGAAGCGGCATCAGGGCCTTGGTATGTGGCTGCACAAATGCTGGTGCTAAACACCAGGGGGCATGTGGTTACCCTGCACCAGACCCTGATAGTCCATTTCCACGCTGTAACTCCTATCTTCATCAGGCATACAGGGGTGTCTCTGGACCGACACCCATGACACAGATACACAATCTCACTGATTTGAAACACTCACTAACAGACACAAATGCTGACTGACACAGTGGTACACAAAACAAGGAAGTCCAGCACTCAGCGGTTTAAATCAAAACTTACATAAAAACACAATTACACACACACTGCCCCATGCATACCTAGACAGTCACACACAATACACACACATCCACACTGTCATATGGGCACTGTATCAGTGTCACATACACACATTCATTGCCTTTATGAGCATTGGGAGGTGGAGAGGTGGCCAGGGTCCCTAGTGTCTAGTGGGAGGCAGGTATTCCTTTCTGCTTCCCCTCTGTGATGCAGCGGCTCTAGACTTGGTGTCTCCCTCTTAAATAATTATATCTATAAACTCATTGTATAAATTATTTTTTAATGCAAAGCTTCTATGTAAAATGGTTTTCCTTATTTCAGTTTGCTGTATATGTACAGTGATGTATGCACCCCATACACAAATGAATACACATACATATAAAGCCACAGATCATCTCATACATACATAGACATGCGCACACTCGCATACACACACACTGTCACATACATACAGACACACACTGTCACATACAGAGGCACATAGCAATATACACAGTCACATACATATCTGGTTATTTACAAAATGATAATTGTCAGGCTTTCATAGTGGATTTCAAAGTGGATGACAGAATAGTCAATTTGGAAGCATTGTATTCATGAAAATTGTTTTAGTGAATAACCTTGTCAAACATGAATTAACACATACCATCGCAGTCATCAGACACACATCATCATGGACACAGACGCACCAAAACAGTCAGACATATACGCATTAACGCAATTACAAACATTCATAAAAAACAGAGGCACATTAAGACACACAAAGTCCCATACATAGACACACAACACACTTGGTCACATAGACATAGGCTTATGTATAGCAGGTTGGTTGGTAGGTTAATTAAATTGGTGTTCAGGTGTGTTATGGGACAGGGTAGGCAGGTAGTTACTCAGCAGAGTATTGCTGGTGTAACACTGCCTACACTCAGCAGCTCCTTTGCCAGCCACATACTAGGGGATTTTCTAGGGTTTGGGAGGTTTTTAAGGCTGCATTCTAAAGCAGCCACTCACTCTCCTGAGTCCTACAGTGTTCCAAGCTGTGACACTCTTCCCTGTAGCGCCCCCTTTATTCTAGTGCATGGTCACAAATGCCCCCTTAAATGACCCTCGTGGTCCAGTGCTATCCTATATCCATTCCCCGGGTAGTCCTGTGGTGAATAGGAATTGCACGTCCTGTTTCAAATCATAATACCCACTTCTTCATGGCTCCGGCTTTCAATGTTGTCAGAGCGCAGGCTGAGAATCTGAGCCTGTTCTGATTAACTGAGCGCCAGAACCACAAGGGAGAGGGTATGATCTGACTGCACCTACTACTGATGCACACCAGTGGTCCACCAGGGAACCTTTTAAATTTAATATGCTGGTGTCCAACTTGCGAGCTGTGTTGGCTGCCGGGCGTCTGTTGTCATGGCGCACTGCGTAACCGCACAGCTTGCACACCCCAAGGGTTGGTCCTGCTGACACACACTGGTACTCACTCACACAAACCCTGACAGATACACACTTGGTGTCCCACACACACTTGGTGACAGTCACACTGGCACACACTTACTGACATACACACACACACTTACTGACATACACACACACATTTACTGACATACACACACATTTACTGACATACACACACATTTACTGACATACACACACATTTACTGACAGACACACACACACATTTACTGACAGACACACACACACACATTTACTGACACACACACACACACACATTTACTGACACACACACACACACATTTACTGACACACACACACACATTTACTGACACACACACACACACACTTACTGACACACACACATTTACTGACACACACACACACACACACATTTACTGCACACACACACACACACACACACATTTACTGACACACACACACACACATTTACTGACACACACACACACACTTACTGACACACACACACACTTACTGACACACACACACACACACTTACTGACACACACACACACTTACTGTACACACACACACACTTACTGACACACACACACTTACTGACACACACACTTACTGACACACACACTTACTGACACACACACACACACACACACTTACTGACACACACACACACACACTTACTGACACACACACACACACACTTACTGACACACACACACACACACACACATTTACTGACACACACACACACATTTACTGACACACACACACACACATTTACTGGCACACGCACACGCACACATTTACTGACACGCATGCGCGCACAAACGCACATTTACTGACACGCACGCACATTTAGTGGCACGCACGCACACACGCACATTTAGTGGCACGCACGCACACACGCACATTTAGTGGCACGCACGCACACACGCACATTTAGTGGCACGCACGCACACACGCACATTTAGTGACACACACGCACATTTAGTGACACACGCACATTTAGTGACACACACGCACAAATTAATTGTATTTGTTGCTCCTACCTTTAGTAGTCTTCTGGGTCCTCTCACCGGGGTCCAGTGACTTTCATGATCTTCTTGCTCCTCTCTCCTCCCTCGCACTGTTTAGTGATGCAGGGCCGGAATTACATCCTATTCTGGCTCCTGGGATCACCAGAGGGCGCGCGAGGGAGCAGGAAGATCAGCACAGGCAGTGCTCCCTCGCTGCCGTCTGCCTCCTTCCTCACACAGCCAGTATATTGCTGCAGAGTAGGCACCTGCCGTTTGGGATAAGCAGGTGCCTACTCTGCCTTGCTACATAAATGCCGTTCCGGGGGTGCCCTTAGATGGCCAGCAGTGACAGTGCACCCCGTGCACCCACCCAGGATCGGCCCTGTTGCTGGCTATCTTGAACCCCTCCAATGTATCTAATATATTTGACTGCCTATTAGTTGTGTTGATTTGTATTACATTGTGTAAGTGCCACTTGTTGCTAGTGGCGTAGAATGAACTTTTTGTACTAACTGTGGTCTAATCCAATACCATAGAAATCCATAGAAATCTAAAAACCAATTACGAAGAGTGAATTTTATGGTATAGATAGCTTGTGCTGTTAGGTTTCCAATTAAGGGGAGTGGGATTGGTGTAGCAGAATGGAGACCTCACAATAATATATATATATATATATATATATATATATTTGTCACTCTACCTTAATGTAGTTATCAGAAAAATTAATAAATGAGGGCACTCAATGGATTTTGTTCAGTCAAATTTGTGTTGTGGTGAAGAGATCAACATTTTGACCCGTACTCTTCGATAAAAATATAAAAAAAATTATTTTAATTTAAAAAAAATATTTTTAGATTTTTCTTTAATTTTACATTTTTTTTTTTTGTTCATTTTTTTGCAGACATGTACACACCATGGGTTCAGTCAGAGATGAATGACCTCTACTGAGAAATAAAAATAGTTTTTTCGCTTTGATACCTTTTTCGATTTATTCATTATATAGGTACATACTTGTTTGAACATTTTTTTTCTTGCTGTCCAGTTGGCATAGGATTACACTTATTTTGGCTAATATTAAATGTCCATAATCATTATATTCATATAGAATGTATTTGTGTGTGTGTATTTGTGTGTGTGTATATATATATGTATATATATATATATTTGTTATTCACTATATATTTTATCATACATAGACCAATGATTGTCCCTGCTGACATGTTTTCTAGATGTATGTATATAGACCCTTTATCATCTTTTTATGTCACTTTCTATTTCTATCGGTTTTACTACACTTTGCAGTGTTCACCTAGCATTGATTGTATTTTCTCACATCACTTGTCTTTATCTGTTTTCTATTATTAAGGTCTACATATTGTTTCACCTTTTCCCTTCTTGATACTCCTTATGTATGTTTTGCTTTACACATCTTTCACTCTATCTGTATTTCTTTTCTCTTATTCATAATTCTTTGCCATCACTTCTGTTCACAACTTTTTTTAAATCCCCTCTGCGCCCTACTATTTTAGTCTTTAAAATCCAGCATCTAGATCATTTTGATAATTTGTATCCATTTCCTCCTATCTTGTTTTACCCGCTTTCACACACAAGCACCCTGTACACTATTGCACACTTTGTCTCTCTTGAGCGTCACCATGGTAACGGGTCACGATCACCACGGTCCAACCACAGAATTTTGATCAAGTCATCACATACGCTCACTCATGCAGTCACTCCAATTTTACTCCACGGCGTCTGAACACCGCGGTAAGTCATAACCTTATTATGTCTTATCCCCTGTATAAACTCTGCACTGACTGTTACCCATATCTTGATAAAGACCTATGGGTCGAAATATTGATCTCTTCACCACAACACGAATTTGAGTGAACAAAATCCATTAAGTGCTCTCATTTATATATAGATATCTAAAATACTGTCCTCTTGTATTTGCCTGTTTCATCCTTTTTACGTTCGGGAGACGTCATACGAACTGAATTCTTTCGTCTACTGAACAAGGACCACCCCTGTACCCCATTAGAATGTTGACACAGACCACTTAACCCCTTAAGGACACATGACGGAAATATTCCGTCATGATTCCCTTTTATTCCAGAAGTTGTGTCCTTAAGGGGTTAAGTGCGAAAAACGCAAGGGAAGTAATGAATGCTTCCTTGTCATGGCTTACCTTATTTGGAGTCCAAAGTGCAGAGATGTTTGCACACCCTTGCAGATAAACACAGCCCACTGTAACCAGATAAGGAGCTACCTGGGCTGTGAATCTGTGCACAGCGGCTTAGGCAGGAACAGTAACCGGGTTATGGAAACAGACCAGGGCAAATCCAGAAGAGTAGTCTGACATGGTTCCAAAAGTTAGGGCAGGCAGCGAACAGGCAATAACGAATAATCCAAACAGAAAGGGTCACAAGCCAAGTCAGTCTTAGGAAACGGGATACAACAAACTGACATTGCCCTCAGGGAGAGGCAGTGTTTTATACTTGCAGTAATGATCAATCTGCCTCAGGTGGACTTTGATAGACAGGAAGGAGACACTGGTGAAGTCTAGTCCCCTAGTGCTGCAGACAATGCTAGAATAAACAAGTTCTGAAGTGGCTCAGAGGCAGGAATGCAGACTTGGGATGTAAAAGGACCCAGATTCAAATCCAGCCAGGCCCTGATGAGTGATGTCCACGCCTGGGTGGCCACCATTTCGTATAACCGAAAACGTGGCAGACAAAAGAATGGAGGCCATCTTGTCTCCCAAACGTGGGCAGTGGTACTTGGTCGTCGAGTCAGGCGAACTCCTTTCGGCTAGGCACTTGTGCGAACGCTGGTAAAACTTAGACCGCTGTCCGTTCTATTTCCAAACAAACTAGACTAATGACGTTCTGGAAATATGAACTACCGAAAAGGGGGAGCATTCTTATCCTGAAATGAAGAAATTCCCTTGCATGGTGTTCGCACTGGAACCTCATGAACGGGGACTGTCCAGGGCACATATTTCCCTGGAACTGTTTTGGGCTAGCGACTCGTGCCTGGCCGATCAAAACTTTACCTCAATGGCATTTCTGTTTCACCAAAATCGGTCTGAGTGATTCTTGGATAAGTTATACTCTCAGGTCTGGGCTATCGGGGAATGTACTTTTTCTGGGGTTCTTATGTACCGTGGGGGTACTTTGGGGATTTTCTGTACCTGAGAGAATTGAATTAGAGGGTTTTTCTCACGCAGTTATCTCTCAGGCACAGAGGATCTTGAGATTGGAACCCTTGTTATTGTGTGGAAAACCCCTTGTATGCGACTGAGCATAAAGCAGTGTGTGAGACAAACTTAAGTTGTACTTCCATAACTGTGTCGTCCAGTTGCTGGGGAGGTGGTGGGATATTTCTTTGGTGTTTCTCTTGTTTCTGATTGTGCTTTGGTGGATCCAGTGGAGAAGAGTCCCTGCTAGGACTAGGGCTTCGCTACAATTGGTACTATAACCACTTTAGTTTTGGTAATATACCACAACTGAAGACCACAGGTGCTGCTTAATCTTTTGTTTGCTCAGGAGTGTGCTAATATAACTACAAATATCTAAGACCAGATAGCTCAATATCTAGTTTGTCTCCATATGAGTTGCTCTTCTCCTTAAAGACATATCCTCTGTTAAATTGTGACATAAATGTATTAATATACAGAGTAACTTATCCAATGTATGATATCAAGCTTAGTACTTTTTATAGGCATTCCCTCCTATTTTAATTCACGTTTATTCATTTATTTTTTCACGTTATTCTATATTTTTTTCACAATAGTGTATATGTAGAAGTGGTGGCCAGTTATTACTAGTAAAGATTATAATTCTATTATCTCTAATTGTATTGCTATTGTATTGTTAAAATAAGTGTTTTTATACTGGTGGTAATCTCTGGAGTTTGACTCCCATCTCTTTGAGTTTGATCTCTATTTGACCCTTTTACTTTTACTTGTAAGTTTTATCCTGTAATCCATGAACCAGTTTAGTAGCCCTTCTGTTAACTCATGAGCCCCCTTGAAGATTCGCCTGACTGGCGAAACGCGTGTCGATGCTCTGCACTAACCTCTGGCAAAGATTTTCTTTATAAAAATTAGACCTTGGACATGTTTTACCAGAGTTGTATAAGCAGGGTATGGTTATAATATATTATTTCCTTAAGTTGGTCACTTCGGCTTAGTAGATAGCTTTTTGACATAGAATAGGTGCCCTTGAAGACGCAGCTTAGAAGTTTACAGTACGACCGAGTATAGCACCATTTTAGAGATTGATTTTAATTACTTTAAACTCCGTGATTTTACTTTCATGCTGGTACTTGACAACTTGGGTGAGCTTTTTCTGTTGGTTAAGAATCTTAGAATAGTGATTCTAACAGTTCCCTTCAAGGAAAATTGCAACAACTGTATCTTACTGATTGAAAATATACACATTGTTATATTCACTTAACTCAACATAGTGCGTGTCCTGGGAGCACCAGTTTTCTTTTTACTGGCATCTCTTAAGAAACACTACAGATTTTTAGATCTGGGCTCAGCCTACTATTCCAGCAATATACCAATTGATTATTAATTGACTCCACATATTTTATTTTTATGATAAAACACCTATCATCTCATCTCTTTGGATAATCTGGTACAATTTTTTTCTTTATACAATTTGGTTTATAATTTACATTGATATTTTTAAAAAAAATGTATTTTGGTTTACCTCTTGATTCACGAATAGCAATGTTTTTAAAGGAGCACTATAGGATCAGGAACTCAAACATGTATTCCTGACCCTATAGGGTTAAAACCACCATCTAGCCTCACTGGTCCCCTCATGCCCCCTAAATATAGTAAAATCTTACTTGTATTCAAGCCTGAAGCTGCTGGCTTTGTCCCTGTTTCCTTTAAACTTGCCCGCTGACCTCAGCAGAAGTGGTAGCCTGATCCAATCACAATGCTTCCCCATAGGATTGCCTGAGACTGATAAGGAGGCAGATCAGGGGTAGAGCCAGCACAATTGAAACACAGCCCTGGCCAGCATCTCCTCATAGAGATGAATTGAATCAATGACTCTCTGAGGAAAGTTAGTGTGTGCATGCAGATGGAGGAGACACTGAATGTTTGGATGCATTTTAGGCATGACCCAGGAAGGATCTCTAACAGCCATCTGAGGAGTGGCCAGTGAAGTTATCACTAGGCTGTAATGTAAAGACTGCATTTTCTCTGAAAAGACAGTGTTTAAAGCAAAAAGCCTGAAGGTAATGATTCTACTCACCAGAACAAATTCAATAAGCTGTAGTTGTTCTGGTGACTATAGTGTCCCTTTGAGCAATATATTAACCCCTTAAGGACGCAGCTTCAGAAGCTGGACATACCCTTAAGGACTCAAGCTATTTTTGCATTTTTTGCTGTTTGTGTTCAACTGCAATTTGCATCGCTCTCATTTATTGAATCAACACATATTATATATCGTTTTTTAAAGGACAAGATGGGCTTTACTTTGATGTGACTTATACATATATAAAATCTAATTTATTATTAAACATAAAAAAAAAGAAAAAAAAAGAAATATATATATTTTTCACAGTTTTGGCAATAATAGTGTGTGTATAATATGTCCAGCTTAGGAAAAGTAATTCAAAATAAATTCATTTAGGTTTCTTGTTTTTCAAAGTGCATAATATGTAAAGGATTTCAGCTTATTTTAAAAGTTACAGGTCACAAAATACAAGGAGTAATATAAAATTTAAATGTGAAAAAATTTTAGAAGTTGGTATGTTTGACTTGTAAGTTTGACAGCTGTCACAGAAAACAAAATTGCTACACAAAAGTATATATTTAAATAAAGAAGACATCACAGGCTATTTAAGGGTATTTTGACACTTTTTACATAGCCTTTTTCCCACCAATCTCTGCTACATATTGTAGTAAAATTGTGTTTTTTCTGTTTTTTGAAAAACACACATGTAACAAGGTTTTTTAAATGTGTATTTTGTAAAGCTGCTGTGTGCTATTCCTGGTCAAAATCCCATTTTGTGTTCAGCAACATCTGCTGAGTACAACAATACCCCCATTGTATGTCTTTGCCACTATTTTGGGAAGCTACAATGAAATATAAGAGGCCAGACTATTTCAGTTTCTACAGTTAGAAAATTCAAAGATGGATTTAATGGACCTATGTCTTATTTTGGGGCATTATAGTAGTTTGGTTGTTCAAATGACCACACAAAGGCCTTCCATTCGTGAAAGTAGACACTCCAGGGTATCTCATATGGCATATATTGTGCCTTAATATGTCGCCATTTTTTCGCCATTATATGTCAAAGTTTGTGGTAAAAAAAATATTTTCACATTTTTTCCTTAAGCATTACATTTGTGCTGGGCATTTTGTATATTTGATATGTTCCACTATGATCAAACATATAATTACGCTCAGCTAAGTCTTCTGAGTAAAACAATACCCCCAATGTATGTATTTGACACTATTTGTTGATGCTACAGTGCCATAAAGGAGACCTGACCATTTCAGTTTTTAGAGTAGAATTTTGAGAGACGGATTTGCAGGGCTTATGTTTCAATTTGGGCCATTATAGCAGTTTGACTGTTTCAAACACCGCAAAAAGGCCTACCATTTGTGAAAGTAGACCCTCCAGAGTATCTCACATGGCATATATTGTGCCTTAACATGTCGACATTTTTTCACCATGATATGTCAAAGGTTGTGGTAAAAAAATATTTTTTGCATTTTTAACTTATGCGTTATATTTGTGCTGGGCATTTTGTATATTTGATATGTTCCAATATGATCAAACACCCCTAATTATGCTGAGCTATCTCCTGTGAGAAAAACGATACCCCCAATGTATGCCTTTAGTCGTATTTCCTGATGCTACACTGCCATATAGGAGACCTGACCATTTCAGTTTTTACAGAATTTTATAGGTTTATGACTCATTTTGGGTTCTAATAGCAGGTTGCTTATTCAAACTTTCCCCACAAAGGCCTACCATTTTTTAAAGTAGACACCCCAGGGTATTTCAAAAGGCCCATTTTGAACCTTAGGGTGGAATCATTTTTTCGCTAGTGAGTACCAAGTCTAGTAGTAGTAAGCATTTTCTCTGCCTTTTTGACACACACTGGGATTTTACTGCATAGTTTACAATCCTTAGGTGTGCTACGGCAGTATAACACTTCATATGTCACTCAGCTATGTCGTCTGAGTACAGCAATACCCCTGTGTGTACCTTTCTCAGGTATATGTGGATGTTGAAGGGGCAAATTTGAGACTCTGCCATTTCAGGTTTGTTTCAAACTTTGAATTTGCATGCTGGGTCCATGTCCCATTTTGGGTCAAACTCTGAGGCACTGTCTGTCACCTCTGAATCCGCTGTCAGAATTCTCTAACTGTACTTCCAAAGCATTTTAAACTTTTTACACAAGAACTTTAACAAAACAATGTTTTATTTTTTTGTTTTTTTTTATTTGTATTTCTACCCCTAGCATACGCACTAAACTCCCCAATTTCCCAGGAACTATCATCCACCCCAATTAACTAAATAAAAGGTAAAAAAAAAATTGTATTGAGAATTTATTGGCTCTGAGTATGAAATAATTTAAAACCGTTCCCAATACAAAGGCCAGGCTGAGAGGGACAATCAGGGCAGTAGAAACTGGTCTCCGTTCGAATGCCTCTCTGGTAACACAGCCTGCACCTTTTCTGGGGGGTCTTTTTTTTGGGGGTTGGTGGTATCCGAAAGCAGAAGTGACCTGTCTGAATATCTCTGCTGCTAGGCCCTGCTGATGGCTCCCCACTGTGGCACTCAGTGAGCAGCACAGAAATGAGCTGAAACTGAAATGTAAGAAAAGTACATTTCAGCTGAGGATTTGCCTTTTTGAAAAGGATGAATGCATTGTGAGTAGCCATTTGCATTAAATAAATGCCCACTTTCTTATACCAGGCCCTGGTCTTTCTCATTATCAGATATGGCTGCAGCAGTTGATCAGACAGGTCAACTCCCCCCATGTGTTTATTGTATTGCTTAATGCAGACAGGCAGCTGTCTTGTTTCCTGTCTGCCACGAACTGCGACCCTGCGTGTGTGTTCACTGTGCATGGTAGTCAGTATGAACACCTCCTTTTTGTCTCTGTATTTCAGAGCCAGCAGTTCATCCTGGCATAGAGCAGCCGTTTCCCCCTTTTTAATTTTTTTCTCTGCCAGAGCCTTGGGGAAGCCAGTGCGTGTCTTGCGGATAGTGCCGCAGACCAGTCTCAAAACAATATAGCATTTTTTAGAGGGGTATGCTATTGTAGTAATTATCAAGGTAGAGGTGGTACCCCTTGTTCAGTAGCGGGTTCATTAGATCCCAAACTATTTTTCCGCTAGTCCCAACTACATCAGGGCAACCTGGGGGATCCCGGTGGCTATCTTTACCTTCATATATTCTGAAGGTATAAACATACCCACTGCTACTTTCACATAACTTGTATAGCTTGATGCCATACCGGGATCTTTTGGCTGGGATGTATTGCTTAAACCCCAGTCTACCCTTGTATTTCATTAGGGACTCGTCAATACATATATTCTTTTGGGGAGTATAAATTATGCCAAATTCTTTATTAAAATGGTTAATTAGGGGGCGGATTTTAGAGTTTGTCATACTGCGGATGATCTTTGGGGTGGCACTTCGAATTATCATTGAAGTGCAGAAAACGCAGTACTGTTTCGTATCTGGGCCTACTCATGGTCTGAGAGAAAATGGGAGTATTGCATACTGGGTTTTTGGACCAGTACATTCGGATGCTGGGCTTTGTTATAATTCCCATTAGCATGGTTAGTGCCCAGAACTGTTTTAACTCTGGCACACTGGTGGGGTACCAGCTCCCTTTTGTGGCAAGGTGACTTGTTGCATTTTGTGCCAGATACTGCGCTGCATAAATATTTGTTTGTGTAGCTATCTGCCCTAAAAAATCATCCCCAAGGAACAGCTCCATAAAATCCTGGGAGTTATAGCTGGTCACGTCTCCCTGAATACCAGGAGTCGCAGTGAACAGAGGGATGTCGGGGACAAAATTGTTAGGGGGCACCCAGATATCAGCGCCAGGAGCAGTGCCAGGGGTATCGTCACTTTCTTCATCTGTCTCTGAGGCAGTGTCGGTTGCCTCTGAGTCGGCTGCTAATATATTATATGCCTCCTCGGCACTAAACTTTCTAAGCATGGTGAAAGCTTAAAATTAACTTTAACTAAATAACGTATTTTTTTGTTTTGTTTTTTTAACTTTTTTTATACTTTTTTTTGTTTTCTGAATTTTTTTGATACTTTTTTAAACTTTTTTAAAACTCTTAAAAACTTTCTAAAACTTCTAAAAACTTTTTTAAAAATGAACCCCTGTGGGTAAAAACAGGAATCAGATCACCATGCTTACACCTAGCGAAGCAGAAATGCTTTGACTTAAAATAAACTAATTTTTTTTTCTCTTTTTTCCTTTTTTCACTTTTTTTATACTTTTATAAACGTTTAATAACTTTTACAAACTTTTAATAACTTTCTAAAACTTTTCAGCTTCCTAGCTACACTAATGCTAGATTCCCCAATTCCCCCTAGCTTCAATCCACCCCAGCTAACTAATTAACTGAAAATAAAAGTAAAAAAAAATATATATAAATATATTTAACCCCTGAGGGTTAAAAAGAAAATAAAGTTAACCCCTGAGGGTTAAAAAAAAAAACCTCTGATCTCAGTAAAGTACTGTGATCAGTATTGTGATCACTGCTGCCAGTGATCAAAGGGTTAAACTTTTACAGTTAAAGGGGGTAAAAGGTTTTTTTTTAAAACTTTTAAACACTTTGTGTCTGTCAGGGACACAAAGTTTCAAACGATCCGTCTCTCTCCACTTCTAATCGCACACAGAGGTGGAGGGAGGAGGATCAGAAGTCCCAGCTGCACTGTGATCGCTGTGACTGGCTGTCACAGCGATCACATGTGCTGGGACAGCACTATTGGCTGTTGCTGGGCTTCCTCAAACGCCGAGGCACCCAGCAACAGCGTTAACCCCACGATCGCCTACCTTAAGGGTAAGTCTGCCTTGACGGAAAATTTCCGTCCAGCGTCGTTAAGGGGTTAAACGTTATGTTTTGTCTAAATTGATACTATTAGACAAGCACTTATCTATTTGTTACCTTCTATAAAATCTCTCCAAATAATCAATATCCTTCTGGAGGTGGGGAGCAGTCGCACCCTGTTTGAGCTCGAAGAGAAATCTGCAAATCAGAGTATTTTACTGTACTTTCAACTCAATAATCTTAATCAAGAAGTTATTAAAACTTTACTAAAGCTGGGGAGATCAGCATAGACCTCTTGCTCGGCTGCACAGACTTCTCTGGCGACTGGTCCTGCAACCTACTGACGGCCCTCCTGAAGGTAGAGACACTGAAAAGCGGACGATCTCTTGGTTTCCTGCCTACCTGGACGCAGCACAATGGTGGTAGTCCCTTTCTTCCGCCGGTGAGGGTCATCCTGGCACCCAGAAACCTTGGGTCCTGTGGAAGCAAACTTAAAAGTACAACCACCAGGGTTTCACCACCTAAAAGTGTGGTTGCCTTGTGTACACGAGCACACCACTACCTACTATATCCAGGCTGGATAGCCATTTTTGCAACATTCTGGGCGAAGCTTGCCAGCAGGATGCGCAGCAACACAAGATGACAGCTACTGCCTTACCTCAACAACCGTATCGGGCTTGTGCTCCTGGTATGGTGGGGATTTTAATGGTGAAGGGCCCAGAACCAAAACAGAGGCATACACGATCAATTGTCACTGCCTAGCTATCGCCTAGCTCTGAGGCCACGGCTCAAGTCGCACTATCACAGAAGTGCCAGCAGTGGCGCGCACTGAAAGACAAATGGTACAGAAACTATCCTGAAGGCGCTGACCACCACAGATGCGAGACAAAGAGCGGATAGAGGGCTTACCGGTTTGTTATGTGTGACTGTCTTACCTACAGAAGGTGTTACCATGGGGGCCTCTGAGCACTGTTCTGGACATTGCTTACCTACCTGGGGTACTATGTGCATACCACCTTCTACTTTAAACATGGGATCCACTAGGTTTTTTATTTTTGTAACATCTTATTTCCATTTTCCAGAATTATATTCACAAGCAATCCTGCAGTTCGTTATTTCACTGCTCCTATGTCAGTGTGCACAGATCTTGCAGTTTTTTTTCTCTATATTCCACTTATGCTCATGCTGACACCAGAATTTAGTGTTTTGCTGACAAGCTCCTCCATCTTCTTTTTCCCCTTTTACAAAAAAATGCAACAATCTAGACATGTCCTGTAGTTCACTTGCAATGCCTTGTGTAATTTATAATCTTGATGTGTCATTTACTTCACTGTTTATCAGTGCATTACAAAAATAAAGAATAAATAACAATATCCTTCTGAAGATAGTCTCCAGTACTGCGTACAATACTCCAAGTGAGGTCTCACCAGTGTTCTGTACAATGGCATGAGCACTTCCCTCTTTCTACTGCTAATACCTCTCCCTATACAACCAAGCATTCTTCTAGCATTTTATGCTGCTCTTACATTGTCTGCCTACCTGTAATTACCCCTTGTAACAGATCCCCTATACCCAGACTGAGTATATCCACTGTAGTTCTCCCAAATCCCAAGTGAAGCAGTGATTAAAGCTCTGAGCTACCCAAACATCAGCCTAGACTTGATGAAGGGTACAACAGGAATCATTTATTCTGGCCTGCTTTTATTATACACATCAGGGTTACAGTCATACACGCCCATGTATTTCTGAGTCAGGATGACTAAGCATAAAAACATAAAAATGCCCCAAAACATCACAAAAATATATAATAACCCCACAAAACTCACATTATTAAATAGCCCTGATCTGAGCTCCCAAGTTCTCCAAATACTGCTCAGATCCATGCAGTGTAGGGGAAACTCCACTATGTCAAAGTTCTGACCGGCCGCACATATGGTCCTTTGCCCAAAACAGTTCCAGGGCGTTTGGTGCTTTGGCCGGTCAACTTTCGGGAACTCCTGTGGCTGCAATATGGGGTGCTCTGCCTGGGTCTTGGGTAGCATTTGTTCCCCTTAGTCTCAGACACCTTCCCTCCAAAAAAAAAACCCTCCTGGCAGATTTAAGTCGTTCAAAACCCTTAAAGCATGGTTACCTCATGCCAAAAAAGTTCTATAACATTCGCAGCTAAGTACCGCTGAGGTGACTGGAACCCACAAGTCCTCATGCTGAAATTAGTTCCATAGTGGTCACGGCTAGGTACCGCTGTGACTATACGTGTGTTTGGTTCATGCGAATGGTCGCCAGAGAGCCAGCTTTCAGTTACATCCCCCGAACCAGGGGAACTCAGGGAAAGCTACTAATGGCGGTTGGGAAGATTTAACTTCCAAACAGGGACTTTGTATATGTCCCATAGTGGGCAGGAGGCCAGCTTCTACACTCCATGAATTCATGGCAAAGGTCCAGGGCAGGGAGTGTTTGTCACATATTTTCCCCCTCCTGGGGAGACTAACCAGGCGCCAGACCTCGAATCGGTCTGGGTCTGTTAGTCTGGTGGTCTATTCCAAAAGTTGTAGTGACCCAGAGGACCTCCTGCCAAAATCACCTGTTTATACATCAAGGGTCTTGCTGGGAAGGGTAACTGCTATAATACACTCCTGAGGCACCACGTTGTTGCTGGGAGTGGAGGAAGAAACTATATGCTCCCTGTTGTATGTACTGCTGCTGGGGAATGGGACTGGTGGTCTCCACTCCCTGGAGCCCAATCTGCCACCGGGGAGAGAGACCAGTTGTCTCCACTCTCAGGGATGCCTGCTGTTGCTGGAGAGAGGAACCGCAAATCTCCTCTCGCTGTAATTCAGTCTGCTGCAGGGGGGAGAGACCGGTTGTCTCTTCTCCCTGCCTGGTACACTGCCGCTGGGGAGTGAGACTGACTGTCTCCACTCCCAGTGATGCTTGCTGCTGCTGGGAAGAGGAACTGAAAATCTCATCTCCCTGTAACTCTGCCTACCGCTGGGGAGAAAGACCGGTTATCTCCTCTCCCTTTAACTCACACTGCCGCTGGGGAGTGAGACTGACTGTGGCAAACCTAACACTGCCACTGGTTCTTGGAGGGGCCTTTTTGCCAGCCTCCTGCCCTGTGACTATGGCCCTTGTAATGAACTTTGGGTTAAAGACTCTGGTTGTGCCTCTTGGACTTAACCAGGAACAATTCGGACTTTCGAAGCGGCACTTCGAACTCCCGAAGCCATTCAAAGTGACATTAGGACACGTGGTAGCAACCATCTTGTTTAGTCGAAAGCATCCAGCGGTGTTTGGTCATCAAGTGCATGGAACTCAAATTGGACACTCGACAGTGCGAACACCGCTAAACTTTTACCTTCCATGGATGTTTGGCTATTCGAACAGGAGTCGAACGGCGTTCGGTAAGAAAGAACTCCTATTAAGAGACCTACTCTGACTGTACACCCGAACGGCTACGTTCAGTATTTTGAACTTTACTTCGAATTCCTGAAGTAGCCTGATTCTCTGGAACTGTTTTGGACATGGAACCATGCATGCGGTCGGTCAAAATGTGACTTCCATAAAATTCCTGAAGCCCTGAACTGATCTAGGTGACTTTTGGATATGTTGGTCACCCAGATCAGGGCTATTAGGGGATGTAACATTTGTCGGGGGTTTTGTGTTTTGGGGTTTTATAAAAATGTTTTTTCTGCCTGAGATAATTGAGTTTATACAGTATCTGACTCAATTATCTCCGAGGCAGAGGGGAGGGATTGTATGTTTGTTATAGGAGTATCATGCATTTAATCACTGTTCCTTTTGGTCTGCCTTTGTGTTGGAGTCCCCAACAAGGTTCATGTGGGCGTACCTCTTGCATGGGGATTGTCATAAAAGGCCAGTGTGGCACCATTAAAATTCAGTTCCTCTTCACACTCAAGTCTCATATCATGTGTGGAGGGGACAGCTATATTCGCTCTGTGGATTGCTATACTCCTTATACTCGCCTGGGTTTTAATCACTAGCTCTTATAAGAGCTGTTGCTGCTACGCTCTCTGGAGTAGAAGAGGTTCACCCACTGGAAGCTGGACCCTGGTCTTAGGTCCAGGGTTGGTGGAGGATGGCGAGACTCCGACCAAGCTGCGGCAGTTCGTGGGTCTACAGTGCTTATGGTGTCTGGTAGAGTGCTTGGAGTCGGTGAGCACTTGGTGCATGGACTGACGGAGGCATCCGGTCGAGGGGTGCCAGGCGGTCCGTCACACCAACCATCTCCGCGCCCAGGGATGCTTGCTGCTGCTAGGATGAGGTACCAACAATCTCGTCTTCCTAAGACGCTGCCTGGTGCTGGGTAGTGAGACCAACTATCTCCACTCCCAGGGATGCTTGCCGCTGCTGGGATGAGGGACCGACCATCTCCACTCCTATGGATGCTTGCTGCTGCTGGGATGAGGGACCGACGATCTCCATTCCAAGGGATGCTTGCTGCTGCTAAACAGAATCTAGTAGGTGTTGGTAGTCTTGCTCCACTTTCCATTCAACCATGACCAGAAGGGTGATGTCTAGTCTCAGCCCGTAGTATCGGGGAGCTCCAGTGCGTCCACTAGGTGTTCCTGTATGTCCCAATACCAAGACTCTGCTGTGCTACCAAAGGCATTGTCTTCCTCCAATGCCTCCCATAGCAGACCAGGGCCGTCATAGTAGTCTCCCTCTGGAGTATCGCAATCAGTCATCCAAGGGCCCCTCTGGACAGAGTAACACCGTAGTGTCCGGTATGCCTCGTCCAGTCACAATTCCAACCAGAACAGGCGCTGGAGTTCCATGATCCACTCTTTAAGAGGCTGCTTTCCAAGGAAAGGCATCCTCAGTGTCTCTTGTTTCCGTTGTCGCTGTTACGGCTGGGTAGTCTCACCATGAAGCTCATGTCCACTCCAGGGCCTCATGCCAGAGCTCTCGCCGTAACACTTCTCTCCATACTAGATCCCCATCTGCTGAAACAGAGCCATACTCCGGGGCCAAGGTGTTCTCTAGTCTCCTTCCTCATATGGGGACACTGCCTGGGGGCTAGCTTGCTCCTTTCAAATACTTCCTCATATGGGCACACTGCCTGGGGGCTAGCTTGCTCCTTCTCCCGAGTTTCTCTTCAGACTGGGACGCTGCTGGACTCTTCACTGCATTTCTTGGTTTGGGATATCCATTTGGGAGAAAAATCTTGCCGCTTGCCACTAATGTAACGGATCCCCTATACTCAGACTAAGTATATCTGCTGTAGTTCTCCCAAATCCCAAGTGAAGCAGTGATTAAAGCTCTGAGCTACCCAAACATCAGCTTAGACTTGATGAAGGGTACAACAGGAATCATTTATTCTGGCAAGAAAGCCTGCTTTTATACACATCAGGGTTACAGACAAACACGCCCATAACTCACAACACGCCCATAACTCACAACACGCCCATAACTCACAACACGCCCATAACTCACAACACGCCCATAACTCACAACACGCCCATAACTCACAACACGCCCATGAATTTCTGAGTCAGGATGACTAAGCATAAAAACATAAAAATGCCCCCCAAAATCTTAAAAATATATAACTCCATCCTTAAATAGTCCTGATCTGTTCTCCAAATAGCGCTCAGATCCATGCAGTTTAGCGGAAACGCCACCTGGTTAAAGTTCTGACTGGCCGCACACATGATCCTATGCCGAAAACGGTTCCAGGGCATTTGGAGCTTTGGCCGGTCAACTTTCGGGAGCTCCTGTGGCTGCAATATGGGGTGCTCTGCCTTGGTCTTGGGTAGCGTTTGTTCCTCTTAGTCTGCCACCTTCCGTCCAAACACTGCTCTCCTGGCGGATTTCAAAATAGTTTAAACCCCTGGACCAAGTTCTCTCGACATGTTTTTTTTTTTTTTTGATAATTGTCACTTATAACAGTATTTTAAATGGATCATTACAGAGCATTATAGAGTAAGTGAACATCTGAAAATGAAACTTTTTTGTTTTTTAAATGCAGGCTGTCCGTCACAGCCAGGGGAGGTGTGAAACAAAAAAAATCAGCAAAGCCAGGATAACCTCTTAACGATGTTCATATAAGCTACAAAGCGAGTGTAAGGGAGATCAGGAAGAAGAATGTACAACATAGCTGCTACTTAATTACAAAGATACGATGATGCTACAATACCTGGAGTCAATGTTCACTGTATTGATGATCTTTTCCCACAAAGTAATCTAAGAAAGGGGCGTATTCAAGATCCGTCTGGGTGAACAAGATATTTTGAAGCTGCTCCGTAGGCGGAACTAACTGCTGAAATATGATAGGCTAAAGTGAAGGTGGGCTCTACCACCTTTATCAACCAGACACTTTCAGTTTTAAAGTTTCTCCCCTGACGAAGGTGCTTCCAAAGCACTGAAACGCACGTCTGGATACTTTCTCACATCACTTAGCACTATGCACTGATCTTCATTTTTCTTCATTCACCATTTATTTATAACAAAGAAATGTAAATAAGGGGAGGTTTGTACCAAGAATCTATAGATAGTCAGAGAAGATATTGACCTAATTGCAGCTATAGGGACATATTATTTAACAAGCACCCACGCAGGTGTCCTAAGGATCTTTAAAGGACCACTATAGGCACCCAGACCACTTCAGCTTAATGAAGTGGTCTGGGTGCCAGGTCCAGCTAGGATTAACCCTTTTTTTTATAAACATAGCAGTTTATAAATGGGTTAATCCAGCCTCCAGTGGCTGTCTCATTGACAGCCGCTAGAGGGCTTCCGCGCTTCTCACTGTGAAAATCAGTGAGAAGACGCCAGCGTCCATAGGAAAGCATTGTAAAGGAGCATTGAAGAGGAGGAGAGCTCCCCGCCCGCCGCTGGAAAAAGAGGTAAGTTTAACCCCTTCCTCCCCCCCTCAGCGCCACAGGAGTGGGACCCTGAGGGTGGGGGCACCCTCAGGGCACTATAATGCCAGGAAAACTAGTATTTTCCTGGCACTATAGTGGTCCTTTAAGCCGAAATAGCCGCATCCAGATGCGTACATGGGAAGCATGCACGTACAGCTCACTGGACGAGGAGGCTAGAAATCCAGTAGCTCAAAGGGTAATAGCTCTTCCAATATCCCTTATCCAGTATTGTTTTGGGGGGATTTTGATATGTAGGTGCATGATATGTACCACAAGAATTATTGTCCTTCCTTTTGCCCTGATCCCCTGTATGTTTGTTAGATTATCGACATAGCTATTCATTACCGCTGCTGTAAATCGCCCTACATATGCAGATTTCCTCCAATATTATATTCTTTTACTTGTTTGCTCTAAGCACTTGGTGATCGATGTTACCTCTTTTTTTTAGGATTTGAACTGTATACTCCCCTGTGTTGCTCCAAGCCAGTCAACCTATACCTCTTTAACCCAATAGTACCACAGTTTCAAATTGGACCATTATCTGGAGATTTAACTAGACCATATGTAATTTAGATATCTACTCCTTGAGACCTATGTATTTGTTTGACAATAGAGACCTTAAGCTGTTGACCCGCACTCAGTTTTTTTTTTTTTGTTTTTTTTTTTATAACTATATGGATAGGATCATTTATGGGTGATACCTTTTAGGCAATGATGATAAAGCCTGCTGTTTTACCAATTAAATAATTTTACACCTACCTTTTACTAGTTAGCTTTAAATTCCTTACATAGTTACATAGTTATATAGCTGAAAAGAGACTTGCGTCCATCAAGTTCAACCTTCCTCACAAATGTTGCTGTTGATCCAAAAGAAGGCAAAAAACCTGGTCTGAAGCGCTTCCAATTTTGCCACAAACTAGGAAAAAATTCCTTCTTGACCCCAAAATAGCAGTCAGATGTCTCCTTGGATCAAGCAGCTATTACCCCACTAATTAGACATTATATCCCTGTATGTTATGTTTTTGTAAGTATTTATCCAATTTCAGTTTAAACATCTGGACTCTGACAAAACCACCTCTTCAGGCAGAGAATTCCATATCCTTATTGTTCTTACTGTAAAAAAAACCTTTTCTTTGCCTTAGATGAAATCTCCTTTCTTCCAGCCTAAATGTGTGACCTCGTGTCCTATGTATAGCCCTGTTTATGAATAGATTTCCAGATAAAAGTTTGTACTTGCCCCGAATATATTTGTATAAAGTTATCATATCTCCTCTCAGGCGCCATTTTTCCAAACTAAACAGATTTAATTTTTTTAACCTTTCATAACTAAAATGCTCCATTCCTTTTATCAATTTTGTAGCTCGTCTCTGGACCCTCTCCAGTGTCATGATATCCTTCTTTAGAACAGGCGCCCTCGTTAAGCGTTATGTTGTACTCACCTTTATTAGCCTGTTAACTGATTAGTACCCAAGAAGAATTTCTTGGAGAATTTCCTTGTTTCTTGATTCTATAAAATAATTCAGATTACTGAAATACGACTAAAACTAAATGGCTTTTTAGTCAAGACTGACTAAAACAAAATTGAAATTTGCCGCCAAAATTAACACTGATCTATGCACAAAGCTAGTTTGGTGACTATAGTATAGTGCCAATCTTCTGTGTGTACCATACAAATAAAGCGGTCTATTTATCACCATGCAGCTACATTTTCTGCATGTACAAAAGTTGACCTTTTTATCTCTTGCTGTGGTTTTATGTATTACTACCTGATATTTATTCGTTGCTTTCTGTATTAATTTTAAGAACTAGTATACAATATGTGGTCTAATTGAGAGTAAGAGTCTTGCAGTTTGCTTTTCACTTTTTATTTTAATATTCTACTTGTATTCATATTCAATATATTTTAACATATATTGTGATATTTCTTTTTTTAACTCACACTATTTTTATCGTACCCTAGTAAATGTGGGATTTTAATCTGGTTATACAAAATGACTGGCATGACGTTCCTTCCAGAATTCGTTATCCTTAAGAGTTTTGTGTTGACGATTGGAGATAAGTAAAGTAATTTTAGATGGATGGATTGAGATTAGTCTGGCTAAAATTAATTCCTGAGTTTGCCTGGTTTTAAGATAGTGTAATGTAATTGTGATTCAGAGGTTTCCTGGGATGTGATGATGTCTATACCAGTATAATCAACTTTTCAAGCTCAAAATAAACCGAAAAGAAGTTACCAACGTAAGACTGAGCAATTACAATAATTTGTCAGATAGGATTTCTAGCGTTTATGAAGGTGTAGGGAACATGCTAAAGCAACCCAACTAGGGCAGTCTTTTTTTTCTGGTGGTAGGTACAATGGAAAATAGTAGAAAGGTAGCAGCACCATGTGGGTGTCCGAATTGGAATAAGTCAACATGCAAAATAAGAGGACAGGAAACACAATATAAGGTAGTATGCACTTATAGTAAAATTGCACTTTTTGGTGCTTCTGATCAGCTCAAAGTATTAGCATTTGGGTGGTACAATCCCCACCTGTTGATATGCTGGTAGGTGATGTCTCTGCAAAAGATCTGTACAGGTCAGGTCTCAATTGGGGCATATGGAAATCTTTCTTTACAAAAGTAGTAGCAGCAAATCACCCATGTGAGTGTTTTATAAAATAAATAAAGCAAAATAGTGCTCACTGACAAAAGGTGATAAAAAAAAATAATAAAAGGAGAGGTACTTACATGAGGAAAACAAAAATAGGTTTTGTTCAGTCCTAATGTCATAGGTGGTATCCCCACCAATGATAGTCCGCTTGATAAAATCTTAGTCTGGAAGGTCCAAGGTAAGTATGAAGTATTGGAATTAAAATCATACAAAGTAAATTATACTGATGTGTGTAACGGCACCCCCAGGCATAAAAGGGTTAAACTGCCGTTTAGTAGATCTTCCCTTCCAGAGACACAGGCACAGCTACTGCAGAGCACCAATCCGCCAAACAGGAAACCATATGAATGCTGTAAACAGCCGAATAGGAAAAACCATACGAATAGGTTTACACTCCTAGCAGTCGAACTGGAACAGCATACAATAAATCCCCCCAAGAACGAGACAAAGCTCTGTGTTGAGGTCAAGCAGTGAACAGACAGAGCTGTGGGTTTATTGTTCTTATGTACACATTCTTACACATTAGTACCACCCACAGGGTTTTGGAACACAACCAATAAACACATACAATACACTCAGACACTCCCACACAAAATTCTCCCCTCTGCCTGTGATTCAATTACCCTACACAATGGGTAATGTAATTATAACAAGCAGAGAAATACAATTTTTCCACATTATTCATAACTTGAAAAGTATGCATCACGTTCACATATAACTTACATTTTCAGAATCCGCATACTCCAAATACAAACATACGTCAAAATCATACAAATTGGTCCAGTGGTTCAAAAGATAGATCGTAGTCCTTTGTGACCAAAGGAAGCATGGCTTTTCTGCCCAAAACCCGTTCCACAGAGTCTTCTATCCTGGAGATAATTGTGAAGTAATCAAATTATCTCCAAGTACAGAGGCAAAACTCCATTGAACACATGGCAGCAAAAGACAATAAAACACATAAAAACATATAACTGTGCAGCCATTGCACAAAACAGGTACATTCAACATATCCCCAGATAGCTCAGATCTGAGCGCACATTACTGAATGGCGCTCAGAGCACACACATACAGTTCAATTGCCATGAAACCAAAGTCTTTCCCATAGTCTTTCATTATACGAATAGGCTCCATGGCATAGCTATCTAGGGTATCTCCGCTCAAACAGGGCAAGCACCAAATGACCCGGCTTTCATGTCTTTGCAGGGAAAAATCAAGCCTTTTAACATGGGCCCATAATCCAAAGGCAACAGGCGAGCAACCAGGCTTCTCCAATGCAATGTGGCGAGATTGGTCTCGTCACAATGTGTTTTGCCAAACTGTAGTTTTTTTCAAAATGTTAGACATATGAAACACTCCTGTTTATATAGAATACAAATTTAAAAAAAATTTAATGTCAATCATGTGACAGGATAAATCAATTAACATATAAAATATTAAAACCAATGTAAAGCTTTCTAACAAAGCTTTCTTTTATATTTAAAATGGATTGGTTGGACACACTAACAAAGAACTCCTGGCCAGAAAATTTATCTTGACCTGGAGATCATATATACTCACCCTAGACGAATCTTAAAAGACAAAGGTGAAAACTACTTTGGCATACACGGCATGGTTCCCTGCTGAGGTGCTGGGGGGTCAAGATCCCCCCCAAGATTAATTACTTGAAGTTGCTTTTTTCACCTTACTCTCTGGCACTTGCTTACAGTGGTGTTGGAGGGAGGTGTGTTAGGGCAAACCGGCAATTAGTTTACTCTGTTCTGTTTTATTTAGTTCAGTTTTTCAATTTACGCTTTGATGGCGTAACGGAGCACTAGAACCGTGGAGCTCTTTTGGTGTACCTTCTCCTGCTCTTCGTTGAAATGCAAACTATTGCTTACCCAATGTCGTGTATATTTGGAGAGTTCGCAGTAGTTGAACATGTCGGCCACCTTCATCAAAATGGTTACAATTGTAACAGGACTACAATTTCTGCCTGGACTCCGTTAACAATACATAACCTGGATATACAAAAGAACCGACTTGCTTTTTTTATGCGAATTACTATTGCCCAAAAACAAATCCAAACTACCGAACACCGGACCACCCTGATGTGAAGTTAAGTGGTATTTTACCTCCCAGACCGGCGCATCCGTTCGCATGGTTCAGCATGAATCCTTTGTGTAAAGTATAGGTGGCTGCCATTTCGGGACTTTGCACGTTTTAGCGGCCATCTTACGCACGAACAGCGGTGTTTTGCCATCAATCGTGTGGAACTAAAAACGGATACGCAAACAGGCGAACACCGCGGAGACCTCTGTGACAACGTAGATTCATGCTGAAACTACCTAACAGCCGGCCGTTCGGTAGAAAGACTAAACCATGCATGGGGATTCTGGCGAACGCCAAGATAGCTGTGGATGGCAAGATTTTCATGGGTTTTCAATGCACGAACGGGGACCGACCGCAAGGTCAAAACTTGTGGAACTATTTTCGGCTAAAAAGTCTGTGCGGTCGGTCAAAACTTCAAAGACCCATAACTCCCGAACGCTTTAACCGAATGGGCTGGATTTCTGATATGTTGTCCCACTGAACAAGAGCTACTGGATTTAAGGGTGTACTCCCTGGTTTTGGGGTACATCCAGAACTTGGGTAAAATTGTGTGTTATAATTAAATGTTTATCTGAGAGGAGACGTGGGGGTTGTACCATGTGTGTGATTGGGTATTGTTAATTATGAAGGTGTAGCTCTTTCCAGGGCAGCATTGCATAAAAGGAGACCCCTGTCAATAAACATCAGTTTTCCTTGACCCTTCAAAACGTAGCCTTGTCTCGTTCTTGAAAGGGGATTTATTGTACAGTTACTCTGCTCCATTTTAGTTATGCCTGACTCTACCCTTGGATCTCGTGGATGGGAATAAGAACTCCATTACTACACAGCAGCTTGCCAGAAAAAGGACGTCTCCAACGGCAGATACCCCCTTACCAGCTGGGTAGCCGTTAAAACAATGTTCCATTGATATCCTACTGGTAAATGCTAAAGCTCAACCTCTTAACAATGATCTATTTGGTTTTGTAAAACTTGTTTTGTTTGTTGAGGAAACTACAAAATAGGGAATGTAACTGATTGAATATCACTTTCCAATTATCAATGAGCCATGACTGCTTTTAAGTTGTCATTCGTGCCGTATTTTTGTATCTTGCATTCACAATAAATAGTTTTTTGAAAAAAAAAAAACTTACTGAATGAAATAGCTGGCTATAAGTGGAGATAGTATATGGTAATTGTAAAAGTGAGTACAAAATTAGAAAATATAAGTGAAATGGGCTAGGTCCCCTTAAGGGGAGATTCCCAATATAGTCACCTTTCACCTACGTCTTAAAATTGGCATGGCGATGGCATCACATGATCAGTGTGGGATGCGGCTAACTGTAAAATAAAAAGAAAAAAGATGGGAATTGAAGGAGTCCTATAAAGAGGGGAAAGTTGGGGGAAAAAAAGGACCAAAAAAGGAATAAAGATGTTGAAACTAAAGATGAGGTCTGTACCTTTCCAAGATGGTGGAAAGGCACAGAGAAAGAGGTGCATGATTGGGGATGGTAGTTTAAAAGACGAAAAAAAGGAAGGTGATAATACATATACAAATTATAAAACCACAGAAATAAATATTATAAATAGAAATGGAATAAGTAGTAAAATAGAATTATATTAATGACTGTAGGACATCGTATGGACATATGAGAAACAGGAATTAAAAAAATAAACTAAAAAGCTAAAAAATTTACAAACTATATTAAACAGGCAAAAATAATAAAAATATACATAGAAACAAGGAATTCACAGAAAATTATGGTAAAACATAAGACAAATCATAAACCATTAAAAAGATCAAACTCTGCATTTAACCGATGGGGTGCCATAATATTTAAATAAAAAACCCAACTCATCCTGTCACGGGGGGGGCGTTCGGAGGGTGGCTTACACAGGAGGGGATGGGCGTCAACGATAGCAATGTACTGACTGTAGGATCATGACGCTAAAACTCACTTTTCTCAATGTCAAAGGTATGAATTTCCCTAAGAAAATGCAACTAATGCCTAGGGAATTGAAACGCCTGCACCCGGTCATCGCAAACATGTCAAGTTCTCCCTTAGGGATCACAACTACACCAGGTCTACCGAGGCCAGGGCTTAGAACAAACGTAACTGGGTGGCTATTCTGATACAGCATAGGTGCCCCCTCCGGGTTGCGGACACTAAAGTTGACCCAGATGGACGGTACATTATACTTTCGGACAGCCTGTGCTCCCAAATAGTACACATAATCAACGTATATGCACCGAACGCACCAGTGGCCAGCTTCTGGAGGAATGTGTAAGACAAAATTCACTCGCTACCACGTGGGATGATTGTACTGGGAGATTTCAATGCAGTGCCATGTCCGGCCGTAGACAGGAGCACCCGAAGATGTGGTCCCAGGGTTGCGGTGCACAAGACAAATTATTGCACAAGTTCATGAGGTTGTCAGGCCTAGAAGACATATGGAGAGCCCAGCACCCGGGCGACATTGACTATTCATTTTAATCTGCCCAACACCGTATGTATTCGCGTATATATCTATTCCTGGTGAGTGATTTCAGTGTGGTGCGGGTCGTCAGATCTACTATGGGATCCATCACCTGGTCAGACCATGCAGACGTTAACCTAACATTCGGATACCTAGGAGTGGCATCGCCTTGGACGTGGAAGCTCAATGCATCCCTCCTGTGCGACACCTCCATAGTAGAAATGGTATAAAAAGACATTACAGCATACTCCGCTACCAGTGATAGCCGAGATCTGGCCCCAGGAACAATTTGGGCGGTGCATAAGGCGGTAATTAGGGGGCACACTTAATAGGCTGGTGACCCACAGGAAAAAACAAAACCCAGGTGTCAACGCAACTGTTGGATTTGTTGAGGTCACTAGAACCACAACATAAAACGGATCTGAAAAGGAGATTGCTTGCTTGACCGCTTAGAGGCAGTGAGGCGATCAGTGAACAAGTTGCTCTTGGATGATGCAGCTCAAAATATTGTATGGTCCAAATGGACCTTTTACGAAAAAGCAAATAATGTGGACATCCTCCTGGCCCGCTCATTACGCCAGAGACTGGCATGACAACACTTTACCTCCCTCAGACACCCTGACGGGTCTATCAATACTAATCCTATTGACATAGCCTTGGTTTTTAAGGAGTATTATAAATCCCTCTATAATCACTCCCCTGTAGACCAATGCCAACAGGGGGGGAGAGGTAAACCTCACTAAAGCATTTATCGAACATCTGGGATTACCTAAATTGACACCAGAGGTGACGCTACTACTTGACTCACAACAAGCGACGCAGGGGACAGAGCAATATCTGGACTTAAAGGGGAAAAAAATCCCCAGGACCGGATGGATTTGACAGTTACTATAAAATCTTCCTCGAGGAGCTGACTCCACGATTAGTGACCCTTTTTAATGATTTCCGAGATGGAGGCTTCCCTACAGGCAAATGTGTCTAGCTACGATAGTGCTCCCAAAGCCCGGCAAAGATCCACTGCTCACCGAACATTACAGACCCATATCACTCATTAACCATGATACGAAAATATTCGAAAATCCTGGCAGACCGATTGAATCCCTTATTGGCGAAACTAATGCTGACCAAGTTGGTTTATACAGGGCAGGCAATTGTTCGAAAACACACGCAGGAATATAGACCTCATTTGGCACTAGGTAGCCACCAACACCCCCACCCTCATTGTTTCTTAATATGCTGAAAAAGCATTTGATTGGGTCAAGTGGCCCTATCTTTTAGTCCTCCTCACTTTCCTAGGTTTCCCAGACTCTTATGTCCCCTCCATAAAAGCTGTGTATTCTAACGTAATGGCACAGGTACGCGTCACCGGAGCCCCCCCCCCCCCCCGTCCCCCCTTCTATTCGTCCTATTTTTAGAACCACTCTAGCAAGCACTAAGCAGACACCCGAATGTTCGGAGGGTAGTGGTGGGAGGGCCGGAGTTTGTGGCCTCAGCTTACGCTGATGACGTTTTGTTGACCCTAACGAAACCTAGTACCTCCATGGCGGCAGTCAAGGATATTCTCACTTGATTTGGACTAATATCAGGGTATAAAACAAACATGACCAAATCTAGCACTATCCCGATAGGGATGTCTACGGAGGACACGGCATCTATATGCGAGGCTCATTCTATACAGATAGCCAAAAGATCAATCTCTTACCTAGGGATCAAACTGACTTCAGACCCCACAAAATTATACGAACTAAACTACCCCCCTTAATGAAGGTCCTTACTAATTACAGGGAGAAGCCTATCACTTGTATTGGTCGTATACACTGTATCAAAATGAACATATTACCAAACTTGCTTTTCCTATTCCAAGCTTTAACCTTTACCCCTGGGTTAGCACCACTTCAAAAAGCGATAGGTGATTTTATTTGGCACACCAAGAAACACAGGGTGTCGCGAAACGTATTGTACCGCCCAAAACGACGGGGTGCCCTGGGTCTTCCCAACCTGTACTTTTGTTACCTGGCAAGTAGCCATGTGGCACACCCCCTTGGAGGCGAGGAAGTGGGTGGATCTCGATTAGCTCCTGATGGGAGCAGACCTCCCACAATACAATATGTGGGTACCAAAGGATTTCAGGCCTTTGATGCGGACATCGTGCCCAGCCTTCTTAAATTCCTTTCGGCTGTGGGACGCATCAGCCCCGAAGTATAGTCTGGCCTCCTCCCCCTCCCTACTTATGCCCTACCTGAGGAATAGAGCATTTGCCCCGGGCCTGACAGCTCATGACTTTCGACACCTGGAGCAAGCGGGGTTACAGAGAATATGCCATCTATATGAGGACAGGAAAGTCATCCCATTTGATGTGCCCAAACAACCGCATCACCAAGTCTGCAGGCTTCTTTAGTGAAATCTGCAATTTGCAGATATCTAAACAGCCCCACACTAGTGATGCAGCACACACTGCCCTGACATTTTTTCGAGAGGTTATGCCTAAACGAATTGTCACCTAAGGGACTGATCACACAACTGTACGCCCAACTCTGTATGGAGACGAAGGACTGTGGTAGCTTGACCTATATCGACCACTGGGAGGAGGTGGAGGGCATCGAATGGCAAGAGATTTGGGAAGCTAGTGGCTCCTCCATATGCGTGTCTATGCAGGAACAATCCTTTAAGACACTATTTCTGTGGTATACCCCGCCGGTGAATGCAAAAGGTACCGAATGACATGTGTTGGAGGAGTTGCAGCCTTAGGGGCACCTACCTTCATATGTGGTGGGAATGTCCCAAAATCAAGGTCTACCAGGAGTCAATTGGGGAAGTGGTGAGACAGGATTTTCAAAGCACCAACTCGGTAGAGGGCTGGCCCAAACATAAACTAAAGTTGTTACAAGAAATCGCATTGGCGGCCTGCAGAGCAGTGGCTCAGTACTGGCTAAAAATAGAACCTCCACCCCCATCAGAGGTGATGGTTAATTGTCACGACTGTTAGTGTGGTGCAACATGCAGAAACTATGTAAACATATACATAGAAAATGAAAAGGAAATAAAAAGGATAGAACGTAAACCGGTCCTTAGAATGGCCGGACTAATACGTTAGACAGAATGATCAAAGGGAAAGCCGAGGTCAAGGAAGCCAGAAATAAATACCGTTTAAACAAGCCAAGTCAGAGAAACCAGAATTCAGAGTAACAAGGAACAGCCAAGGTCAAAATACCGGAATATCAGAATAACAAGGATAATCGCACACTCGGGAACCAGGAACAGGAAACCACGACAGGGCAAGGTACTGGGGTGAATTGGGGATCTAAATATCCCTCTCTATGCTGTGATTGGTCAGAAGATGACCTCTGACTCCAGAATGTGCGTCGGCGTTGACGTCACACGCACATCAGTTTAATTTTGGGAGGCGGAGCCCTGATGGACGTAACCGCATTTTCCGGGCAGCGTGGAGCAGGTAAGCTCAGCTTGTTGGCTCGATCATGCCTGTCGGGCACAGATGCGCCTCGCGGCGAGCCTGGAGCCATAACAGCAATTTAAAAGATGTGTATACTATGGACGACCTGACAAATGGTACTAGGTTCCGCTAGGAAGTTCGATAAAATATGGTGCCCATGGGTAAATTATCCACTTGCAGATTGAGACAGACAGAGATAAGTATGAGCATCGTATACCACCTGGGTGGGTCAGATGCGGACCAGTGTCGTACCTACCACGGTCGCAGGACCTCCCACTAGGCTCCTACACTTGCGACCCCTTCTCCCTTCTCCCTATACAGTTTCAAAATTGCAAATATCATAGTATCATGTTATATGATGCAACATTACCCCACTAGCATATGATGTAGTGTGCAAGCACTGTGGTCTAGGTCAAGCCCCAACTTTTCAAGTCCCAACTAACCATAAATACGTGATGTATTGAGAATACTTGACCCAATGTGCCCAGCTAACGGGTTACATGCATGACAAATGCGGTGTTGCCTATACCCCTGATGTATGCTATGCCTGATAAGTGTTTGATAATATTGCGATGCTATGTAATCAGTCTGTTGATTGTCAAAAAAAACTCCTCTCCTTTTTACCTAAAAAATAAATTATATATATTTTTATATATAAGGGCTAAAAAAAAGTTAATGAATAGATAAAGGTACAAAGCCCTGAGCGTACCAGGAGATCTAATACCGACTCTTTAGTGGAGAGAAATTCAACAGCATAAAAATTTCAGCAGCATAAAATATATATATTATAGGTGCAGAGTGGAAAAAGAATAAAGTAGCATAAAAATTACTTGGTGGGAGTAGGAAAAGATATAGAACATGTAATATGCAGAAGAGATGATAAAAGGTGAAGGACCTATGTATGGGAAGTATAAATATGTGTAGAGATCTGTATAAAAATAAAACTATAAAAAGAAAAAAGGTGAATATAGAGTAGAAAAGTGTACTAGAAAACCAATAGAACAAGGGGGTCTAGTGAAAAACAGCAAAAGAGCTGGGAGATCAGTGAAGAATCAAACAGAAAATCAGAAAATGTGCAGACATAAAATAAATTGGAGAGGGGGCGGAGCCTGACCTCAGAGCTGCACAGACGCGAGTACCACGAGCTCCTGCTGAACGGGCGAAATCTGAGGCAAAATCAGCGGCTATGGAGCCCACAGACTCACCGGGGTGCACTAACCACACTAGGAGTGCACCACTGAACAGAATGATGCCCAATAGACGCCTGTCAGAACCGGGTAACCAGAACGCCAAGTGTGGCCTACTGGAGAAGGAGCTGGGGAGAGGCGGCCGATCTCCCTGGAACCAGACCCAACAAGCGACACTGAGGGCCTTCTATCCCCCCTCCTCCCTGGACCGGTGGGGGTTATCCCGGTCCCCAACGCTAGCCCAGCTCCCACCCTACCGCAACCTCACATCGGGAACAGCAGCAACGAAGCGGAGCATAGACCACACAAGATGGCGGAGGTCCCTTTACAGACCTCGCTAGCCCCCAGCCAAACTGAGACACACCTCGACTCCTTTGATTCCAGGCTGGAGGCAATATTTCAAGCCTTTTGGGACAAGCTGCAGGCACACTCAAACATCAACCAGCATACACAGGGGTTGAAAAGAGGCCCAAAGGAGTTGGCGGGAAACCTTCCCGCGGGCAGAACACCTACTCTAGCAGCTCAAAAAGTAAAGATGGCGCTACTACGGTAGCCTGCACAAAGAGCGGCACTCAAGCCTGCACAGAAGCGCAAGCCCAAGAAGCAGCTGAAGAGAGAACAGAGAGGGAGACTGCAGAGCACACCCCGACACAGGAGATGCCACCATGCATCACGCAGCCGCCTACTTGAACCCCGGTTCGGCTGTCACCCAGTATGTGACAAGCTACCCGCAGATCCCAATTTTTTTTACCTGGACCATCAACGACCCGCGGTTGTGGGTCAACCCGGGTCAGGACTGTGCTGGACACTGGAGCTGGTGGGGTAGCTATATGGGGACATGGTCATGTAACACAGCACCACGCAGGATGCATAGCTTAGTGGGCATAGGCTGACCACCCTACATGAAAGCAGGGCCGGGCTACTACATCCCAGGTCTCATGTTAACCATCACCCACCTATCTCTTATCTCTAACTATGAACCAAGGGTCTATTTAGCTCATGCGGGTTCCCATCTCTCGTTGTTTTCAACTCGTTTTCCCTTTGTTTTTTTTCTTTTTTTGTTTTTTTTCTTGCTCCCATAGGTGGTACTAGTGGAACATAACATACAGTAGTTTAGCATAATATAAGTAGCCTCCGTCCCACTTAATATGGTGCCGAGCCTGATTGTCTCACTAAGATTACTACTTTTATTTGTATACACTTGCATCTGAGCAAAATGTTAGCTAGTGACTGTTAAGCCTTAAAGGACCACTATAGTGCCAGGAAAACATACTCTTTTGTGCCCGGCTCTGGAAGGGAGAAAGGGGTTAAACTTACCTTTTTCCAGCGCTGGGCGGGGAGCTCTCTGCCTCCTCTCCTCCTCCGATCCGCCCCGTCGGCTGAATGCGCACGCGCGGCAAGAGCTGCGCGCGCATTCAGCCAGTCGCATGGGAAAGCATTCATAATGCTTTCCTATGGACGCTTGCGTGCTCTCACTGTGATTTTCACAGTGAGAACCACGCAAGCGTCTCTAGCGGCTGTCAATGAGACAGCCACTAGAGGATTTGGAGGAAGGCTTAACCCATTGATAAACATAGCAGTTTCTCTGAAACTGCTATGTTTATAAAAAAAAAAAAAATGGGTTAACCCTAGAAGGACCAGGCCTAGAGTGGTCCTTTAAGTATTAATGCACAAATGTAGTCTATAGCTATGTATATACTAGACAGAATTTGCGCAGTGAGGCATTTCTACTCCGTAAATCCTCTTATTGACATAACTACCTGTAAAATCAGTTACATCACAGTGAAAGCTTATGTATAATCTACTTTATCCTGTTTCACAATACTTAATTTTCTTAAAAAATAGTTAAAAGTATTTCCATGCCATGCCTAATGTACCAATATATGACAATGATTAGTCTGCTGACGCTGTCGTGGCATCGCAAACTTGGTTGTAACTACCTTCACTGCAAAAATAAAGAATTTTAAAAATAAATAAATAAATTAATTGGAGACGGGATATTATACTAAATATTGCACAAATGTACTGGCCGCAATTACAGGGAGAATGACAAAGTGTCCAGACCTTAAAATGCAAGGTCAGAGTAATAGTGAGCACGGGAAAAGGCAATATATTCTGCAATAAAACCATATAAATACCAAATTGGTCCAATATGTAATTAGCAGCAAATAAAATAAAATAGAAACAGGTCCAATATGAAAGTAATAATAAAAGTCCAATAAAAAATAGCAGCAAATATAAATTAGTCCAAATTGATAGGAATTCTTGCGTCCGAAAAAAGAATAGGCTCTACAGAACTTGTGCTGTAGCTGCAAAAAGCCCCAAGAAAGAAAAGATAGTTGGATATTCTCTCACCTAGGACTCCTCTCTTCTGTTCTCATCTTATCTTTTTATTTTAGTTAGCCGTGGCACTCACTGATTATGTGGTGTGGGTCACGACACCATTTTGATACACCCGCTCGGTGCTCAAGGTTTGTTCCACATGATTTTCCAAAGTGCCCTTCCATCTCCCCTCCCTTACTTCATGGCTCGGAACAGCTTTTAACATTTTAAGCCCCACCCTCACCAATTTTTAACATGTGGGTTGATGGCAGCCATACCATAACTCCCCTAAAGGGGCCTAGCCTATTTCACTTATTGTTTTTAGAAAATTCATACACTATCCCCACTGATAACTAGTTACCATTGCATTCAGTGGGATTTTATATGGTTTTTAATATTTTATACGTTGATTTTTGTGTCACGTATTAAACCGTTGCTTTTTAAATTTGTATGCTATGTAAACAGGAGTGGTCCATATGTCTGTAACACTTTGATAAATCCTACTGTTTTACTTTGTATTTCCAATAAAAGTAGTATACTTCATACGTATCTTGGACCTTCCCGACTTTTCTTAGGTTTTATCAAGAGGACTCTCACTTCGATATCCTTGGTGGGGATTATACCACCTATGCCATTAGGACTGAGCAAAACCCATTTTGCTTTCCTCCCATTTATTTTTATCAGCTTTATAAGTGAGCACTATTTTTGCTGCTACGATTGGAAGCATGGATTCTTATATGCCCCAAGTGGTGATGGATCTGTACACATCTTTTCCGGAGACTCCACCGAACCAGCATATGCACACGTGGATACTAAAAATAAACTAGAAGTGCGTTTTCATACTCTCCTCCCTGATTATAAGGACATACAACACTATTGTTTCCTGTCCCCTTATTTTCCATATTGACCTTTTCCAATTCGGATTTGAGGACACCCACAAGGCACTGCTACCCTTCTATTTTCCAGAAGCCTGAGCAATCTCTAGTCTTGTTTGTTTATTACACTAATATGTTGTTTTTCAAAGCTGATTAATTTTATTTGCACACTCCTTGTGTTGCTGCTATCCTCATACTTCTGCATTTATGGGTTAATTTTAAAGCTACCATTTTAGCAGCCTATCACTATCAAATTAGTCTGTTAATGACTTGCCATGCATGACCTGGTGATGCCCTTGACTGTTTATATCTGCCACTATATTGTGCACAATATACAGTTAAAGGCCTGATGCAAGCTTACCCCAGTCTGTCCAGATTTGGTAGGTAATGCAATCTTGGTCTGTATCATTTACAGTAATGGAAAAAAAAGAAAGTATATCCTCCTTGAATGCTTTGGCTTTACATAGTAGGTCTTAAAATTAGAACTGCCAAAAAGTCGGGTGTTGCCATCCTTCTCTCCAGAACCACTCTATTCTGCTTACTCGAGCAAAAATAGAGCCCAGAGGCCAGTACCTTTTCATCAAAGGGCAGATTCAAAACCAACTTTATACATTCGTGGTAATCTACACTCCAAACTACCACCAACACACATTTCTTGCCTCTACCCTCAAACATCTAGAGAACTTCACAGAAGGCACCATTGTCCTTGGAGGGGCTCTGAACTACCCCTTAGATCCGCTCAGAGATATGTCTAAAGGGGTGAGTACAATGCTGCTACACCACATCTGCACATTTCATAAATCTATGATGCGCCTCCATCTGGTGGACTGCTTGAGAGCACTTAACCCAGAGGAGCGAGACTACACATACTACTCTGCGACCCACCCATCATATTCTAGAATAGACTACTTGTTTCTGAGACAGTCCCACCTCCTTCTACTCCTAGATACGAGTATCGGTATAACTACGTGGTCAGACTATGCCCCGGTTACACTCCGACTCCTGGCCCTGTTGCACTTACTGGTTGAACACCTCTGGATACTTAATGAAGCCATATTGCTACATCAGGAACCCTACAGAACATACGCTCCAACTTGACCCACTATTTTAAGGAGAATACCACTTAGACGTTTCCCCAGTGACTACTTGGGAAGCCCACAAGAGCATGATCAGAGGGCACCTTATATCACTATGTACTCAGAGGAAAAAAGCCCAATAAATGTGGGCCACGACTCGCACGCATGTTGAAGAAGCTACAGGATAGATTTCACATCACCAAGATTCAGGCTGGTGCCGGGAGTCCTTCTTCCTTCCCCAAAGAGATAACGAATGTGTTCCACAGTTACTACAACTCATTATATAACATAAAGGCTGCAAAGACACTCTAACAGAAGCAATTCATATTCGATTATCTACGCAGATTTCACCCGAATAAATTGGAGAGGCCATCAAAGATTCTAAAACTGGGAGGGCCCTGGGACCAGATGGACTCCTGCTCCGATACAAGATATTTAGCGATGTCCTACTACCTCACATGATCACTTCTTTAGCGCCCTCACCAGCGAAGGGAAACTTGGCCCCGAATTTAAACCGCATATCTGACGGTTTTGCCCAAAGAGGGGAAGGATCTGGAGCTGTGCCCAAGCTACAGGCCCATATCCCTCCTCAATTGTGATGTTAGGATCTTGGCCAATGTCTTGGTGAGCTGAATAAAAACCGCCTACTCTCCCTCGTACGTCATGACCAAAGTGGGTTTGTACCAGGCAGGGAGGTGAAAGCTAATAACATCAGGCTTTTGAATCTTTCACCTGGCACAGACCTCAAACAACACAGATGATTGTCCTTTCCAACGATGCCAAAAAGGCTTTCAATGGCATACAATGGCAATTTATGTTCTCAACGATCCGGAAAAAGGTTTTCAAGAAAAAAATCTGTTAATGGATTCAGTCACTATTTACTTTTCAATCAGTGAGGGTGCGCATCAACAGCAGTTTTTTCCACACTGATGCACATATCCAACGGGACTAGGCAGGGGTGGCCGCTATCAACTCTGCTTTAACAATGGAACCCTTCCCGAACGCTGATCGGAACAACCCATCAATTCGGGGACTACAACAACTGGGCTTTGAACACAGTCTCTGCATATGCTGCTGATCTTCTATTCTATGTTACGCAACCGTTGGTTTCACTGCCAAACCTGCTGCAGGAATTGGATGCCTTCAGCAAGTTGAGTGACTATAAGCTCAACCTAGACAAATCAGAAGCAATGAATACCCCCATCAGATATCGCTCAGGTCAACCTCAATTCCCATTTTCAAGTTGCCAAGACTGCTTGAAATACCTTTTGGATAGAAGTCCCTGGAATCTGACCAAGATATACAAATATTTCCAACCAATGCTACACAGCTTCCAGAAAAATATGAAGGACTGGACAGTACCGCACTTCTCCTAGATCAGCCGAATTGAAAGCGTGAGAATGAATCTGCTGCCTTGCATGCTATACCTCTTCCAGACTATACCAATTCCGCTACCAAAGAAGTTTTTCGCCTCCCTGAATTCAGCCTTGACTCAATACGTATAGGAAAAAAGAGGCCACGATTTAAGTTAGAACTTGTATGCCCAAAATGCGATGGGGGGGCTGGGTCTCCAGTCATTCTGCGACTACTACATGGCCATGCATTTAAGCCACATAGTGGAATGGCACATGTCTTCACAGCATATATGGCCAGCCCTGGAGCGAGGGATGGTTTGGCACCATATTCCCTCTCTTGTATGGCTAGGAGAGGTTGCTACTAGAGACATCTGCAGCACTCCACCCCTGATTGGGGTGACTTTCCGTAAATGGCACAGCATACAGTTCAAGATGGCCCTAACCACCACAAATGGACCTATGTATCGAATAAGCACAAATTCTGCATTTCCAGCTGGCTCAGAGCATCGTCACCGGGGATTTCTGTAGAAGGCACATACATCAAACTTACCTCACTCTGCAGGGCAGATTCGATACTCCCCTTAAAGGGACACTATAGTCACCAGAACAACTACAGCTTATTGTTTGTTCTGGTGAGTAGAATCATTCTCTTCAGGCTTTTTGCTGTAAACACTCTTTTCAGAGAAAATGCAGTGTTTCCATTACAGCCTAGGGATACCTGCGCTGGCCACTCCTAAGATGGCTACTAGAGGTGCTTCCTGGGGGCAGTGCTGCGCACTGAGCAGCACTGCCATTCAGTGTCTCCACCCTCTGCATGCAGAGATGCATTGATTCAATTAATCTGAGGAGATGCTAAATGGCCAGGGCTGTCTGACTTGTGCTGGATCTGCCCTTAATCTGCCTCCTTGACCATCTCAGTCAATCCTATGAGGAAGCATTGTAATTTGCTCAGACCACCACTTCTGATTATGTCTGCAGCATCGCAGGCAGACAGGCAGCTGCAGACTTGAATACAAGTAGAAGTTTACTATATTTAGGAAGGCCAGGGGGCTAGATGGTGGTTTTAACACTATAGGGTCAGGAATACAGGTTTGTGTTCCTGATCCTATAGTGTTCCTTTAAGGGATCTCATCAAAGACAGGCAACCCTTCGTGATGGAACATTTCCAACACAATCAGGTGCGTCTTTACCAAATAAAGAACAACAAACCATACAAAGATGCAGCCAGTCTCAGTGTAAAGATGAGTCTCTTATCGGTACTTAAGTCTCTGTGTAGGACCAACCACTACCCTGTTTTCCTTTGGGGTAGTTCCATCGGTATATACACAGAGCCTTAGAAGTTTCTTCTTCTTTTTTTGTTTTTCTTGACCAAATAAACATACATTCCACAAACCATTGACTGCATTTCAAACACTGTTCCAGACTGGCACAGCTATACTGCAGTGTTTCCACCCTCCGCCAACTGTTGCTGACTGCATCACATCCCCCTCTGCCTCAATATCAAGCCAGTGAGGGGAATCCCTGCAAACAGTTTACTGATCAGTTGTGGTCCAAGATAACGCTCTTAACGCATATTAGCTCCATGAGCACCTGATTTCAAGAAATACATTTGAAACTGCTGACTCAATGGTACAGCTTTCCACAAAAGCTACATCACTTTCTCCCCCAAGATTCCTGACACTTGCTAAAGATGTGGAGGAGCAGGAGACTCTCTACACATATTCTGGGACTGTTCTCATATCACCCTTTTGGAAGAAGGTACGTGAGACCATGACTACCATGGCAGATGAGGGGGTACACCTAGCACCAGCGGACATGCTGCTGAACTGTACCACACAAATCTCTTTCCAGACATCTGCTCACAGCGACTTGTTCCTTAATTCCAGCACTGTGAAAATGACCCAATGCCCAGATTCGCCATCCTTCCAGAGAGTTGAGTTGAGAGTTGAGGCAATCGGGGAGGAGGTGAGGAGAATGTTGTGATGCTAACCGGCTGCATGGAAAGACAAGAGGAGACAGAGAGCTTGGCTATCCTATGTGATTACAGGTGCGTAGGTGGAGGTGCGATGGGCGTGGGCTGTGAACCCATTGGATGGACCTGAAGTAAACCATAATTTGTACCTAAAACTCATGCACCACCACCCCCTTTTTTTTTTTTTCCTCCCCCCACAACCTCTTACAATCACTCCCAATTCCTTCCTCACTCTGATCTTCTCCCTTTCACCCATCTTACATAGTTACATAGCTGAAAAGAGACTTGCATCCATCAAGTTCAGCCTTCCTCTCAAATGTTGTTGCTGTTGATCCAAAAGAAGGCAAAAAACCTGGTCTGAAGCGCTTCCAATTTTGCCACAAACTAGGAAAAAATTCCTTCTTGACCCCCAAAATGGCAGTCAGATGTCTCCTTGGATCAAGCAGCTATTACCCCACTAATTAGAAATGATATCCCTGTATGTTATGTTTTTGTAAGTATTTATCCAATTTCAGTTTAAACATCTGTATGGACTCTGACAAAACCACCTCTTCAGGCAGTGAATTCCATATCCTTATTGTTCTTACTGTAAAAAAACCTTTTCTTTGCCTTAGATGAAATCTCCTTTCTTCCAGCCTAAATGTGTGACCTTGTGTCCTATGTATAGCCCTGTTTATGAATAGATTTCCAGATAAAGGTTTGTACTGGCCCCGAATATATTTGTATAAAGTTATCATATCCCCTCTCAGGCGCCGTTTTTCCAAACGAAACAGATTTAATTTTTTTTAACCTTTCTTCATAACTAAAATGCTCCCTTCCTTTTATCAATTTTGTAGCGCGTCTCTGGACCCTCTCCAGTGCCATGATATCCTTCTTTAGAACAGGCGCCCAAAATTGCACAGCATATTCAAGGTGTGGTCTTACCAGCGATTTATAAAGAGGCAGAATTATATTTTCATCCCGAGAATTCATGCCCCTATTCATACATGACAAAATCTTACTGGCCTTAGCAACTGGAGATTGACATTGCGTATTGCTGCCTAATTTGTCTATAACAATTCCCAAATCCTTCTCGTGTGTGGTTATCCCTAATTCACTACAATTTAGTGTGTAAGTTGCTTGTGCATTCTTAAACCCCGAAGTGCATAACTTTGCATTTCTCTGTTAAATTTCATCTGCCATTTTAGTGCCCAGTCCCCCAATCTATCCAAATCTCTCTGCAGCAAAGCAATATCCTGCTCACATTTTATTACTTTACAAAGTGTTGTCATCTGCAAACACTGATACATGGCTTTCAATGCCTATTTCAAGATCATTTATAAATGTTAAATAGAAGTGGTCCCAAAACAGAACCCTGAGGGACACCACTTACCACTTTTGTCCAGCCTGAAAATTTACCATTAATTACAACTCATTGTACTCTGTCCTTAAGCCAATGTTCTACCCAAGAACAGGAATATTCATCTAGACCAATTTCTTTTAGTTTGAAGACTAACCTATTGTGAGGAACCGTATCAAATGCCTTGGCAAAATCTAAGTAGATCACATCCACTACAACACCCTGATCTATACTTCTACTTACTTCTTCGTAGAATGCAATTAGGTTAGTTTGACATGAACCGATATTTCATAAAACCATGCTGATTATTGCTAATAACAAAGTTCTTCCCAATGAATTCCTGAATCTTATCCCTTAATAGCCCTTCAAATATTTTCCCAGTTACAGAAGTTAAGCTCACAGGTCTATAATTTCCAGGCAAGGATTTTGAACACTTTTAAAATATAGGAACAACATCTGTCTTCCTCCAATCCTCCGGTACAACACCTGAAACAAAAGAATCTTGAAAAATTAAATACAGAGGTTCACTTATTTCCCTACTTAGCTCCTTAAGTACTCGTGGGTGAATACCGTCAGGCCCCAGAGCTTTATTTACATTAATTTTCTTTAATAGCTGTAGCACCTTGTCTCGAGTTATCCAATCGCAAGTTATTTGCAAGTTTTTTGCAGCAATCATTTGCATATCTCTTGCCATAGGATCCTCATTAATATATACTGAAGAAAAATTATTTAAAATTTTTTTCCTGGTCTTCATTAGCTAATAAACCCAACTCTGTTTCAAGTGTACCTACACTTTCATTTTTTGTTTTTTTAGAATTGATGTACTTGAAAAAAAATTTGGGGTTGGTTTTGCATTCTTTTGCCATCAATTTCTCATTTTCTATTTTAGCCACTTTAATTGCCTTTTTGCAAGCGTTATTGGCTTCCTTATATCTTAAATAGGATGTCTTTGATTTGTCTGTTTTAAATGCTTTAAATGCCCTTTTCTTATTTTTAATCTCTTGTTTTACTTCTCTACTAAGCCACATTGGTTTTAATTTGTTTTTTATATTTATTACCCAAGGGTACATACTGAGAAATGTACCTTTCTAATATTTGTTTGAATAGTTTCTATTTATTCTCAGTGTTTTTATCACTAAGGAGTTTATGCCAGTCGATATGTTGTAGAGCTGCCCTAATCTTATTGAAATTGGCTTTTTTTTAAATTATATGTTTAGTATACCCCACTTCTTCTGGGCTTGCGTATTCCCCCCCGCCTCTTTACTGCACAACTTTACCTCTACTACGGCCTCTCCGTGGAGGCGGGATTTTCCCACGACACATTTTATCCGGAGCTCACCCACTTCCAACAAGATCCATTGACCTTAATGTTATGTCCATTACATTTAGATGGCAGGGATTACTTGCGTGTCTCGCTTGTTTCCTGCAAAATGTTAACTTATGTCAACTACATGAGGCATTATGTATGCCATAGATACATGCTTACTTGACACGTTTTCTTGTGGGACTTCATGGTCTTAATCTGTGATTGCCTTTACTACTTAACATTCCTTCTAATCTGTAAAATGTTCTGATATTAAATCTTCATAAAGTGTCAAAAATAAATAAAAGGACACTTTTCTACCTGTTAAACAGCAGTAATCTGTAATGATAGTTACTGCCATTTTAAAGACTACAAACTTTTTTGTACGGTCACTCTGTCTTGGTTCCTTGAAAAGATCATTAAAAACTCTTTTCGTTAAAGAGCATATCAATTAAAATTTCCCTCTTCATACCTTGGTCACTCATCCTGCTTCCTCTCCAAAAACTATACCTTTACTGTTCTAGCAACCTACTTTATCCCGTACATGAAATACATCCGGCCTTTACTTCTTGTGCCACTTTACCCCACTACCTCTAGAAAGTAGGCTCATTTGAGCAGGACCCTCAACACAATGTTCCTGTGCGGCTAGTTTCTCTTGTTACAAATACATATTTTAGTCCACCTGTTGTATAACACTGTCATTTGGTGCTTAAAGGGATCCTATAGTGCCAGGAAAACAAACCAGTGTTCCTGGCACTATAGGCTCTTGGAGAGCTCATCTCCCTTGGCGCTGAAGGGGTTAAAACCCCTTCAGCCACTTACCTTAATCCAGCACCAGGCTCCCTCACCACTGGTGACCTCTCCTCCCCTGCCGACGCTAGCTCCCGAGTGGAGCCAAATGCGCATGCATGGCCAGAGACGCGCTTATTCAAACCCGCCCATAGAAAATCATTACACAATGCTTTCCTATGGGGATCTTATTAGACGCTGAAGATCTATGAGGACACCCAGTGTCCGATAAGTGCGATTTACTCCTATGTACATTGCGGAAGCGCCTCTAGTGGCTGTAAGGGAGACAGCCACTAGAGGCTGGATTAACCCTGCAGTGTAAACCTAGCAGTTTCTCTGAAACTGCTAGGTTTTCAGCTGCAGGGTTAAAACTAGGGGGACCTGGCACCTAGACCACTTCATTGAGCTGAAGTGGTCTGGGTGCCTATAGTGGTCCTTTAATAAATGTTCTTAACTTTTCATGAACTCCTACACGATTAGTTCTTTTCATGCAAATGCTTTGCTTATACATGTTTTGACACTTTTTCTCACAGATTAATTAGAATAGTGTTTGGGTAAAAAAACAATTACTGGTTGAAAATAATCTATAATCTGTTTTCATTCTGATATAGAAACATAGAATGTGACAGCAGATAAGAACCATTTGGCCCATCTAGTCTGCCCAATTTTCTAAATACTTTCATTAGTCCCTGGCCTTATCTTATAGTTAGGATAGCCTTATGCCTATCCCACGCATGCTTAAACTCCTTTACTGTGTTAACCTCTACCACTTCATCTGGAAAGCTATTCCATGCATCCACTACCCTCTCAGTAAAGTAATACTTCCAGATATTATTTTTAAACCTTTACCCCTCTAATTTAAGACTGTCCTCTTGTTGTGGTAGTTTTTCTTCTTTTAAATATAGTCTCCTCCTTTACTGTGTTGATTCCCTTTATGTATTTAAATGTTTCCCCCCTGTATCATATCCCCCCTGTCTCGTCTTTCCTCCAAGCTATACATGTTAAGATCCTTGAACCTTTCCTGGTAAGTTTTATCCTGCAATCCATGAACCAGTTTAGTAGCCCTTCTCTGAACTCTCTCTAAGGCAGTGATTCCCAACCCAGTCCTCAAGGCACACCTACCAGTCCAGGATTTAGGGATTACATAGTAGTGGCTAAGGTGTTTTTAGAAACCTTAGACACAACTGGGTCACCCCTAAATCCTGGACTGGTAGGTGTGCCTTGAGGACTGGGTTGGGAAACACTGCTCTAAGGTATCAATATCCTTCTGAAGATAGTCTCCAGTACGGTGTACAATACTTCGAGAGGTCTCGCCAGTGTTCTGTACAAAGGCATAAGCACTTCCCTCTTTCTACTGCTAATATCTCTCCCTATACAACCAAGCATTCTGCTAGCATTTCCTGTTGCTCTATCACATTGTCTGCCTTCCTTTCAGAAATAATCACCCCTAAATCCCTTTCCTCAGATGTTGAGGTTAGGACTCTATCAAATATTCTGTACTCTGCCCTTGGGTTTTTACATCCAAGATGCATTATCTTGCACTTATCCACATTAAATGTCAGTTGCCACAACTCTGACCATTTTTCTAGTTTTCCTAAATCATTTGGCTTATCACTCCTGGAATATCAACCATGTTACATATCTTAGTATCATCAGCAAAAGACATACCTTACCATCAAGACCTTCTGCAATATCACTAATAAAAATATTAAAGAGAATGGGTCCAAGTACAGATCCCTGAGGTACCCCACTGGTGACAAGCCCAAGCTTCGAATATATCATTGACTACAACCCTCTGTCGTCTGTCACTCAGCCACTGCCTTACCCATTCAACAATATTGGAATCCAAACTTAAAGATTGCAGTTTATTTATAAGCCTTCTATGTGCAACAGTGTCAAAATCCTTACCGAAATCTAGGTAAGCAATGTCTACTCCACCACCCTGATCTATAATTTTAGTTACCCAATCAAAAAATTCAACAAGATTAGTTTGGCATGATCGCACTGAAGTAAACCCATGTTGTCTCTGATCTTGAAATCCATGTGTTTTTTAGATGTTCAACAATCCTATCCTTTAACATGGTTTCCATCACTTTCCCCACTACTGAAGTAAGGCTTACTGGCCTATAGTTGCCCGACTCCTCCCTATCACCTTTCTTGTGAATGGGCACAACATTCGCTAACTTCCAGTCTTCTGGGACTACTCCTGTTAACAATGATTGGTTAAATAAATCTGTTAATGGTTTTGCTAGTACACCACTAAGCTCTTTTAACAGCTTTGGGTGTATTCCATCAGGTCTCATTGAATTATTTGTCTTTACTTTTGACAGTTGAAATAGAACCTCTTCCTCTGTAAACACACGTGTAATAAATGACTCCTTTATCCTTTTTCTTAACTGAGGTCCCTTTCCTTCATTTTCATCTGTAAATACCAAAGCTAGACCTTTATCCTCTTCTACATATCTTCCTTCTTTTGTTTTTAATCTAACTACTTAATTACTAAATGCTAACTTTTTGTTTTTTACTATTTTGGCCACATCTGCGGAGTACCACAGTGGTTTCTTGAATTTTTTGCTTTTACTGACAAGCCTAATGCAATTTTATGTTGCCTTCAGTAGTGCAACTTTTAAATAATCCCATTTCTCTTGGACTCCATTTAAATTGCTCCAGTCTGATAATGACTCCTTTACATATATTCTAATTTTAGAAAAGTCTGTTTTTGTAAAGTCTAAAACTTGATTTTGTGTGGTGTGACTCACCACAGTGTGTTCTTATATTAAACCACACTGACTGATCACTGGATCCTAAACTTTCACCTACAGTAATATCTGATATCAAATATCCATTTGTTAACACTAAATCTAGTATGGTCTCTTTACGAGTTGGCTCCTCAATGACTTGTTTTAGAGACAATCCCAGTAGGGAGTTTAGAATGTGTGCTCCTGGCACAACCAGCTATTTTTGTTTTCCAATTCACATCTGGAAGATTAGTCACCCATGATGATAACTTCCCCCTTCATTGTCATTTTAGCAATTTCCTCAACTAGTAGATTATCTAACTCTTCAATTTGTCCTGGGGGCCTATAAATTACACCTACACGAGTTACTGTGTGATTACCAAATTCTAACGTGACCCAAACGGACTCTGTTTGCCTCACTAACTTTTATTAGGCTAGATTTTATGCTATCCCTAACATACAGGGCCACCCCTCCCCCTTTCTTGCCTTCCCTTTCTTTTCTATATAAAGAGTACCCTGGTATTGCTAGTCCCAGTCATTTCTCATTATACCATGGTTCAGTAACAGCGACTAAATCTACACTATCAGTTGCCATTATTGCCATGAGTTCATGGATCTTATTCCCTAAACTGCGAACATTTGTAGACATGACTCTAAGCTTATCTTTTTTTTAACACACTTGCTACAGGCACCTTCTGTCCTTGTTTTGGGGGACAATTGGATTGATGTTTTATCATCCTTTTGCCCCCCCTCCTAGTTTAAATACATCCTAGCAAAACCTCTGAACTGCTCACTGAGAACATTTGTTCCCTTTTGAGAAAGATGCAAACCATCTTTTTTGTACAGCTTATCTCCATTCCAAACAGAGCTACCATGAGAAATAAAGCCAAATCCTTGCTCCCGACACCATTCACCAAGCCACAAATTAAAGTCCCTAATACGCATCCGCCTGTCGTTCTGAGTGTTATGCACAGGCAGAACTTCAGAGAATGACAGTGTGGAAGCAACCTGCCGTATATTATTGGCAAAAACACTAAAAACTTCCTTAACCTCTGAAAACTCATTGCAAGCCAAGTCATTTGTTGCAGAGTGTACTTTGTGTATTATTGCATATTTCTAATTCTTGTTTTGGATTTCTCTAGGCAGTAAGCGAAATCTTGAGCCGTATTTCCAGCACTCTAAAACATCTCCTTGTGGAAGTCTCATCCTGACAAATGCAGAGAAATCTGAAAAGAAAATGTCCTCTCTTCATGCAGAGCAAGACACAAATATGTTAAGAGAACACTATCTTAACGCTAAACCGTTAATATTTTCTGAATGCAATAAATCGTGGGTCATGGTGGCCCCTAAACCAGCCAACCGCAGCATGGCAGACCCCCCAATCATGACTCTTAGTGAGAGAGTGGATAATGCGGAAACACCTACCAGTGAGAGATACAAATATTTCACATCCCCAATGTTACCCAGTACAAAGCTGAGGAAGAAACTTACCCCTGTTAAGGAAGTGTTAAGTGAAGTCAAGATCTCAGAATGGAGAAACAAAGATGAGCTAAACGTGACATATGTAATGCCCACAATTTGTCACACCCTTGATGGACCGAATTCAAGACCTGGGGATGATTGGTCGTTTAACAGCTTTTTATCTGCAGAGTGTGAAAACTTGATAAAACAAGTAAAAAACACATTTGAAGGTATAAGAACTGATCGTGAACTGGATCATAAAATGGAAAAATCGAGCTTCTTGGAGGGTAGTCTCTTGGACCTAGATAAAATGAACTTGAATCTCCTAGACTTCCATTTGATGGATGAAGGTAACCAGAATGATAAACATAAAGTATTGTGCTGCCCTGCCACAACATATCTAAACAAGTTGCATATTAAAATGAACGAAACCGAGAGCATCAACCAAGTGGGTGTCGATGGGAAATCCTTAAGCACTGATAGTGCTCTACCTGTAACAGATAGCTCAGAAAACGATCGCACTTTCATATTGTCAGTTGTACCAATACAAAATTGTGGCAAAGCTTTGGAAGAAGGAATGGGTGACACATGCATGCACAAGGTCAATTCTACAGTCTGTATGCAGCATACCATGTTCACGCAAAGTGCAGTGAATTCTGCTGACACCACACACATTTTGTTGTGTGATGCCATACCTGAAGGTAATACAATGCAAGCTATTGTATCAAGTGATAAAATGCCAATGCCAACTCTTGCCAATATCACCCAGAATATTACAGCAAACACTGAGATTGATGTAGCCGGTGTCCCTCAGGATATGGCATCAATCCCTAATGAGATGGATGTAGCCAATGTCATCCATAACATTGTAATGAAGTCTAGTGGGACAGCAGAAGCCAATGTCACCCAGGAACTTGTGTATAAAACAAGTGAAACTGCGACTAATGCCACCCAAGACCTTGTGTCAGAACCTAGTGAGATGACTGTAACCAATGCCACCGAGGTCTTTGCACAAAAACCTAATGGGACATCTGTGTCAGTCACCCAGGATATTGTGTTAGAGCCTACTGAGATGACTGTAACGGATGCAACCCAGGCCTATGTACTAAAATCTAATGGGACCTCTGTGTCCAATGTCAGCCAAGATACTGCATCTTGTGGGATGACTTTAACCACTACTACCCAGGACATAGTGTTAGAACCTACTGAGATGACTGTAACCAAGGCACCCCAGATCTATATACTAAAATCTGACTGGTCGTCTGTGTCCAATGTCACTCAAGACAATGTGTCAGCACCTAGTGGGATGATTGTAAATGTCTCCCAAGACCTTATGTCAGAACCTAGTGGAATGACTGTAATCTGTGCCAATCAGGGCCTTGTGTCAGAATCTAGTGGCATGCCCGTAACAAATGCCACTCATCTTATGGTGGAACCCAGTAGGATGACTGTAGCACATGCCAACAAGGTATTTGTGCAAAAACCTAGCGGGACATCTATGTCCAATGTCACCCAGGACATAGTGTCAAAAGAGGTGACTGTGGTTAATACCACAAAGGATATTGGTGAGATAACTACAGATGTACCCAGCTTGGAAAAAGATGCTGTGGGTAAAATACCCAATATCACTCCGGATGCGTTATTGGATTATGAGGGAACTTCAAAATGTACATTGCATAAACTACTAAATAAGACCTTCTCCATGAACAGACAAGATAAACAAACATTACCTTTTATAGTGCCTGTAGCTATTGCCACCCCAGACTTTCCAACTCACTGTGAAATGGCTACAGTAAATATTACTAAAGACCTTGCCTCTGAACATGTAGAAGTGGCTGAACCTGACTCCACACAGGATGTCGATGAGGAAAGATTGGAGCAAGTGGTTAGTCATCCAGAACAATTGGAGCATTACACAAAAATATGGGAGACTTCTCAGGATTTGTCTTTCTCCAGTGGGTCCTTGTCCTTTGTCACATCTACACCTGTAACAGGGTTGAGCCATTATCGTTTCATCATAAAATCTGAACAGCCTATGCAGTATGACCCCAACTTCACTTTTACTAACTTGGAGGCACAAACAAAGGAACTGGAGATGAAAGGACAATCAAAACTTAAATTATTGCATAGAGGCAGTTTAGTAAAAAGAGGAATGACAAGAGGCCCTATGCTGCCCCGCGTGTCCAGAAGTAATCTTCCAGTAGCAGTGGAAAAGTCAAAACTAATGGAACCTCCATGTGCTCCAAAATTTGGCCAGGGTTCTTTACCACAAGCCACTGAATGGGCTAAAAAATTAACAAAAGAGCATTTGTCTAACAATGATCTACCAGGAGGTAGTAACTGTTTTAGGCGAGGCATGGTTTGCCCTTCACTTAGCAGGATTACCACTGTAGGCATTGCCCAGAAAAAATTAGGAGAGTCAGCAAGACAACTTGTTTATCACAAGCCAATAAATGGTTTGTATACTCTCAAGACTACAGCTGCAAAGGTATCTAACAAACGGTTCTTGTCTACTTCATTCTTTGTCTATGATAGTTTTTCCATCTAGATCTTAATGTTAGGCTTGCTCTTTGATAAGGAGTTATGTAGTCGTTTGTATGAGGTGTACAGTAATGTCTTTTCTTTATCACAGATAGGATCCCATACTTCAAACTCTCAGTTGCCCAGCAGAACTACCAATAAACCAACAGCACAGGTTGCCCATAACACTGGCATTTTTTCTTCAAGAGTCCCAAGCTCCACCAATCTTCAGGATGCTGCTCAAAGCGTTGCATCCTTGACTGCATGTCAAACGGCAGCCCCTGGTGAGATCTTGTAACCAGTTGCAATGGGAAATAGAAAGGTATTGTATCTGAAATGCTGCATTTTTTTTCCTTTAGTTTAACTTATGACTCTTTCACAGGCAACAGAAAAAGTGACTTTATAAGAGTTGGACCTTCAATTTGCCCACCACCTCTAACTGGTTCTCAGACATCACCCAAAAAAATATACCCAAATTCAGGTGAGTAACCAAATAAAAGCTAATTCTCTGAGTATGCTAAACAGGGCTCAACAAATCCCAGGTCACCATGGCGCCTAGGAATTTTGCCATGGAGCCTGTGATATTTGAATATACATACAATGTAAGGTGGAGTGTCTTCTGGTTACAGATAATATCAGGTAAATCCTAAAAGTAGAACAGATAATAACACTTGATAGTGCAATATTGCCTGAATAGTAAATGAAGTGAGGATAAAATATATAGTGACACACTCACAAAATTAGAGCCTGTAATACAAGGCTCAATTATCCAGCGCTGTGGGATTAAGGATCACCACTTCCTTCTTTTAGCTTGCCAGGGGATGGAAAAAATCCAATGTCCTCTCACATATCAGTATAAAGTGGTAAAAGTGCTTTAATAGTAAAGTGCACAAATAGAAATAAAAAACAAGACCTTACAGTTTAAGGTAATCTTGTTAGAGTAGTCTCTAGCTGCAATACGCGTTTCGCCTCGTCTGGAGGCTTCCTCAGTTGCTCTGGTTGATTGTAGTTCATAATCTGTTTTTATATCCAATCTTTTGCGCCCTTTTTTTGCTCTCCTCTCCCTTTTCTCGGCATTTTCGCTTCCGCGTTCCACCGGTGGAACGCATCAATCGAGTCACTTCCGGTTTCGGCTTTTGCGTTCCACTGGTGGAACGCATGCAATATTCCTCCGGTTTTCGTGTGTTTAGATGTAAATAAATTATGGGAAACAGTCCATATGTGTATAGAGGGGCATAAGTAGCATAAATCTCATAGTTCATGAATGTAAAGGACATAAATATTAAATAGGCATTCCCAACAATCAGATAAAGGACATAAGTATTGGGTAAACACTCCAAACATGTAAATCTGACAAGTAACTGTCTGGGGAAGAAAGGAACCCTAATGTAAATCAACCTTAAAAATAGGAAGATAGGCAAGTGCTAAATAAAATGTAAATATAATGATAGGCATGACAATATAAAAGAATAAAAGAAGGAACCTATTAAGACCACATAAAAACTAAATGGTTTTAGTATTAGTACCTTAAAACAATATATTAATATCTTAATTAAAAATGGCAAACTTCAAAGTCTAAATCTAACCCATAGGGGATAAGGGTTTTAAAAGTGTATATATATTTCATTTCTTCTTTACCTAGTAATTTAATGTAATTACCCCCTCTCCAGTCTCTCTTTACTTCTTTAATAGCACAGAAAAATAAATTCTCTGGGTTTTGGTTGTGGACATCTTTAAAATGTTGGGATACGCTGTGAGTCTCCAAGCCATTCCTAATATTCCGTATGTGTTCAGCGATCCTAACTTTTAAAGGTCTAATAGTTCTCCCTACATAGAGTAACTTACAGGGACATTGTAAAATATATACAATGCCCTTGGAATGACACGTAAGGTGGTCTTTAATAATGAATGCTTTCTGGATAAGATCTTCTAAATTTTCAAAGTGCCTTTTTGTTTGTTTAGTAATTCTGCATGGAAGACATGTACCACAACCGTAAAATCCTTTAAGATCTTGAATAAAGTGCTTAGGTTTTGTAGGGTTTAAATGACTTTTAACGAAAATATTTTTAAAATTCTTGGCTCCTCTATACGTGATTCTGGGTTTTGTTGGTAAGATTTTGAATAAGATTGGGTCATCTTTTAATAAATGCCAATGTTTATTTATAATTTTATGTATACGTCTATTTTGTCCATTAAAATCACAAATAAAAGGGACTTCATTGGTGTCCATCTGTGTTGTCTTTGGTTTATATTGTATGAGTTGTTTTCTCTTTAATCTTCCAACTTCTTCTAAATCTTGGTTCAAAGATATTTCATTGTACCCCTTTTCCAAAAACTGCCGTTTAATATAAGTGGCCTGTTCTAAATAATCACTATCTAATTTGCAGTTCCGGCGAATCCTTAGAAATTGACTTTTTGGGGCATTGTGGAGCCAAGGTTTATGATGACAGCTACTAATATTTATGTAGCTGTTTGCATCCACTGGTTTGAAATGATTACTGGTGACTATCGTAGCATCTTGGATCCTAATGTTAAGATCTAAAAAATTAATATTGGATGCACTATAATTGCAAGTAAGATGGATTCCATAATCATTGGTGTTTAACTGGGTAATAAATGATTGTAAGTCTTCTATGGTGCCGGTCCAAATAAAAAAGATATCCTCTATGAAGCGGCAATAGGACACCAAACTCGCCCCCCACACATGGTCTGATAATACCCATGTTTCTTCCCAAAATGCCATAAAAAGATTGGCATAGCTCGGGGCGAATTTGGTGCCCATTGCCGTCCCACAGATTTGTAGATAAAACGTATTCTCGAACCAAAAATAATTGAGATAAAATTAATAAAATTCCTTCTAAAATATATTGGATCTGTTCTTTAAAATTAGATTTGGTTAAAAAATGTTTTACTGCTGCTATTCCCTTTTCATGAGGTATAATACTGTATAATGCAGTGACATCACATGTAACTAGTGTATTGCCCTCTGTCCATTTAGTTTCTTCTAAAATTTGTAAAATATGAATGGTATCTTTAAGATATGTTGGATTTTTTATCACAATCGGCTGAAGGATGGTATCAATATATTCATAAATCCTAGTGGAGATCGAGTCTATCCCCGATATAATTGGTCTTGCTGGGGGGTTAGTAATATTTTTATGGATTTTAGGTAATAGATAAAAAAACGGTATTTTTGGGTTATCTATCCACAAATAATTAGCTTCCTTTTCAGTAAGGATTTCTAAAGTTTTTCCTTTTTCCACATACTGTTTGAAAATCTCCATAGTAGCATTAGTGGGATTATATGTCCGTTTCTGATAAGTTGAAGAATCTGAAAGTATTCTATTTGCTTCCTTAATATATGACTCTTTATCAAGAATTACGGTTCCTCCACCCTTGTCTGCAGGCTTGATTACTAATTGATCATTATTTTTAATGACGTTTAAGGCTTTTTTTTTCCCCTATTGATAAGTTGTGTTTATATTTATTGGTTCTCTTGAATTTCTCTACATCCTTCATCACCATAGTTTCAAAAGTTTGAATTGCATCCGAAATTAGATGTCTTGGAAAAAATTGTGATTTTGGCCTAAGCTGTGTATGAAAATATTCATTATCATGTTCTTCTTGCGGTTTATTTTCTTTATTATAAAAAAAAAAAATTTTAAACATAATTTTCTTTTAAATAAATTCATATCTACAAAAAAGTTAAAAGGGTTAAAATCTGCCGTAGGTGCAAATTTAAGACCTTTATTAAAAATATTTGCCTGTTCCGGGGTAAAAATTCCTTCTAAATTGATGTCTTGCCTCTTTTCTCTATGTGCTGGTCTCTTCTTTCTTCTGTCTCCTTCTTCCTCCAGTGACCTCTGTCTTTTCCCCTGTGATTCCCAGGGTTGAACATTGTCTACCCACTTTCTCCTGTTTTAAATCAGGTCCCTCCGAAAAAAAGGTGATGGTGGGGTATCTGGGGGGAAGGGGTATTATCATTTACTTTTCTTTGCTCTCTGTGTTGAGGAATTGGCTTCTCCTGAAGATGGTAAGGGGGCTCCTCCCTCGAATGTTTTTCTTGTTCTTTCCTTTGGGCTCTTTCTTTCACCACATCACTATATTTCCTACTGTCCTGATTATTGGTGGTCACAATAGATTCAAAATTAGTACATTGTTGTCTCCTCTGGATCGGTATATGTTTGTAAGCTTTTGGGGATTCAGCAGTCTTACTATCGTAGATCTTTTTCTTATTATATGGTTGCCATCTGTTTTGTTGTACTCCATTTGTGTATTTCTTTGTATTATTCTCATATGGAACTCTCTTACTTTTGTCATATTTTGTGTTTACATCATAACTCTCTAATGGGTTGTCTTTATGTGGAATTTTCCTACGTTTTTCCCATTTAGTGTTATCATTTCTCTCTAATGGATCTCGAGTAGTTAATGGGTGTTGGGAATAATTATCCTGACTATATTGTTTTCTTTTAACAAAAGTATTCTGACGTATATTATTTTTATTGTTATTATTTCTTTTTCTTACATTTCCTGTCTTATAATCGATTGTATCTCTCAAATATTTTTTCTTTTTTATTTCAATAATATCTAGTTCAAGTTTATCTACTTTTAATTGGATTTCTTTTAGAATATCGTTATAAATTTCTGGGCTTGTAGATTCTGCCAAACAATTTTTCCATTTGCTAATTTCTTCATCAAGTTTAGGGAGAGTTTCTTCTCTTCTTGCTACGATATACCCCATTGTACTAAATGAGAAGCCATCAAGTAGTTTCTCCCAACCCGCCATAAAGTGGGGGTCCTCTCTATCAAAACTAGGGTCCTTATAGAACCTAAGGCCTCTAGGGGTAATCTGATCACGGACATATTTTTTGAGGGTTGCAATCTCCCATTTGACCTTCATCTCTTTTATAAGGTGTCTCTCTAAATTATATCTAGATTTGTTTTGATCACTATATTGTGGAACTGAATTTCGTTCTATAGTTGATTCAAAACAAGCATCAATATTATTAGTACGATATTCTCTATTGTCCAAAAAAGACATCTTAATGTAGTGACCGCTTCAAATACTGAGAAGGGGGTTGTATATATAAAAATACACAATGTTATACAATAAATGCAGTAAATACAGTATTTTCCAGTGGGATACATACATAAAAGAATAATCCAAAAAGATACTCAAAACACCTTAGTGAGTACCCTTCACCCTCACATCAAATTTAAATATACATACAATGTAAGGTGGAGTGTCTTCTGGTTACAGATAATATCAGGTAAATCCTAAAAGTAGAACAGATAATAACACTTGATAGTGCAATATTGCCTGAATAGTAAATGAAGTGAGGATAAAATATATAGTGACACACTCACAAAATTAGAGCCTGTAATACAAGGCTCAATTATCCAGCGCTGTGGGATTAAGGATCACCACTTCCTTCTTTTAGCTTGCCAGGGGATGGAAAAAATCCAATGTCCTCTCACATATCAGTATAAAGTGGTAAAAGTGCTTTAATAGTAAAGTGCACAAATAGAAATAAAAAACAAGACCTTACAGTTTAAGGTAATCTTGTTAGAGTAGTCTCTAGCTGCAATACGCGTTTCGCCTCGTCTGGAGGCTTCCTCAGTTGCTCTGGTTGATTGTAGTTCATAATCTGTTTTTATATCCAATCGAGAATACGTTTTATCTACAAATCTGTGGGACGGCAATGGGCACCAAATTCGCCCCGAGCTATGCCAATCTTTTTATGGCATTTTGGGAAGAAACATGGGTATTATCAGACCATGTGTGGGGGGCGAGTTTGGTGTCCTATTGCCGCTTCATAGAGGATATCTTTTTTATTTGGACCGGCACCATAGAAGACTTACAATCATTTATTACCCAGTTAAACACCAATGATTATGGAATCCATCTTACTTGCAATTATAGTGCATCCAATATTAATTTTTTAGATCTTAACATTAGGATCCAAGATGCTACGATAGTCACCAGTAATCATTTCAAACCAGTGGATGCAAACAGCTACATAAATATTAGTAGCTGTCATCATAAACCTTGGCTCCACAATGCTCCAAAAAGTCAATTTCTAAGGATTCGCTGGAACTGCAAATTAGATAGTGATTATTTAGAACAGGCCACTTATATTAAACGGCAGTTTTTGGAAAAGGGGTACAATGAAATATCTTTGAACCAAGATTTAGAAGAAGTTGGAAGATTAAAGAGAAAACAACTCATACAATATAAACCAAAGACAACACAGATGGACACCAATGAAGTCCCTTTTATTTGTGATTTTAATGGACAAAATAGACGTATACATAAAATTATAAATAAACATTGGCATTTATTAAAAGATGACCCAATCTTATTCAAAATCTTACCAACAAAACCCAGAATCACGTATAGAGGAGCCAAGAATTTTAAAAATATTTTCGTTAAAAGTCATTTAAACCCTACAAAACCTAAGCACTTTATTCAAGATCTTAAAGGATTTTACGGTTGTGGTACATGTCTTCCATGCAGAATTACTAAACAAACAAAAAGGCACTTTGAAAATTTAGAAGATCTTATCCAGAAAGCATTCATTATTAAAGACCACCTTACGTGTCATTCCAAGGGCATTGTATATATTTTACAATGTCCCTGTAAGTTACTCTATGTAGGGAGAACTATTAGACCTTTAAAAGTTAGGATCGCTGAACACATACGGAATATTAGGAATGGCTTGGAGACTCACAGCGTATCCCAACATTTTAAAGATGTCCACAACCAAAACCCAGAGAATTTATTTTTCTGTGCTATTAAAGAAGTAAAGAGAGACTGGAGAGGGGGTAATTACATTAAATTACTAGGTAAAGAAGAAATGAAATATATATACACTTTTAAAACCCTTATCCCCTATGGGTTAGATTTAGACTTTGAAGTTTGCCATTTTTAATTAAGATATTAATATATTGTTTTAAGGTACTAATACTAAAACCATTTAGTTTTTATGTGGTCTTAATAGGTTCCTTCTTTTATTCTTTTATATTGTCATGCCTATCATTATATTTACATTTTATTTAGCACTTGCCTATCTTCCTATTTTTAAGGTTGATTTACATTAGGGTTCCTTTCTTCCCCAGACAGTTACTTGTCAGATTTACATGTTTGGAGTGTTTACCCAATACTTATGTCCTTTATCTGATTGTTGGGAATGCCTATTTAATATTTATGTCCTTTACATTCATGAACTATGAGATTTATGCTACTTATGCCCCTCTATACCCATATGGACTGTTTCCCATAATTTATTTACATCTAAACACACGAAAACCGGAGGAATATTGCATGCGTTCCACCAGTGGAACGCAAAAGCCGAAACCGGAAGTGACTCGATTGATGCGTTCCACCGGTGGAACGCGGAAGCGAAAATGCCGAGAAAAGGGAGAGGAGAGCAAAAAAAGGGCGCAAAAGATTGGATATAAAAACAGATTATGAACTACAATCAACCAGAGCAACTGAGGAAGCCTCCAGACGAGGCGAAACGCGTATTGCAGCTAGAGACTACTCTAACAAGATTACCTTAAACTGTAAGGTCTTGTTTTTTATTTCTATTTGTGCACTTTACTATTAAAGCACTTTTACCACTTTATACTGATATGTGAGAGGACATTGGATTTTTTCCATCCCCTGGCAAGCTAAAAGAAGGAAGTGGTGATCCTTAATCCCACAGCGCTGGATAATTGAGCCTTGTATTACAGGCTCTAATTTTGTGAGTGTGTCACTATATATTTTATCCTCACTTCATTTACTATTCAGGCAATATTGCACTATCAAGTGTTCTGTTCTACTTTTAGGATTTACCTGATATTATCTGTAACCAGAAGACACCCCACCTTACATTGTATGTATATTTAAATTTGATGTGAGGGTGAAGGGTACTCACTAAGGTGTTTTGAGTATCTTTTTGGATTATTCTTTTATGTATGTATCCCACTGGAAAATACTGTATTTACTGCATTTATTGTATAACCCTGTGATATTTGAGCCTGTTGCCTCCGAGGCAGACAGCCAGCTGTTCATTCTGTTGCCAGGTGGCGAGGGAGCTGTGTTGTCCCCGATCTGCTGCCTTGCATGCCGCTTAGTGAGGTGGGGGCTGGATTGACGTCCTATTCCAGCCCCGGCCTCACTAAGCAGCGCATGAGAAAGCAGAGCAGGGACATCACAGCTTGCTAGCCACCCGCCTCTACAATGACCCAGCCAGCTGCCCACTGGAGCCCACACGGTAAGCCAATTTTATTAAAACAAGCAATGTGTGAGTCTGTGTATGTGGATCTATCGGTGTGAGTCTCTGTGTGATGGTATGCATGTATCTGTGTGTCTGTGTCACGGTATGTGTGGGTGTCTGTGTCATGGTATGTTTAGGTGACCAGCCCCCTTCTGTTCGCAAGGAAATTGTTTTTATTCACCTTTTTTTTTTTTTCCCCTATGCAGTGTTGGTCTTCCCTCGACTGGCTCCACTTCTATGGCTGAGATTATCAAGCTTGATGATCTCAGCCAATCCAATGTTTTCTCAGTGGAAAGTATTGGGAGGCTAATGCGCATGCACTGCAAAACAGGGCTTCATAGTGGGCTTCATTAAAGGGACAATTCACTGCCCAAATACCATTTAGAAGCTATACCCCAAGGGAAAAAATGCACGTTTTTCAAAACTTTCAACACCAGAAATATTGTCTGCAGCTTTTGCAAGCCCACTTATTCTAACCCAGTCCAGACTTTTTGTGGCTGTTAAATCAGAACCTTCACAATGCAGCTCAATGAAAAGTCTTTGCAATGCTGGTGCTAAAACAATTGCTTGCCTCTTGAGTTTAGGTATTCTAGAGTAGGGACCTTTTAAAATAAATAAAATTAAAAAATGCCATCTAGGCTCATTTGGTCAAGTGTGCACAATTTATGGAAAGGCTAATCTTTGAATGCACCCAGTCCCATCCTAAAGCAAATTGTGATGAGGATGCCCACATCTAGATCTGATACACACATCTTGAGTTTACTGTCTCTCCCTGAAAGAACATTTCTGTGTTATCCTTTACCTCATGGAGCATCGAATAAGGTGTCAACGTTATAGGCAGAAGGGGGCATTGTAGGCAGCGCGAAAGGGAGCAGTAATATACCTGTAACTCCTCTCTGCTCTCTCGCATGCTGTTTAATCATGCCGGGAGCCAGAATATGACGTCACTCTGGCCCCTGCTCACTACAGAGAGTGAGGGAGTAAAGAGGAGCTGCAAGTATATTACTGCTCCATCGTACGCAGGAAGAGAGAGCAGCCCTACTGGACCTCAGAGAAGATCCACTCAGCTCTCCCAAGGGTAGGGAGGCTGGGTGGATTTCAATTAAAATTTGTGTCTCTCTCTGTTGGTGTGTGTGTGTCGGTCTGTCTCTGTTGTGTGTCTAGGCAGTAATGTAAACCCTACCTTTTCTCTGAAAGGCAGTGTTTACATTGAAAGGTCTGCAGGTACCGACTATAGTCACCAGAACAACTACATTAAGCTGTAGCGATTCTGGTGTCTATTAAGAATTGAATTTTTCTCATTGAAAATTAAACTTAAAATTCTAAATAAATTTGTCAGGCCCTGAGTTAAACAATTATAGCCCAAAGCAATTAACAGTGTAGTTTTATTTAACACTTTCCTATGTGAGAAATTTACATTCTCACTTTGATTTTCCATGACGTACCTAAAGGCATAACCAAAATGTGGAAGCATCTTTTTTTTTTCCTCTCTCCTTATATTATTTGAGTATAAGATATATTTTGCATTGGTACTGTCATGAGCGAAGTGTAAAAGTAGCCCATTGGTCTCCTTGCATTACCAGTGAAATTGTTAGGGTGAAATTTAAAGTATAAGGCAAAACCATGTTGAGAACCACTGGATGTTTTGAAGGTAAAGCATAACATAAGATTTGAGATTTATAAAAGCTCATCTCTTCCACAAAGCCATACGAGATGAACAAATAGTAATTGCAACACTTCGTTAAAAGGAACCTGTGGATTAAAGGAATTAAATGGTAATCCATGACGGATTAAAGAAAGTTGAAAATGGAGTAGTGTCTCATCCACTTACCTTGCTCTCAGATCCACTAATGTCCACATGTACACCTGCCGAAAGTAGCGTACCTTGCTGCTTTCAAAGATATGGCATTACTTTATAATTAGTTTTTCCTCTATTTCCTCTAAAAGAAAAATGAACATACACATTAATAAATAAATAAGAATGTTTTTTGTGCGGCACCCACTTATGAATTTTATGTAAGCCTACAACCATTGTGGAGACATTGTGCTATTGATTCCCAAGTGCAATTAAATGTTCCTGGTTCAGTATATTTTGGCTCTGACCTTTCCTCTATACTGACCTTGGCTTGGTATGACTATTTTACATTCTAGTGTCCGTGGCTCAGTTTTCCATTATTGATAGAATATTGATGATTTTCATTATTGACCCAGAATATTGAACCGTTTTGCTTCTTTAAAGGGACACTCCAGTGCCAGGAAAACAAATCATTTTCCTGGCACTGCAGGTCCCCTCTCCCTCACAACCCCCCATCCCAGGTCCCCTCTCCCTCCCACCCCCCATCCCTGGAACTGCAGGTCCCCTCTCCTTCCCACCCCCATCCGATGTCCCTCGGCGGTGGTTTAGGGTCCGCCCACGCTCCTCCCCCGCCAACGTCAGCCAGCGAGGGATACTGATTGCGCATGCACGGCCACCGGCGGGATGAAACCTAATGTGCATGTGCGGCACGCACATTAGACCTCCCCATATGAAAGCATTGAAAATAGCGTGATGATGTCCAGCGACGCTATAGCACAGAAAACCTGTGCTATAGACCAGGAAGTGCCCTCTAGTGGCTGTCTAGTAGACAGCCACTAGAGGAGGAGTTAACCCTGCAAAGTAATTATTGCAGTTTACTCCAATGGGCAGAAGTGGTCTGGGTGCCTGGAGTGTCCCATTAAGGGACACTATAGTCATCCAGACCACTTCATCTCAATTAAGTGGTCTGGGTGCAGAGGCTCTGTCCTGTAAACCCTCCAATGAAAAACATTTTGCATTTTTTTTTCTTTTTTTTTCTTTTCTTTTCTTTTTTAAATTGCAATATTTACATTACAGGGCTAAGTCCACCTCTAGTGGCTCTGAGCATGACAACCATTAGAATCGCTTCCACTGCATTAAACCAGTAACTCACATGACTCGGAAGCCCCCATAGAAAAGCAGTGGTTCAGTGCTTCTCTATGAGGAAGTTTTGCGCTTGCCGCGCCTACGCATTAGGTCCCTAATGCTCCTCTAAGAATTGGATTTGACCATTGTCTTGCCGCCTCTGTGACAATGTAGGATGTGGAGAAATCAATGCTGGGAGTAAACTTTATTTATTATGTTCTTTAAAAAAAAAATAAAATCATTTTAATGTACATAGGAGAAGATATCTTAATTCAAGAAGGAACAAGGACACTATGGTGTTAGGAATATAGGTTTGTATTACGAACACTAGAGAGTGTTCTCTACTGAACTTGGATTGTACCACATCCATAGTATTGATTTAATAGGTAAAATGCTGGTTCTGATTGTTACTTTTGGGAGACTTTGCATATTTTTGAAGTAAATATACAGGACTGGAGCTTTCATTTACAGAACACCTCTTCTTCAGCTCTTATGTTATTCCAATCATTATCTTCACCACCTTGGGAAGAGATGGTTCTCCTCTAAAGGAAAGCACAGGGTTTTTTCCCCCTCTAGTTTACGTCACAATATTTTTCGGTATATTTGTTTTCATTTAAAGTTCACTATATGAAAATTGTGAAGATTTTATCTCTGCCACTTATCCTATCTAACCAGTGTCTGAAGTCATTCTGAGTGACCTTTAGTGCAAGGCAGGAGTGACCACACAAGGAGAACATGGTTTTTCTGCTAAAGACAGCCCAGAGCACCTATTTTGCTAAGACCTCCCATTGTGCTGCATTGGGAAGTCTGTGATTGAACAGTCAGCCTAGGACAGGATCGCTCAAACCCTGCTCTGCTTCTCTCTGGCGACCATGATTTGTTGTGCTTAATGCAACTTCCCAAAGCAGAGCAAACCTCCTTAGTTACGCCGACACACTGGCTTCATTACCATCTTGCCAGCAGTCCCGGACTGGCAATTTGGCATACCGGGCAAATGCCCGGTTGGCTGCGACGGCCATGGGCCAATGCCGGCAGGGGAGATCACAGGATCTCCCCAGTCAGTCCATGCAGAACCGGCACTATCCGAGCGCCGGCCCTGCTGTGTGCCTTCATGGGCTGGTGGGGAGATCAAAGATCTCCCCCACCGGCCCACAGGCAGTGAAAGGTGGCCACAGACTGGGGTGGGAGGGAGATAGGAGCGGACCCGGGGAGCTCTGGCTTGCACCTCCGCCGAGTTACTTTAGCGAGATGGGAGCATTGCCGCGGATGCCATGGCATCGTTCCGATCTCTCAAGAGTGAACTCTAGCCCCGCAGGCTAAAGTTCACTCTCACCACTAGGACCACCAGGGATGGCAGCATGGTCCCTCCTCCCAGTCAAAAGGTAAGAAGGGAAGGGGACTCAAAATGTTTGCTTTGTTTTTTAATGAAAAAAATACATATATACAGGCATTAAACTGCCTCCCCAAATCCCAATCCCTCCAAATATATACTCACGCAGCACCCCTCCTCTCTCTCACACACACACACACATGAATCACCCCTCTCTCTCACACACACACACATATGCAGCACCCCTCTCTCACACACACACGCAGCACCCCTCTCTCACACACACGCAGCACCCCTCTCTCACGCACGCACGCAGCGCACCTCTCTCACGCACGCACGCAGCGCACCTCTCTCTCGCACGCACGCAGCGCACCTCTCTCACGCACGCACGCAGCGCACCTCTCTCACGCACGCACGCAGCGCACCTCTCTCTCCGCACGCCGCAAGCGCACCTTCTCCTCGCACGCACGCGCGCACCTTCCTCGCACGCAGCGCAGCAGCGCACCTCTCTCTCTCGCACGCACGCAGCGCACCTCTCTCTCTCGCACGCACGCAGCGCACCTCTCTCTCTCTCGCACGCAGCGCACCTCTCTCTCGCACGCACGCACGCAGCGCACCTCTCTCTCTCGCACGCACGCAGCGCACCTCTCGCACGCACGCAGCACCCCGGCTCCCCAATCCAGGTGAACACAGGCGGAGGGGAGGTGAAACATAGCTCCCCTGGTAGCAGACATCCTTCACCTTCCCCCAGTGAACGTGGCCTCTATCTTCCAAACGACCGGCCACGCCAACTACATAATGCCGTTCACTTCGCGGCCGTCATCAAAAATGGAGGACTGTATCGCATCATTTCGCCTTACGTTACAAAAAGTGCTGTTGGAATGTACAGTGAGGTTAACCTTGAGAAAACCAAACAAGTGCAGTACAACATATTACTTAAACAGAAAATGAATGCTTACTTGACCTTTTGACCTTATAGCATGATATAGTAACCCTTTTACACGGAATTGTGTATTTTACCCCAAATTCTTTTGTAGTGGAATAATTACTGTGATTGATGTTAATCTTTTTAATAAAGGCCCCTTTCAGTTTTTTGAGTTTTTAAAGAGAAATTCAAGAAAAAGTTGCATTTTATTGTGTGCTGAATGATTCCAAGTTCATTAGACTTTCAGTATGTTCATCAGTCAGCTGAGCAAGTAAGTACGTTCTGTATTTCGAATGTTCTATTAAGGAAACTGATGTAGATATTGATTTTTAATACAATTAATTATCTTTCAGGCTTACCCAGGCTTGCTAAAAAGATTTAAAGGAGCTCCCTCTGATTTTTAGACTACGGGTGCAGTTTGGTACTATGTGCATCAAGGACCTAATATTTAGTATGATGAACCTTATGGATCAGTGAGCAGATAGTTGCTTCATGTGGTGGAATGTTTGCTGTATTCAAACACATCTCTAACTTTATTTTCCTCAAAGGGAAAGTTCCAAAAAAACTAGAACTAAAATCTTTAGCATATGTGTTTTCATTAAGTCAAGCACTATGGCTTTTGTTGCAAGATTCTTACACTGCAATTTTAAGTGTTTTCATGTTTTCTGGGATGAAAGCTCCCAATGTATAAGTTCACTAAAAAGCAACTTTGTCGAAAATGAATTTCCGAATTTCAAAACGCAGGGTAAAATAGCCACGCTGTGACTATAAATGCGGAATTTCAGTATATTTTTGCCATGCATTTTGCAAATTGGTTTTTGAATTGTCCACAAGACCCTGCGTTAAAGATTTTACTTTGCCTATACTGTGCGCTCTTGTGTGCCTATCTTCCTGCCATGTGACTTTTGTCAGACTAATGTGTACATTAATTTCTGGATATTTCTGGATATGTATCAGTCTCTGTTGTCTTTGTATGTCTTTTTTTATTTATTTCTTTAATTATATATCTTGTTTTACTTTTGAAAATAAAACACAAAATGAACAAAGGACAATTACATATTCTTTCTTTATTTTATATTGTCAGTCGGTAGATATCCATTATTCTGTAAATGGTAAAAAAAAAAAAATGGACGTATTCCTCCCACCACTCTCTCTATCTTTTACAATAATGTGCACCACCACCCTTTACTTCCCCCCAATTCACTGTTTATTTTTTCCTTCCTTAAATATTTCTGGGTCAGATTTGTTCTAATGAAGTTAACTTCCTGTTAAAGCTCAAACCAGTAACCAGGAAATAGTTTCAAACAATTTCCCATCAAACTTTCCTGCCTATGACATATTGAAAAAAAGATTCAAACAATACAATAAACACGTGTATTATGTTTCAGCACTTGGAAGCTTTAAACGTTTCATTAAGTTAGAGAATGAAACACTCACACAATGGACTTTACTGTGTTTAGACTTCTCGGTGTTCTTTGATTAATCATCTGCTTTATCCTGGAGATATCAACCAATCCGCTTCTTTTATCAGCTCATCTCAAGATATTTTAAGTGGCCAAAAGGAGGCATATAACCAGTGGCAGAGGTACAGAGCAGTGATGGTGAACCTTTTTGAGCCAGAGTGCCCAAACCGCAATACATGCCAACTTTTTTTCCCTCAAACTGCCAACACGGCAATTAAACCTGAATACTGAGGTTTACGTTTAGAAAAAACAACTCGTACAGTTGTCCGAACTAAATAACAACTTTGTTTTAAAAGAACACAACAGAGTTCAATGATACAAATTTTAAATATTGATATAAATAGATAAAATTAAGCTTATATTTATTCGTATCTCCAACAAATGCAATACATACACACAGACTGCTGAACACATTCACACACCAGCCGCTAAATACAGTCTGCTGAGTACACACACACAGTCTGCATTAAGGGGTGCAGTGTGTGTGGGGGGACACACAGCTATCCCTGGTGGTCCGGTGGTGGTAAGTAGGTTTGTGTGAAGCAGCTCTCCTGTACTCCTGCGCGATGCTGTGTGGAGCATTGCCATGGTAACGCGCGGCAACGCGCCACATAGCATTGCGCGGGAGGACAGGAGAGCTGCTTCCTAGAGCCCTCCCCTGCCTCCTGACACAGAAGCAGAGTAGGTGCCTGCCGTTTCAGGCAGGCAGGTGCCTACTCTGCAGACAGCCAGCGGCCCCCTCTCCTGGCGACCTATGGCCGTGTGCCTACAGAGGGCCTGGCGTGCCATAGGTTTGTCATCACTGGTGTAGAGGGCCCTGTTGCAAGAAGTTTTGCCTCCCTCCCCTCTCCCATATCGCAAGGGTGGCAAATAGGTATGTCCCCCAATTTCTCATACAACTCTCACAATGCTTTGACAGCTTGGACTCTACCATATTCCATCCTTGCAGGGTTGTATTTAGCACTGAGCAGTGTTTGTGTTTGAATGTAAGCATGTTTTTGTATAGACTGTTTGTGTAAATGTTGTGGGGTGCTTGCCTGTAGTGTTGGTGTTGGAATGCAAGCATGCATTTATATATAGTGTTGATTTGTGAATGCAGGGATGTGTGTATATATTTGACTGCTGAGATGGTCACATATACATACACTGTGATATACAGATATACACAAACACACTGACGCAAATAAAGATACAAATACTGACAATATGCAGTGTTAATTTTGTCGACTAACCATTTGAATCAGATTTTAGTTGGCTAAAATTTTAGATTTAGTGAACTAAAACTTAAACAATTCAGATGACAAAAATACGACTAAAACGGCTTTTTAGTCAAAAGACTATGACTAAATTGGAATTTGCCGCCAAAATTAACAATGAAACACACAGATACACATACCGACAAAATAAAGATACACATGTTAAATGTTACACTTTTGGGTGCTGGAAGGTGTTGGGGTTAAGGTCTGTCTCTCCATGTCTGCGCCCCGTTAACTCTGCCTCCTCCCCCCACCTGCACGGCTCCGGTATCTCTGGGAGAACGTGACCGGTTCTCACTTCCTCCAATGCTGCCAATAAGAAAGGTGGCTTTTGTGCTGTTAAAGGGCCACAGATCCCTAGTGATACATGCCCACTTGTGGACCCGAGTGCTTGGGCCCTGGTGCCACTGCACCGGCGGTAGTCGACCACTGCTTATGACCTGAGGTGTAGCTAAGGGAAAATTAACAGGTTTATCCACTAAAGTTAGATTTCAAAGACAATTTCAATATTCAGGTCAAAATAACAGAACTGGAAAATGTCTCTAAGTCCGCTATGCTTCCAGTTCGGCTACTTTACCCCTGGATTTGAAATTCACATTGAACTCTAACTTTAGTGAATAACTCTGTATGTCAAAGAACGAAGACTTTATTTGCACAAACTAACCTGTAAATACTTTGGCTATAGTAATGCCAGTCACATGATTGCCGTCATTATTGCTTTGCTACCGGTATACATACCACTGTAAGATTGTACAACAGGACTGAGATTTGGGTCCCAATGAGACGTGTGCTTTCTAACGTGGGAGGCTTTCATGAAACAATCAGATTTTGTGAAACTTGCTTTTAACTCTGGTCTGCTTCTGTTCTCCTGTCTGTACATCTATTTGGTTACATGTGCTGCCTATGGGTCTGGTTATCAATCTGGCTGCCTTGGGCTTCCTCTTGGTCTGTTCACCTGTCTGGCTACCTGGGAAGACTGCCTCTCGGTCTGAGCACCTGTCTGTTTCATGGGCTGCCTCCCTTCACCTGTATGACTACCTTGGTGGGCTGCCTCTTTACACCTACATGGGCTGCCCCTGTTCACCTGACTGGCTAGCTGGGTGGACTGCCTCTGTTCACCTGTCTGGCAAACTGGGTGGACTGCCTCTGTTCACCTGTCTGGCTCCATGGGCTGCACCTGGTCACGTATCTGGGCTGGGTGGGGTAACAAATATTGGTGCATTAGCTTCCCCTGTCCATCTGCCTGATTTTTCAGGGTCTGTTTACCTGCCTACCGAAAAGTGGCATATTATTTGAGTGGAAACAACCAACCACATCAAACAAGAAACCAGTGGAGCGCTGGATTTATACACTTACCCTTAAATAAGGTAATATAATTTAAACAGTGTCTAAGAGAGAAAAATAGACAAAATATGGTGCAGTATGTCTAAAACAAGTAGAGTGGTATAATCTGCAGATCCTTAGGGGGGGGATAGGCTCAAATCTCATGACAGAGGTATTTTAAGATAATACAAAAACTTCTTCAGTGTAGAGTACTCAAAAATAAAGGGAGAGATAAGACAAAGTGTTATCTTCACTGAAACTGTGAATAAGATATGGCAGTCACTGCTCACCTTGTTGAGAGCCAAATAACTGGGCTCTCAGGATAATGTGCACTGCGCCTCTAAGAGGGCACAACTCTTCTTTATAGTAAAGGACAATGGCAGAATATGGGACCTAGATATAAATTGTAGAAAATGTATTAGCCAAAATACTGGATATATGAAAACAACAAATAAAAATACCACAAAGTATTCAGTCCCAAAAAAGAATTTGCCTTCCAAAGCAGTCCGAGACGCGTTTCGCCTGAACCAACAGGCTTTCTCAATCTGTGTCCTCTTCTGTGCGTGTTGTTCCAGTTTTATATCTGGCGGTTCGTCCGTGATTGGTCCCCCTATGTGTCTCTCATCCAATCGTACGTTGGTCTGAGGGGGTGTCGGCTAGATCAGCTGTTTGCAGTCAGTTTTGTGTAACCGGAAGTGACGTACCCGAGGTCATCTGAAGTCACTTCAGGTATTCCGATATCGCCATTTTGTGTGCTGGCATAATACTGGCTGGCAATGTAACTCAGGGCAATAGTTCATGGTGTCCAATGTAGTATATTGTAAAAAAGGAAACAAAGTATTAAGGGTACAATCTATGGAGAAAAAACGTCTGAGAGAAAGATAACTCTTAAAAGAGAGAAGTAATAACATTGGTAATAGGTTGGCAGATATTGCAAGTGGTACTGAATTGTGTTCTATATATAATCACATATAATAAAAAAGGACCTGGCATTTGAGAGGGATATACTGGACCAACTCCAGTCTTGTCTTAAAACTAATGAAACAGACACTGTAATATAGTTCCAGTTTGGCAGGCCCTAAGGCCATAATTAGAGGGTGTCAGAGAGGTTTACAAACTCTGAATAGACTGAACCAATCCCTACCTACCAGAGTATTCCGAGAAGAGATTCTGGATATACAGTCCAAAATCAATGAGGCTTATTTGGCAAAGACAAGCTTCTACTTGAGACGGCTGTAGTCATCTAATTAAATGCAGGGGAACAGAGCAGGGGGGGAAATGGCAAATAGGCTGAGAGGAACAAATCCAAACTAAGATATTCTATCTTATTTCAAGAACAGCTGATAAATTGCTAAAACCATCAGTGAATTTGCCCATTTCCATACGGGGCTCTATAACAACCGATAATTCAGTGCCTCACCCTTCAGTAAGGAACGTTTCTGGATATATAGACTCCATTCAGACCCTGACCATGTAAAGTATTGAACAGGATATGTTGTCCTCTCCCATTACGATTGAGGAAATTATTAAAACTATCGAGGGGCTGCCAGCAAACAATTATCCTGGGCCAGGCGACTTTTCCATCGCCTATTCTAAAAAAATTCAAAACATTCTTGGTCCCCTACCTACAACTCCTTTTTGCCATAGATTTCCTAGGTTTACCACCAAAACTTTTGATGGCCACGGTAGTTACGAGGAAACTTCCAATGTCCGGCAAAAACCTCATGCCTATATCTATGTTAAATACGGATGCCAAGTTGTTTACCAAAATTCTAGCTAACCTCTCTAGAAAGAGGTGCTCCCTGTTCTTATACATTCCAATCAAACCTTGTTTGTTACTAGGAGACAGGAGTCTTGCTTTCTCTGGACGCAGAGAAAGCTTTTGACCGTTTGAGATGGTCCTTTTTGGAGTCTGTTTTGTTTAAAT